CTAAAGGAGGCCTCAACAACGCCCAGTGCTGAATCTAGATTCTTGGCGTCAATAGCTGTCTGCAAAGCCATATCCGCGACGCCTTTCTCAATTGCTTTGACTGCAGCGTTGGGGTTTGAAGCCACGTATTGGACCACTCCATTCTTGACGACCGGCTTCTTCTTGGTCGCAAACATCTCGAACACGGCAGGAAGCGACTCAGGCCGGCCTAGTGAAGCCTGAATAGCAACGTAGAGTTCAAGGAGGGCGGGTGTTATCTCGACATTGGGTTGCGAAATGATTGCATAGGCCGAGTACGAGATCTTTTTGACGCTATCGGCAAGCTGGGGGTCCATAGAATTTGGTCTTTGGCCAGTTCGCTCTGCTCCCAACTCCATGAGCTTTGATGTGGACGTCCGTGACTGAGCCTCAGCCCTGTGAATTTGAGGCTGGAGGGCTTGAGCAGCCTTGAGGCACGTCTCGAGGGCCGCAGTCGTCAGTTGCTTCGCCGGAATTCCATCTGTCGCCAGGAACTTCTCCTTTGTGCTCTCGACGATATTTGCCAGCTGTGTCGGATCAGTCAATTGTCGAGGAACTTTATCGGCATCGGCCGGCTGGATATTGAGGTCTGGGTATGTTGATGCGGTCGCAGCCCATCGTGCGCGCGGGCCCTTTATTGTTGTCTTTCTCCCATGGCGAATGGCAGCTAGGAGTGTTCCGCTAACGAAGGCTTGGTTTGCGACTGTCGGTGCTGGTGTAAAAGCGCATCGATGGCAGATATTGCCAATGTGTCGGGTACCGACTCGTGACATGATTGTGTGTCCAAGGTACAATGGCCGATTTTGGTTTCTAGAAGCCCCAGTCGTTTCTCTATCCCCAATTGCCCGCGTCCTTCTTGAGTAAAACTCTTCCTGCCTTGTTTGTCGTTGATACTATTCAGAAACCGACTCTGAATTTCGCAGCCATGATACGCGAGCGGGAAGCCCCACCTGTTAGTGATTGACAATTGTGATAGGCTGCTCACTTCCAAGCAAATTCTAGTGGAAGCCAACCTTATAAGTCATATCGCCCGTTGAATAGACAGGACCAGGTGCTGTGCTTGCAAGACTGCTCATATCTCTCACGTATAATTCTAGTCGTCCTAATTACAGTGAAATAAATCGCTTTATTTCTGGCGTATATTGTCATGGTCGCATTAGTAAAGCTCTAAACAAAAGAAACCCAAGATATCTTCAGGAACTTTAGGTTACAAGAAAGCGGGGCGCAGCCCAGACCATCCATGCCCAGCGTGTCCACTGTAAGTAGCGGTGCTGCCTTCCATTCTTTCCATGCGGCGTAAGCGTGCCATTGGCCATGACGAAACATGAGGTGGCTCTCGCCTTGAGGTATCCGAACTAATCCAGTACCTTGAGCTCAACCTTGACCTTTATATAACCGCTCCTTGGCTGGTCTTCACATTCACTGCTGCCTCCCCAGGCCGTGTCGTAGGACTTGTATAGAAACTCAAGGTCGGGACCCCACTGTCCAAGTCCGAAGACCCCGACTATCTCTTATTCATCCGCAAAACAACCTCAACCACCCCATCCCACGCAGTTCAGGACATAGAACGACTCCGTGATGCCTCCTCCACCTCCTCCCCCTCCGCCGCCGCCGCCTGGTGCCATGGGCGGCCCTCCTCCGCCGCCTCCACCTCCTCCAGGAGGTCTTCCTGCCCGTCCGCCTGCTGGGGTAGGCAACAGAGTATGTTCATTTATTGCAAATACCTTCATTCGTCGCCATAGCTTGACCAGAATCTGACAATTCTCCAGGGCGCACTTCTATCAGATATCCACAAAGGCAAAGCCCTCAAGAAAGCTGTTACCAATGACCGTTCAGCACCTCAAGTTGGAAATACATCAAATTCGTCGGCAGGTCCTCCTGTTGGCGGCGCGCCTCCTGTCCCCGGCATGGGTGGTGCTCCTAAGCCCCCAGGGGGCCTAGCACCACCGGTCCCAGGAGGACGAGCGAGGAGTAATAGTGATCAAGGATCTCGCGATTCGACGACAGGCATGGATGCCGCGCCACAGTTGGGTGGCCTTTTCGCTGGTGGAATGCCCAAGTTGAAAAAGAGCAGGGGCGGCATTGACACAGGCGCAAATGCTGATTCTTCATATCGATCGGATCCTGAATCTACTACCTCAGCACCCAAACCTCCAGTCGGATCCGCACCAAGGCCTCCTTCAGCAGCTGCGCCAGCAATCCCCGGGCGAGGACCTCCAGTACCGCCTCCGGGAGGAGCAGCAAACTTGAGAAAGACGACACCGGTGGGATCCAAACCTCCCCCTCCTCCTATAGGAAAGAAGCCACCTCCCCTGCCGACGTCACGAAAGCCTTCGTCAATGTCTCTGCCACCATCCGCGCCCTCACCATCCTCAGCGCCCCCTGCTCCACCACCTCCTCCACCCCCATCAAACAGTGCATCAGCTCCTGCCGCTCCTCCTCCTCCACCACCTTCTGCGGCACCTCCTCTGCCGAGTCAGTCGCCGGCCTCACGATCTTCAGTACCGCCTCCTCCGCCTCCACCGCCTGCAGCATCTCATTCGACACCATCTCTTGCTGCAGTAGCTGCCATTCGCGCCGCTGGTCAAGCATCTCCAAGCGCGGCACCGCCTCCTCCCCCACCTCCGCCTTCTGGGTCAGTACCAGCACCTCCAAGCGCACCTTCGCCCCCACCACCAACGACACGTTCTCGAGGTTCATCACTTCGTCAGTCCATGTTGGATCCAAGTATGTTCACCTTGACAGCCAATGGAGCAAAATCCCCAAGCCCGAAGCACTCACCAGCGCAAACCCCCGGTGTTAGTGGTGGGGCACGTATTGTGATCAACGACTCTAGGTGGCAGTTCAAGGACGAAGGTTTGTTCCCGAAACCCAGGGACTTTGTAGGTGGAACAAGAAAATATAGGGCGGGAAGAGGTAGCAGTGTGCCACTGGATTTGAGTGTTCTGTGAGTATCATACACCTTAGGCCCATAGAGCTGTGCTCTCAAACAGTTTGATGATCAAGCTATGCCATTCATGATGAGATGAGCATCATGCGATTGTTAAACAGATAGGATATTCGAGATAAATACGACTCAACATATCACGCAGTATGAAGTAGTCGAGGAGATTTGGTGTTTATCGTGAAATAATGCTGGTCATGAGTTGAATCTATTGAATCATTTTCTTCATGCCGCAGTATGGTACAGTCGAGTTACATACTCTTAAGTGGTGTACATATATAGATAGCCATCTCAAATTTACATAGACTTGAGGTAGTTGGTTTCCTTGATCTTGGCCCTTCTCTCCTTGCGCATCGCCTTCTTAAGTTCCTCTCGCTTTTGTGCGGCCTCAATGTTGTGCTCGACTCCTCGATTCTCCTCTCCGAGGATATTAATAGACTGGCGTTGAAGAGGAATCTTAGGAGCCAGAGCCTCCAGATTACCCTCAGCCAACAGCTTGGCCTCGAGGGCCTTTTGACGCTTGGCTGCCAGTTTTCTTTGCTTCTTCGACTTGGCTTTAGTGTCGTTAGTGATGTCTTGCCTTGTGGTACGATATCAGGTATAAAACATACAGAATTCGTCACCAGCATCCGCATCCGCCGAATCGGCACCCTTCTTCAGGACTTCCAAGCAAGACCACAACCATTCTGGGTATTCATCATCGTTCTTTGCGACAGGGTCCTGTCCACCCTTGGTATAGTTCAGGCCATTGAGAACAGTTCCAGGTGCACATGATGATCGTGCAGCAGGGACATCCTTCTGTGCCTCGCCGGGCGCTGTAACGGGAGTCGAAAGTTGAGGTTCGGCGGAACGGAAATTCGTCGTTGTCGAAAATTGTCGAAGAATCGGCTGCGCGCGCCGCAAGGAGGTGGCGCGCAGACACCGAGTGCAGAACATTATAATTGCTGGTGGTGGGTTGGTGGGAGATGAAGTGTGACGAGGCTCGAAGTTCTGGAGAAATTTTGGAGGTCCATTTGGTGGAGAGCCAATGAGAGGTGATGGAAGATGTAATAATGTCAGCCTCGCGCCCAATTGGAAACCTCTGAAATGTTGAACTACGATTATGTATTGGCTCTCACAGATGCAACTGTGCTGTTTCCTTATAGTTTCTTTTGATTCGTTTCTTCCTGATATATACAATTCATACAAGGTCAGATGATGGCGTCACCCTTTTTGGTGAGCCGAGAAACTCAAATCATGATATCTAGACCATAATTCCCTCTCATCTAAACATCACATCCATGCAATCCCTTCCCAACTCAGATTCTGGTTTAATTAAAGGCTTACGAGGAGAATCGGCCGTGGTTGAGCTTGGCAATCTTGTCGCTAGTGTGAACTCCGGCAGCGAGATCAAGCTCTTGATCCTTCTGGTCAACATAGTTTTGTTGCAGGAACTTGGTGCCCTTGATCTTGTTCGTCTTCAACAATTGCAAATATCTCTCTAGTCTCCAAAGTCAGTAAACGTTCAACGCCTACTCTCGGCAGCCCTCGGGAAAAGCTCCATGTCCAAACAAACTAACCTCGAAGGTGGCCGCAGTTCTCCAGGTGGTTGACACCCTCTCGAACGTAGCACTTGTTGAGCTCCTCTCCAACAAGACGGGTCATCATAGCTCCAACCCATTGCTCTCGGATGAGGGCATCCTCGGCAGCCTTGAAGGCTTTAGTATCATCGTAATCGACGCCATTGAAGGTAGGAGGAACGGTGGGCTTCTGAGCCTTAAACTGCTCGGACTCGGGAGTAGGCATGGTGAATCTGAGTGTGCCTTTTTGGCTTTTGAGTAGATTATCGAATTGTAGCGAAGGACAGCGCGCAAGGCTGACAATGGGACTCAGTCGATATCGGCAACTTGGTATGTCCGAGTAGCTTGAAGCTCAACCTAGGTGGATTGAATGTCCAATAATAGGCGACCTGAATTCTCAGGCAAGTTCAGACCCACAAGCCCACCAAGACCACCTTCCCTGTCAGTCGAAAAGTCCTCACCGCCCTCAGTAGCCCCACCATTCTGACGGCAGGAAAAAAAAAAAGTGAGAAAAAAAAAGGAAGAGTCCAACCACCAGCTTAAAAGTCTGATTTCTACATCCGCCCTCTTCCCATTTTTCTTCCTGTTCATTCTCCCCGACTAGACATTCACCCTTTCCCTACCATCTCTTACCCCCTTCTACCTTAATACATAATCACAATGGCTAAGACAAAGACAAAGGAGAGCAAGGCCAAGGTCGCTGAGCCTCTCAGCACCGTCAAGGCCGGAGGCATCACCAAGCCTTCCAAGTCCTCCAAGTCCAAATCCAAGGAGCTTGCTAAGGCTGCCGCCAAGAAGGTCACCAAGGAGAAGGACACCAAGAAGAGCAAGAAGAAGGCCGAGCCCGAGTCTTCTTCCGAGTCTGAGTCTGAGAGCGAGTCTGAGGCTTCCGACTCCGATTCCGACTCTTCTTCCTCTGAGGAGGAGAAGAAGGTTACTAAGAAGACCGCCACCAAGGCCAAGGCTGCTGAGTCTTCATCTGAATCCGAGTCCGACTCCGGCTCAGACTCCGACTCCGACAGCGAGTCTGAGGAGGAGAAGCCCAAGGCTAAGGCTGCCAAGGTCAACGGTACTGCTAAGGCTGCCGCTCCCGCCAAGAAGGCTGAGTCTTCTGACTCATCCGACTCTGAGTCTGGCTCCGGCTCCGACTCTGACTCTGACTCCGATGACGAGAGCGAGGAGGAGAAGCCCAAGGCCAAGGCTACCGAGAAGGCTGCCGAGAAGGTTCGTACACTCAAACTCTATCTACTGAAGCTACTTCTTACTAACCACATACATAGAAGGCCGATTCTTCTGACGACTCCGACTCCGACGATTCTGAGGATGACTCCGATGACAGTGACAGCAGCGATTCTGATGAGGAGGCTGGCGCCAAAATTGAGAAGACCGAGGAGGCTCCTTCCAAGAAGCGCAAGGCTGAGGATGATGGCGATGCGGATGCCAAGAAGACAAAGACTGACGAGCCCACTACCCTCTTCGCCGGCAGCCTAAGCTGGTCCATCGACGACAATGCCCTTTACGAGGCTTTCAAGCATATTGAGGGTCTTGCCAACGCCCGTGTCATGACTGAGAAGGGTACTGGTCGCAGCCGTGGCTTCGGTTATGTCGACTTCAACGATGCTGCCTCTTGCACCAAGGCCTACGAGACCATGCAGGGTGTTGAACTCGAGGGCCGTGCCATCAACCTCGACTATGCCAACGCTCGTCCTGCTGATGCCAACCCCCAGTCTCGCGCTGCCGATCGTGCCCAGCGTCATGGTGACACTGTCAGCCCTGAGAGCGATACCCTCTTCGTCGGTAACCTTCCTTTCGATGTCGACCAGGACACCGTCCGTGAGTTCTTCAGCGAGGTCGCTGAAGTTGCCAGCGTTCGCCTCCCTACCGATCCGTAAGTAGCAATGTTCACTCTGACTCCGCGTTCCTGTTACTAACTCTCAACAGTGATAGCGGTAACCTCAAGGGCTTCGGTTATGTCAGCTTCAACTCGGTTGAGGATGCCAAGCAGGTCTTCGAGGCCAAGAATGGTGCCCCTATTGGCAACGGACGTATGTCCCGCAGCGTCCGCCTGGACTATGCCAGCAGCAGGCCTCAACAGGGCGGTGGCGGCGGCTTTGGTGGTGGTCGTGGAGGTGGTCGCGGTGGCGGCCGTGGTGGCTTCGGAGGCCGTGGAGGTGGTCGCGGTGGTGGTGGTGGTCGTGGCCGCGGTGGTGGTCGTGGTGGTAGCTTCGGCACTGGTGCTAACCGCACTCCCACCACTTTCTCTGGCTCCAAGATTTCTTTCGATTAAGCGTGGGTTGATGCACAACAGTTGCGAACTGAGGGCTTCTGGCGGGTTTACCAATAAGTGGGCTTTTGTGGGCTGTCGATTCAACACAAGACAAAACTCCGTCATGGAGTAGTGGGCTTTGAGAATACGCATCACACGCGTAAAGCAGTTATAGACCTGGGGGCTATTACACTTGAGGGACCGTGGGCTCGTGGCATCTTCATAAAGCACCTTCCTGGTGTCTTTGGCTTTTTGATCAAGCCTGTCTTCAAGGCAGACACCACGTGGGCTTCTGAGGGATTTGTTGACCACTCTTTGGGAAGAGGCTCCCTCTGTCTTCCAGACATTGTGGAGTGGACCAAGTCGGTTCTCGCGAATGCTCTTGAGGGTCCTGGGGGCTTTCGAAACGATACGACCATGCCTATGCCTAACCTCAGAACCAGTTGACGACGATTTCCTGCCTTTTAAGACTAAACCATCTTGATTTCTTATACCATGTACAATGTTTTATCGTTTGATGTTGGTGAGTATACCACTGCCGTTATTCTTTCGATTTATGTAGCAACGGGATAGTCCACATCTCGATTATAGGGGCGCAATAAAAGTTCAATTATGTTTCTCTCAATGACATCACGAGGGTCTTTTCATGAGTGAATGTATCTACAGTATAAGGCAACTTAGTGAGTCTTTTGCAGTGGGATGATATTGTTGTCGAGATCATTTGTTCTTTACATATGATACTTTGGACAAAACGCTTAAATTATGGGATAGCACAGGGGTAGAAAGTTCATTCGTAACATACAGCCCACTGTACTGTCGCAGAATTAGGACGCAGCTGTAGCCTATCAAAACGTGCAGTCCGGGGATTGATATGTGCAGCGTGTGATGGCTGTGTCATATAAGCCGCGAATCAGACGGACGGTGGGGACGGAGTGACCAATCTCGAGAGATACTACTTACGCGTGAGCAAGTCAACATGATGGTTGAACACTGATACTCGAGGTGAATCTGTTGGGAAGGACGAAAAGAATATCAAGGAGGTCAGTCTTGAGAGTCAGCTGCTATGTATGGTTCGGTGAGGTGTCAAGCTACAGTACCTAGTTGATACACTAACTAGTTGATATACGATACGTGTTAACCTCCAGTTCCGATATTGTTCAAAGTCTACAGATGACGCAAACCCATAAGGCATTGTGATAGTTAACAAGTTCGGGTTTTACTGGACTGGGGTGCCGTGTTGTATTGAGGTGCTGGCTGGATGATCGTTGCGCCATAACTTTCAAGGCCCACAGGGAATAAATGGTCCAGTGTATTGTTTCATGATTCTTTGTTTCGCGCATTATGCAGATCCATGAAAGTCGACAGGTCTATGAGCCCAGAGCTTAATAAAGGGTCTTTGTTTAATCCACGTTGGCAAAGGAGATCATAAGAGGCATCGAAAGACCTCCTTACCTATTGAAACATGGTCAAGCTGGACAGAGTAAATACTACCTTACATTTAACAGCATGGGCTGGAGGATAACGTCAGCAGCCTCAGCCAGCCCCCTTTCCTCTTCCATCTACCTGCAAATCTCTTTACGGTGCTGGAATTTCTTTTAGGAGGTCGGCTGCGAGCTTGTTTGGGTGATCTAAACCCCGCCTTGTACTCATGACCGCAGTGTTCGTGCTGCGTGCTCAGAGGTAAGGCGGGGGCTGATGTACCGATACTCATAGAAAGCTGCTTCACCGCTCTCGCGACCACAGATATACAGTGTGCAACAAGAAGAACGTCATCGTTACAGCATCAGTGCGGTTACACCAAATGGGTAACATGCCTGGCATGTGGGTGCTCCATAGCTAGTATGCGCCATGCGCCCGCACTGTCTCCCCACCCGCACCATAAGTACTGCTACTTCGTCGTTATCACTGGGCAGCGAGACGTGCTCTCGTGCCTGTAACAAAGAAGCAATCGTCCACACTTTACTTTACCAACGGTTTCCCCAGCCCCGACTTCGCTGGACAAGAATTCGCTACTTACTCTCTATTTTTTTTATACCCTCACTTTGTACTTGATCTGTCTTTCTTCTGCTTCGCTATCTTTCAACTTTTCGGCAGGCTCCTGAATAGCAAGCATCACCCCATAGCTAAGAGATAAGCGAAGTTGCACTGCTGATCTAGCATACTGAGCCCCGTGCCTTCTTGTACTCCGCCTCGGAACTTGAATACCGTGTGTCCCAACAACTCAACTTTCAACAAACTTCGATCTTATCTGCGCGAAGAGGAGAAAAAAAATGGACGGAGAAGCAAACCAAAGTTGGCAAGGAAATAGGATGTCTCCAAATGGAGCGAGATCGAGTCCTGGGCTTCCCTCACAGAGACGTCACGATGGTAAGTCTCATACCGTAGGTCAAACTGTCAAAACTTGTATGTTAACTTTTCTAGAATCTTGGGTAGAAGTAGCATCACAGCCCTCGTCTTCCTCCCTGTCCAGTATCGGCGATGAGATTGTTACTACCGGCCTGCGCGTCGGAAATCCATATGTGCGCCGACGACGATTACAGCAATCAGCACGATCACTCCCTCAACAGCAGACTGCTATTCATAATGTGAACGCGGCCGATTTGAGTAGCCAGGAGGAATACGACGAGAGCGATAGCGAGGACGATCGCCTGCTTACCAGCTCGACCGAGAACGCTCAGCGGTCCGAGGAGGAGGCGGATATGGATTCAGAGGCCGAGTCGGATGGTGATAACGTCACCGCGCTCGGACGTGTGTCTGATCAACCTACCGAGCCTGTCTTTCGACCTCAGCCAAACGCCTTCACTCATCCATCCACGCAACGAAGAGACTCGGCTCCAGCCATCCCAAGTGCTCCTCCTCCTCCTCATCCTCATAATGGTCTTACACGGCCATCCTTCACCCAACGATCGCAGACGCGGCCCCACCGTGCGGGTCCAAGCTTTATGTCCCCAGCTGTCCGTGAAGAGAACGATGCGGCCCTTCGTGCATCCCTCACTACTCTTCTTTCCTGCGCGCATGCTGCTAGAGGTCTGCCCAAGTCAAAGGAGGAAGCAGAGGCCCAGAGGACCGCCAACGCAGGTGTAGGTCCCAGCAGTCAACCCATGGAACTCCGATTCGTACCGGAGTCGGAGCTGTCAACGGAGCCGAGACGAGCCCAACGACCTGCGGGCCCATCTCCACCCCGTAAACGGGGCTCTCCCGCAAGATCCCCTTCACGAACCTCTGAAAGAGGCAAGCACGGCTCCGGATCGCCAACGGCTCCACGGGCTACCAAGAAAAAGAAGGTAGCCCAGATGGAAGAGCCAACCAGCATCTCACCAACCCTTCTCACATGGGTTGTCAGCGCCGGAGTTGTCGTGCTTGTATCTGTGGTGGGGTTTGGTGCTGGTTATGTTATCGGTCGTGAGGTTGGCAAGCAAGAGGCGCTGGCTGCCAGCGTTGGAAGCGTCAACGAAACAGCATCCTGCGGCCAGGAGGTAATTCGGTCTTCGGGCAGTGGACTTCGTAAACTTCGATGGGGTGCTGTCGGAAAGAGCATCGTTGCTTAGAAGATATGATTCTCTAAATGTCTTCTGTCGTTTCGATGATAAGCGCAGACGATATCTCACGAGGGTTGAGAGATTTGTTGGGAGTTGGAGTTTGTAAGACGACTTTGGCGGTTATGGTTGCGACATAAGTAACGCAGCGGACCTAACAAGATAACGTTCGCGTTTATCTTACCTGACGGCTCACTATGTATAGGCGGATTTCGAGCATTGATGCAATTTGCGTGCATTTATGGGGATACATGAAGAATTTGGCATGCCTTTTACTCACTCACATATTTCATTGCCTGGCGAGTATGTGTTTACTCTTGGTAGATACTCTGATTACAGGCGTCGGTAATATTCCCCTCATGATTTTCACGATTCATAGTTTAGGGCACAGGAATAAAAAAAAATAGTTATACATGCTTTTTTGAGTCATTATCACCCGGAGTTCCTAGGAAGAGCTTCGATTTTATACGGCACAGTATTGCTAACCACCATATAGTCAGAATATGTCGGTCAACGCCGCCGTCTTGTTGGCGCCGTGGGCAGTTTCAAAGATTTCACGATAATAGAAACATGGACGGGCGTCTCATGGACTTCTTCTACGAAGATAAGAACAGGCACAGTGACAGACAAGGTTGGCCTCAAGGAGCAACAAACCCTATCAAACTGATAGTTCACTATTGTACTGACAATACCCTGACATGGCAGTCATTTCAAGTCTCTTGAATTGCATGAACGTCTTTTGACACTCATGAGACTTGTGGTTTCGCAACTGGCACCGGGGCATGCCGTGTAGTCTGTAGAGCCATCGGCAGAGAAAAATTGCAGAAAAATCTCAAACCCGGTGCCTATCCTCAGATGCCGACCCTTCCCACAGCCCTCGTCCGGGCCGTCACGCCAGTTCGGCGCCGGCCGGGACGGATAGGCCCCGGTGATTGGGATTGTTCTTGACCCTTCCGTCTCACGAATACGGAAGTGAGTCGGGCGACGTTTTACTTCTTCATACAAGATGAGCCCCGCGAGTGTCAGCCCATATTAAGCGGGGCTTTATAGGCGAGGTGGTTTCTGTGATCGGGGTGATCCGGGGCTGGGAACAAACATGATATGTTTTCATTGTTAATTGCGGCGACTTCAGGGGTAGCTTCTGAGTATTTGGTAGCATTTCCGGTGGTATCGTAGCCTCGAAATTTGTCGAACAAACATTTACTATCGTAACAGTAATAGAAGTGGCCCTTGACATTTGAGCAACTTTTTCAAATCAATGGTCATCTGTACTTCCAATTGAGGCCATAGAACACCACAGAATTTTGTGAGCTCTTCCAAAGTTTGAATCGTATTCTACTATCACAAGAATTCCATCAGCCATTAGGTAGCAGATCGACATGTGAATACTGATACTTTTCTTGATCCGTATTTTCTCATCCTGGACACGTCAAAAGCCATTGACCAATAACCAATATGGTCTTATTCATCGAGGACCCTGGAAATGATTCGAGAATCGTCACATTAAATAGCCGGGTGGTTCACGGCTGATCAAGAGTCGGGTTCTTATTCGGACCATAGCAATGAAGCCAATCAGGAACTCTGTGAGCCAAATCATCGGACCATTTTAAGAGTTCAGTTGTTCAGCACAAGGGGCAGAGAAGGAAGGGCCGCGAAGTGATCGGTGGAGTATTAACACAAGGGAGAAAATAGCATTTTCTTCATCGAAACCTCACATGACAAAGGTGTTTGACCGTTGTGTTTGAGCTCTATTGTCGAAGGAGGATAAAAATACAGTTTGGGGGCTGAACTTACCTAACCTCTGGTCTGGTCAAAGTTCCATCATACTTGGCAAAGCCTGCGTACCTAGGTAGGGTATCTACAGAATGTAAAGGTACATACAGAGTAGGTACTACGTAAGCAATCAATGCAAACAAATAAATAATTCTATTGGCGGGCAGATAAGAATGCGAAAAAGGAGGGATGGAGGGGCTCAAGATCTGGCACCACAAAGTATATGCGAATACGAATCCGCAACTCTGAGCCAATCATATCACACCCTTTCGCGACGGGACGGCATGGAGCCCCATTATTTCCAGGAACCGTCCATGGGCTACATCGGGTTCCGTTTTACAGGGCAGCAGGAGTGCTGTAGACTGTGAACCACACAGGGGGCGAGGCAGTTCTACGGGCTTAATCTCGACAGAGCGCAGGCGGTGTACCGTGCTGTTGGCTGTTTTTGCTCGGCAGGTCTGTGGAGTCTCTTCTACCAGCTAAGACACCCCGGTCCGAAAAAAAGACGTCGGGGTCTGTCGCAATTACATATCAGTTAATCTCCTTCGCCATCGTTCCCTTTTATTTTCCTGTCAGTCTCTACTTTCTACAGACTCGCCATTGGGAATTCTTGTGCTTCCTGGCGCCGAGGACGATACTTTCTTCTTCTTTACTTCTCTGCAGTAATTCATCCTTCGAAACGGAACGAAAACCCTAATATCCTCCTTACAAAACCCAACCATGGGTCTCCTCCAAGAACTTGCGAGCCACCCGCTCGCACAACAATATCAGGAGCTTCCCCTGGGCCAGCAGATTGGAATTGGCTTCGGAGCATTCATAATTCTCTCTGTCGTTCTGAATGTGCTCAACCAGCTACTCTTCAAGAACCGCAATGAACCCCCCCTAGTCTTCCACTGGTTCCCTTTCGTTGGAAGCACTATCACATACGGAATGGACCCCCCTAAGTTCTTCAAGGAGAACCGCGCCAAGGTACGTTTAACAAGCCCAAAAATCTAGGATTGGAGGCCAGTCTTGGGCGCACAAGGCGCCAGAACACCAGGGCTCTCATGCTAGAAAACAATGCATGACGAAAAGCTGACTTTGCGCTAGCATGGTGATGTCTTCACCTTTGTCCTCCTTGGAAAGAAAACCACTGTCGCCGTTGGCCCCACTGGAAACGACTTCATCCTCAACGGAAAGCTCAAGGATGTCTCTGCCGAGGAGATTTATACTGTTCTCACTACTCCTGTCTTTGGCAAGGATGTCGTGTACGATTGCCCTAATGCCAAACTCATGGAGCAGAAGAAGGTTAGAAACGACAGTCAGATCCTTGCGTAGCAAACATGCTGATAGAAATGCCTCTAGTTCATGAAAATCGCCCTCACGACCGAAGCCTTCCGATCATACGTGCCTATTATCTCCGCCGAGGTTCGCGATTACTTCAAGAAGAGCCCTGATTTCAAGGGCAAGTCCGGTATTGTCGATATTCCCAAGAAAATGGCCGAGATCACCATCTTCACTGCTTCACATGCCCTTCAGGGCAGCGTCATTCGTAACAAGTTTGACGAGTCTCTGGCCGCTCTCTACCACGATCTCGACATGGGTTTCACTCCCATCAACTTCATGCTTCACTGGGCTCCTCTCCCCTGGAACCGCAAGCGTGACCACGCCCAGCGCACTGTTGCCAAGATCTATATGGACACCATTAAGGAGCGACGCGCTAAGGACAACGATGACACCGAGCACGATATGATGAAGCATCTCATGAACTCTACTTACAAGAACGGCACCCCTGTCCCTGATCATGAGGTCGCCCACATGATGATTGCTCTCCTCATGGCTGGCCAGCACTCTTCTTCTTCTACCAGCTCTTGGATCATGCTCCGTCTCGCTCAGTACCCTCACATCATGGAGGAGCTGTACCAAGAGCAGGTCAGAGAACTCGGTGCTGATTTGCCTCCCCTGACTTACGACAACCTTGCCAAGCTGCCCCTCAACCAGGCCATTATCAAGGAGACTCTCCGCCTTCACGCCCCTATCCACTCTATCATGCGCGCCGTCAAGTCTCCCATGCCTGTCCCTGGAACCAAGTATACCATCCCGACCTCGCACACTCTTCTCGCCGCCCCCGGTGTCAGCGCTACTGACTCGGCCTACTTCCCCAACCCCGATGAGTGGGATCCCCACCGATGGGAGGCCGACTCTCCCAACTTCCCCAGAATGGCTACCCGTGGCGATGACGAAGAGAAGATCGACTATGGCTACGGCCTTGTCAGCAAGGGTTCCGCCTCTCCTTATCTGCCCTTTGGTGCTGGTCGTCACCGATGCATTGGTGAGCACTTTGCCAACGCCCAGCTTCAGACAATTGTTGCTGAGGTTGTGCGTGAGTTCAAGTTCCGCAATGTGGATGGCGGCAACACTCTAATCGACACCGACTACGCCTCGCTTTTCTCGCGACCCTTGGAGCCCGCCAACATTCACTGGGAGAGACGCCAGCAGTAGAATTTGGCTCGAAAGCAATGATGAGACAACACGAAATAAGTTGTATATATGCGGCAAATGCAATGGGCATGCTGGGGAGTTGAGTGTTTTGTAATGGCTGGGCTGGTTTTTCCAAAAAGAAGTCAATTGTCATGCCATGCCAGCAAAGATCTGGCGATAGAATCTATACATTTTTAATAAGCAACGATCAAATTATGAATCATCAACACAATTTTCTGCATGCTTTCCCCTGACTGTAATGATCTGATGGCTAAGTGAGCCGATCTCATGGGGGCATTCCCGCTATGGCGAGGTCAAGTTGGAAGTTGGCATTTGGACCCCACCAAGCCGAGCGCCATCCATGACGACTGTGCTGCATTCATACCAGTCTGAGTCTGAGAGGAAGCTTTGTTATTCTGCGAGGAGACTGGCAACACGTCTTTCACCAGCATTATCACCAGCTCTGTTTCTGCTCTTGAATTCTTTATAATTAGGAGGATTCGACCTGTTCAGTTAGCAAGCAACTGTTTATCAATACCACTTACATCAGTACCCTTAACCAAAGCCAGGGACCAGCACCTCGTCCAGACATCATGAGCGAGTCATATGGCCCTCTTGTCCGCCTATGGGGCATACGTTCTTCTAAACTTCCAGCTGCAGGGGCACAACCAGAAGAGCTCAAGGTTCTTCTCTCCTCAATTATTCTCGAAGCCTTGCCTTTTCTAAACTCCGTCCCTTCCGAGATCCCTTCCGTGGAGCCTGCTACTGAACTCCGGTCCACAAGTGAGCTCTGGAAACACAAGACAGTCAAAACATACGACGGATCTGCCGCTTCTGTCCATGTATTCGAGCGTACTGTTGATGCTGAGACTCTTGGGGTTGTCGCTCAGAAGAACCCTGGGCTTGGGATACCATCTGATAAAGCGCAGTCAGAGCTTTGGGCGCTTCGACGGAGTACTCACGAAGCAAAGAAAGAGAAGGGCACGGCAGATTGGGATGAGTTTCTGAGATGTTTCAAGGAGAAGCATGGTGAAGCGGAGAAGACCTTTACGCCAAGCGTGGTGAGCTTCAAGCGACTACAGGAATGGGATTGCTCAGGCATTGAGATTCAGCTGAACGGCGAAACTTGGATTGACTGGACACTGCGTCATGAAGAGTCTGTCCATGACCTTCCCGGGCCGTTGTCAAAGCGTGTCTTTCCTGTTCTACAAGCCACAGCTGCTGTTCGTGGACGCAAGGAGTTCCTTGTCGTTCAAATCGCGATCCGGGCCGGTGACGATGCAACAAACATGGCTAAGCACGATGGCCCAATTCGGGCGGCTTACACAAGTGTTGAGAGGGTAAGAGAATTGGGTGATGGAAGCTTGGAATGGGTGATGGGGACAGCATCTGATGCGAAAGGCTTGGTGCCTATGTGGGCACAGAAGCTAGGTCTTTCTGGGGCGATAGCTAAGGATGTCGGTATGTTTATGGACTGGATTGGTAGGGAGAGATTGAAGGGGAAAGATGCTGAAGTTATTGGTGACCTGGAGTAATGAAGGCCATGGTGCGAAGGCCCTTGGGTAATACAGATGTCGGTCTTGCAGGCGCGAGTGCATACATTATTATAGCAAGAAACGAGCTATTCGATGTACAGGATTTTCATACGCTCAAATTGCAGATTGTTCGAGTCAAGGTCGGATACATGCAATAGTTTCGCTGGGCTACGGAGTCCCATTTGCCAGAAGCACACCTCAACATTATAGTATGCGATGCTAAGTAAACCTTATTACTTATCAGATGAGGTGGAAGATGGTGTAGACTTCGAGCTGTATAGGTACCTACCTTAGGGCGAATCTCTAAGATAGGTAGTTACGTGTTGTTCGTGATTCAGAAGCTTCTCTTGCCTCCTGTTCCCTTCTCTAAACCTACTCTAAACCTAGCCCCTTCCTTCCTTCACTCTTCGATAACAAATTTGGAGCACTTTCACTTAGAAGGAAACACTCAATAGGTATCTGGCACCTTTTTATACCTACCCAGGGAAGGTAGATGGGAAAGCCAAACAACCTAATAATTGGAACCTCACGGAGGCGTCATGTCTCCTCCCCTCTTTTCCCTTCTACATCACCACCGGGCCATTCATGTTCTGATGAGCAACCTTCAGCGATACCTGTCTCGCTTCTCTTCTCAAATAAAGAAACCAAATTTGCTTTCAACATGAGCCAGAACCGCCACCGATCAGTTCCTAAGGGAACTGGTGCACCTCTGTCGCCCCCTTCAAGTCAACCCTCGGCCAACTTTGCTCCAGCGTTGACTGCATCGAAACCCTTCCCTGATGTCGCGTATTCGTCCACCCAGACAACTCCAATCAGCCCAAAGAGCGAAGACAACCAGCTCTTAAAACAAGCAGAGGCGCTCGCGAATATGCATTTTGAACTCAACCTCCATACTGTCTTCTCGCTTGCCAGTCGACTTGAAAAAGAAGTCCAGCAGCTCGTTTTCCGCACCGCTGATGACCAAGAATTCAGACGCCAGAATGAAGAACGAATGACGAAGATGATGATTGAGGTCCAAACAGTCAAGGCTTACATGGCTCGCATGGGACATAATCATGAGCCTGCCACACGAGCGGACATCGAGAGGTTACAGCAAGCCATGAGTGATACCACAATGGAGTGGAACAACCAACTGGAGGACGCAAGGACAAAGATAGATGAGATATCAGGTCGAATGATTAACGTTTCGCGGCATGCAGGTGTCAGGGGCAATGAGCCTCAGACAAGCCCATCTCTGGTTGGAATAGAAACACGAGCAATGCGAAAGGCAAAAACGGATATCATCTCAAGTGCCCACCAGCAGCAGAGTAAGTCGTTATGGCCCAGGACCATAAGATTCTCAAGCACTAACTTATGACGAAGCCTCTCCGAGCTCGTCGACTCTAGAGTCACGCATCAACGATGCAATCAACTCGACAAAACGCTGGAACCGCGAACACAAGACCACAAAAATGAGAGAGGATCAGTTCATCATTAGCTACCTCAAGAAGCAAGGGCAACGAGACCCGGTACTCGCCAAGGTATTGCTTCAGGCGATTCGCGAGCGCGCATCCAACACAAAGACAAGAACTAGCAAAGCAAAGAAACTACCAAGTCTCGAGGAAACTTGCCGCAATACATCGTGGCAAGATGTTATAGACTCAGCAACAGAAGTTTTTGTGGTCAACAAAACACAGACCCTCCAATTTCTGAAGCAAGCTTGAACCAGGGGTGGACAGATTATATGGAACATTGGTGTGTTTTGACTGGAGCTTAGCGAATCACTGTCAAGGAGGAGAAAAAGATAGAAGGCTGTTCATGATTTCCAACAATGATTGATATATGGCCAGCGGATAAAAGTGGGCCTGGTCCATGATATGCGCGCTGCGCGGTTCCTCCATTTCAATTTCATCACCATACCTACCTCAACTTTAATAAAAGGACATTTCGCATCATTTCCAAGCATCGATTTTATCAGTGCGGTTTTTCACCCTTGTTTCCCCCTACGTCAGAGTCACGAGGAACGAATGCCATACTCGGTTTATCCTCGCTTGAATTGAGCATTGTGAACATCTTAAGCGCTGCAAGCTCTCCATTTGCAACATGTCGACACCGATACCAAAAGATGGCCAACCACCCGCAAAACCTCGTCTAAAGATTAACGTCAGCCGGTCTTCCTCTTTCGTCGCTGATGCGAATGCGACACCTTCAGTCTCGGCCCCGGCTGGCCCAGCTGCTCCGACTCCAACTCCGACGGAAGGTAGCCGCAAAGTGAAGCTCAAGATCGGAAAATCGCAGCCCTCAACGCCTGCGGAACAACCACCAGTGAAGACGAAAGCTGGCCGACAACCTAAGCCCACACAGAAACTCGTTGAGAGCAAGAAGCGCGCACACGATGAACTGGATGATGAGCTAGGCTCGGCGCATCCAACAACAAAAATAAAACTTAAGCCAACGAAATCAGGGCTCACTCCAACGGTCGTGGTGAAGCCAAAGGGACGCGCACCAGTACATCCGCCAGGAGATGGTTATGACTCAGAGGCGAGTGATCGGGAGAAGGATCCATCGATAGAGGAACAATTTGTCCTGAGGATGCTACCAGGAGAGCACTGTGACTATGTGCGCTGGTGCATGGAGAATGGCAAGATGGGCATTCCTCGGAGCCAGGGAGGAGCAGACATTCAACTCAAATTCTTTGAAGAGGATTCTCGAAGGGCGGTCGTGTCAGTCAAAGGTCAACCGTTTGCCGCTGTTATGGTGGACCTGCCTACAGTTACAGAAGCGATGAAGACATGGGATCGCAAATCATTTCTCAAGTCTGCAGACATCTGCCAAATGCTTCTGGTTTACCAGAAAGTTTCCACCGAAGCTGAAGCAAGACAAACACCTCTACCAAGCATGATCGACCAACACTTCAAATGGCCACACGGCCTAACACCGCCCATGCACGATTGTGTGAACCGGCGATTCGCCAAGACCATTAGTCGAAAGGAGATTGAGGATAAGGAAGCAGAAGTCGAACGCCTGCTCGCCGAGGATGCTAAAGCCGGCTCTACGCGCTGGGAATGGGTCGACGAGAGCAAAGACGACGACGAGGAAGGCGGAGATGAGGATGCCGAAGGCGATATGGATGATGACGATGATGGTATGGACTACTTCCAGAGCCAAGATGTATTCGGAGATGGCGACGATGACCTTGCAGCCGATCTGGAGGCCGCTTTCGGGGAAATGGGCGATGAAACTCCCGCTACCGGTATGGATGCTCCAACGCCAATGACGACTACACAGGCCAATACCCCCGCGCCACTCCAAGATAGCATTGAGTCGGATGAGTCCGAGGAAGTTTCGGATGATGATGACGACGACGACGATGAGGACCTGGACGAGGATGCTCGAGCCCAGCGCGACGAGGAAAAGGGTGTCAAGTCTTTCATCAACGACCTGAAGAACCAGCTTGCCAGCAAGCAAGAAGAACTGGCCCGTAATACAAACAAGCTCCTCCGGACTCGTATTGAGCAGACCATCAAGCAGCTCAGGGCAGAGATTGAACTCAAGAACTCGTCTATCGGTATCGAGACAGATGACTGATGAGGGAGTAGAAATCGGTGCACGGTGTATATCAGTTGCTGGGAAGGCAGCTGAGTGTATGGTAGGTAGACGGCGTTAAGGTGTAGCCCAAGATCTGGGCAAGCGATGATTTGATTCTGGATTTGGACCCCAAAATACCACATTTACTATTGCTCAACCAACTGCTAGTAAAGCTTTCATACCTCACAAGTTGTCTCCGTTGCGTGCTTGCTCGCTGATGTGAAACATTATACTTATACACCAGGATAAAGATAGAGCCCAAACACGTTTGAACACCATCTTTGTAACACATTTTCATTGAGTAAAAGAGGAAAGATTGGTTCTCATTCGCTATCCAGAATCAACGCCAACCAACACCGTCCTATGTTTGTGACATCAAGTACGTCTTACAGTTGTCCTCATGCCCCTTGGGACCTATTTCCACACAAGAGAAATCATTCAATGAAAGAGAGAAATTTTGCCTTTACCTCACCAGTCGATCCCTGCCCAACCATAGGTTCCATCAACGTTATGCCAGCCCCCATTTTCCATGCTATCCTCCCATCCCATCATCACGGCCAGTAGGCGGCACCCTGAAGCACTCACGGTGCAAACAATCTTATCGCATGACTCCGAGAGAACGGCTAGATCCATCATATACGCTCGACCGACGAGACTACGGAGTCGGAGCGTTTCTTCAGAAGGCGGTGCCATATGTCTGGCTTCTTCATTCACGCCATCGACATTCACTCCTGCTGGTGCTTCAGCCGCATTATTCTTGCTTTCAACACCAAGATTCCAGAAAAGGGGAGCAAAGAAACCGCCCTCCCAACCAAACGTATTCTCAACAAAGTTATTTAGCGAATGATGATTGCCACTTGCGCGGGCAATCGCACCTTTTGAAGCTAAACGAATTCGATCTTGGGAAAGAATGGTATGAGAAAACTCAGGCTCCTCATGAACTGTGGGGTCGTCCGAAGCCAGGAGAGTGATATGTCGGCGTTGTGTGTTATCTTCCGTTCCTGTCATGTTGTAGTATTCGTCCACATAGCGGATGACTTGTTTAAGGTAGACATCAGCCGGGATGTAGGTATCGCGATATTGAAATTCGAGTGGATGCTGGTCACCATGACGAACGTGAAGCCCAATGATAGGTATATGCGTCATGAGACTGCCCTCAGTGTTGGCTTTTGCTTGAATTGCAGTCACACGCTCATCGACATAAGCCTGATCCTCATCACTCAAGATAAATAGATCCTCATATCCAATACGAGCCAGTTCGAAGAGATCCCGCAATCCATCCTCGGTTCCTGCAACTCGATGGTTTTGGGCCAGCAACGCCGGGAATACCTCCTTAGCTGTCGCGGAGGAAACGACCAAGTGGCGAGCTTGGAAAGGACAAGGAACCATGTGGTGTCGAGGAGGAGGACGACAGTCAGGGACAGGAGGAGCTTCGAAAATCTCGGTCCAGGGTCCGTAGGCCCAACGTTTATCCACAACGAAGAACTCACGGTCGAGTTGCTTTGCTAGTCCGTAAAAGGTCCACAGCATCATGAGTGTGTTCCCAAGGCCAGCATCTGAGGATTCCAAAACAAAAGTCATGGTGCTTTCGCACACCGGCTTATGCTTCAAGTGCTTCTTATCCACCCCAACAAATTTGCCCTTATTTTTGGCACGAATGCCTTTGTAGGGTGCTAGAAGGCCTGATCTCTCAGCATCATACACGTCGATATAGTATTCATCTCTAGCATCATAGTTGATGATGGCCTTTTCGGTGATTGGGGCCTTGTGATGAATATCTCTTGCCCGGGACGAAACCTCCCGACACTGGCTGCCCATCTCTGCATATTGGTCCATAGTCAAGGGGAAGTCCCCGTTTGGTGGTATAAAGACGGTCCACTTCGAGCGACCCTTGTTGTCGTTGATAAGAATGGGCGTGGGGAAGTCTGGAAAGGCATCTTGGCCGACCATCTCAAACTCCTCTTGTCCAAAATAAGGCCAGACTGCCGCTGGGATGGCATCTGGATTCTGAAAAGCCAATGCCACAAGGTATGTGATTGAGAGCAAGATACCGAGAAGGAAAAGTCGTCGAAAGACTCGGCTCGGTCGAGCGACCAAGATCTGGCTCGAGGTCCTCTTTGGAGGTCGAGGTACCAGAGCTGGAAGTGCTGGGGAAGCAGGCGGTGAAAAGAATAGGTGGTTGAAATTGAAACGGGACGAAGTTGATGAAATAGGCCCACGATCTTGGGCGTTGTAAGAGCTAGCTCGGCGCAAGTTCAGTGCTGGCGGCACGACCAGCATCTTTGATTGAGTTGGACCAGACATCATGGAATTGTATGAAAATGAACGTAATGCAGGAGAATCAAGCAATATGAAAATAGAGTTGCCAGTCGAGAACGCAAAACTGTTACTCTGGAACTGCGAATGTAACGACGAAGGATCCGGTGGACGACAAACCAGGTCGAACAGAGCGGATTGGGTTGAAAGGAAGGCCTATGACAGTTTGCTTTGCTTTGCCTGTTTGTGTAGCACAAGAAAAAAAACCACCCGTATTTCTTTAATGGTAATCGCAAGTGCTCTCAAACGGGACGTTTTCGATCCCTATAAACAAACGGACGTCTCAGTGGAAGTTCTTCATCTGGCTTTGGTAGACCTATAGGGAAGCCAGCCGTTGAAGTCGTCCTTCCAGTTACACGCACAAGGCAGTGATATATATCCGAAGATAAGTAGTAGAATCGAAACCTGAATGGGCGAGCGGCCAAATGTTCAGAATAAGACAAAAATAGAATGCAAGGTAAGGAATGTGTAACGAATCGAATAAGAGCTCAAGTTGCGATAGACATCAAGCCATCGACCTGCACTGCAAAGAACAAGAGAAGAAGAAAGATCCCCGTGGGGCACAAAGAAAGGGAAACAAGAGTTCTAGATTTCAGACGTTGAGGATATGAAATCCTTCGGATCATGGACTTGAAAAGAAGACGAAGACCGGATGGGGCTCGGCCCACGACAGGGAGTACCCTGGATGGGAAGCAACTCCGAAGCAACACCTGCTGCGGGATACTTTGAGCACGGATAAAACATCAGATTAGGGAGGCATAAGGTAGGCAATGTACAAAAGCATGGCTACCTTACCTAAGGTACCTTACCTTATGCTAAGTACTATGTACATGTTTCAACAGAAGGGAGCTTTACACTTTCCTTGAAGTCAAAATGTAAGCAGAAGGATAAGGTGTGGTATGGTTTGGTAAATGTTCCTTCAAATCTTACCACCTCCATACTCATCAAACTGTATAGCATCCCGTTCCTCAGACCGTTGAAAGAGGAAGCATCGCAAGCTAAGCTTAGTCCGACAGTCGTGTCACACTGCGTGGGGTTCTTCAAAGACAGCGAACGAAGGAACGCCAGGGTTTGACGATGATTTGCCTCAGACTGATTACGCAGGCAGGGGAACAATATGCTGTGCACAAAAGTGCTTTCCGCCATGTCATCATAAAATCAACAGGAAACATATCGTGTTCCGGTTGCCGACGATCATCACATGGGCCGACAGATCTTGCGCCGTTTAAGCTGGGAGCTGTTACAGATGCTTGGGAGACAGCCAACTATGTGGCGGCGCTTCACGCAAGCATTGAGGGGATGAAATGGCGATGGGCTTGCTGGCGGCCCATCAATCGCCAGACAAAAGCTGTCAACGGGATGTGGTGGTTAACAGCCGAAGCGGTTATGCTACTCTTCCTACGCGACACTTGAGCTCAAAGCAGCTTTAGCCTTTTCATTCGCGGATTCTTCGGTCCTTGACAAACATTGTCACCAGCTAAGCAGCTCTTACGAGGTCCGAGAGCCTCCCACCCTAGTCCGCGCTTCTGCAAGGTACAGCCCCTTGCCCGTCTTGACAGGGGTAGAGGAGGCAAAGCAAAAAATGCCGGGGCTTCTCGGGTTTTCGCTAATTTCAGACCTGTTTCAGATTAAGGAGCTTTCAAACGGCCAAAGCCAATAAGAAAGAGTTATTCTCAGACCCATTCAACTTCCTGCTGGTGATAATCTAAAGGGCCACACCAAAGACAAGAACTAATCGAATATCTTGGGCTTCATGTTTCAATCATACAACAAGAAACAAAGAAGCTCCCCGATGTTTCGAAGACACATCCTTCATGGGGCTGAGTAAACCGATCATGACAAATTGGGAACGGAAGTTGATAGAAACGATATGCCGTGCAAGCTACCGGAAGCTTCCTTCTCCTCATGTTTTATGTTTGTATGAGAAACAATCTCGGGTCCCAGCACGAGGATTGTGTGAGGTTGTCTGACTCGATAGTCATGCCACCACTATGAAGCCTTGGGCAATAAAAGATTTAATGCGATGTGCCTTATCAGGTTGCTTTGTTGTTCTAGTGACCTCATGGCTCTGGAAGCCGGTGTTTCAATGCATCTTTAAAGCATATCACAACTAAGTTGGTATCTTGGAGGGCTCTGATCACACACAAACCTTACACATTAACTTACATGTCACATACATCTCTCATCGTTATTGAAGCCCGAATCTCAGAATTCCTTCATTCTTATCTCTCTGTCTCATGTTTTCTCGTTCCCCATCATTAACTCACTGCAGCAGCCAAGTGCTGCATCCTGATGTTGCTGTCAAATCTCCCACTCTCAACTCATCATGGTATAAGTACATAACTAAGCTCTCTTCCCCAAAGAATAAAGTAAAACGAAGGTAACAATGTCCTGTCAAAAAGGTTGTCGCCCGCTTCCTGGCACAAAGAAAATTGTTCGCAAAACACAAACGGGCTCTAAGGTTCGCTGTTTCTCACCAAGTCCCTGAAACAAACATAAAATGCGGCCGCTTGCATGAGCCAAGGGCGGAATGTCTTCTTGATCCTTCCGTTTCCCTTTTCTCTCGCCCAGCGATAAAAGAAAGTATAATCGGGTATAACGCAAATAAACCCCCTTTTCCCGCAAGAAACAATGCCAATTTCCTTAAACGCCTGTATGCTCAATAAGTCTCCGACCCAGTTTACTCCAGAAAGGGGGCGATATAATGAATTCCTCGACTTTGTATCATCTTCTATGCCTCTGCCGACAAATCTTTCCGCTCCTCAGGGGGATTTGGTGTGGGAGTTCGTCGTAAAGGCTCAAAGTTGGGTTCTGCTAAGGAGTCCATCTTCTGTCCACCCGCCAGGCGTACGCTACCTCGCTTACCACGTACCACCTGGCCTCTCTCAACCCGATCTTGCAGCATCTCGTCCAAAAGATTATTCATCTCGTCAACACCTCGGGTTCGCTTCTTTTCTACCTCCACTGGCTTCGCGCCGCTAGCTACGTCGAGGTGCGCCTCTTGTTGAGGAGGCGGAGAACGAGGCTCAACAGTTGCTTCGGCTGTGTCGCGTGACCGTGCTGCACTTCTCAAAGCGGCCAACATTCTGTCCTTATCGTCGAGTCTTGCTCGAAGATCTGCTATCTCGGAGTCTTTTTCCCTCAAGGCAGCAGATACGCTGTGATCTTCTCCGACCATAATAGCTTTGTTTGGGGCCGCAAAACCCACGGATGCCCGACTAGAGCTCGCGCGACGTGCTTGAAGAAGACGCTTTTCTAATGTCGCAATATATCGATTCTTGTCTGCAAGATCGGCTTGTAGGGCACGATTCTGAGCCGTCAAGGATGCTGTACCGTCACCAAATTCGCCTGCACTATCATCTTCAACATCTGCAACTTCATCTCCGATCTTCTGTCCACCACTAGAGCGACGGCCAATGGTCGAAGATGCCGATGTCATAGATGATGTGCGTTCCATCAGTGGTTTGCCACCCACAGAAGTAGCAACTGACGAGCGAATTGATGCTGGCAAAGATATCTGCGAGAACTGAGAAAACCGGGCATATTGACCGAGAGAGCTTATTGACCCATTCGAATTGACACCGATGGACTTTGAGCTGAGAATGAGGCGGTTCAGATGGTCGATTCGTTCCTTCAGGGCTGTCCGGGCGAGTTGCATCTCAAGAATTTGCTCCTCATGTCGCTCTGCAGCCTCAGCTTCTCTGGCCTTTTCTTCCTCTTCGTTGTGTATCTTTTCTTCCTCCACCACTTCCCCCTTGTTCTTTTTTGCCTGCGACTCAAGTTGCTGGCGCAATTCCGAGATTTCCATGCGATAACGCTCAAGCAGAACTCGAGCTCCGCCTTCGCCACCAGCTCCAAGGGCTTCCTCGGCCTTCTTTGCATGGCTGACGATATTATTCTTGGCTCTCGAGGCAAATTTGAGGGTATTGATCGTTTCCAGGGTGTGATTGTTGGCCAAGGCCGCGCTATTCCCGGCTCCGATCTGAATCGTGCAAAGAATACTCACTAGAGAATTCCCAGATAAAGCTCCCTGCAGCAGCCGAGTGAGTTTGCTATCGCGATATGGAAGATGCTTCCCTTCCTTATCTGTACCCTTTGCTTCTTTCTCCTTCCACTCTGAAAGCTTTGAAATAACTGTGCCCAGGGTGAGCAGACTCTTGTTAATATGAGCACCTTCTTGTCTACGCTCTTTAGATTCAGCAGCCTTCTCGGAGCCAGCAAGGTCGATTAAGCTGAGTGTTGACACTCGCACGCCACCAGGCAAAAGGCCAGACCGCTTACCGTCGCCCGCAACTGAAACACCTGGTATTCTCTCCCGAGACTCCACGACGATTTGAACGACTGCGTGGCTTCGTGAACTCCGAGCGTTGAACTGGGTGCTAGCGGTTCTTCGAGCTTGGTCACCTCGTGCAATGACTCGCAGCAGCTGTGTAGGGCTCTGAACGATCTCCTCCTTCAGCGGGGTAGCATACACACCGCGCTTGCTGTCTTCACGGAGCTTAATCTCTTCTTGCTGTGCACCCCCTCCAACGCCATTCGCAATGGGCATACTTAATAAATCATGGATTTTTTCATTGTAAATCTCCAGGTAGCTGACTCGCAGCAAAAATTCCCGGGATGGCGTTTCTCGGATGTATGAAAAGATATCGGTGATAGCAAGGGGAATCACGCCTGGTGATGAAGCGGTTCCTTGCATAGAAAATGTCTTTCCGGTACCGGTCATACCGTACGCAAAGACAGTACCATGGTAACCCTCCATAACCCGTCGGACTAGCCGTTTTGCAATATGGTCGTATACTCTAGAGTTATTGTCATGTGTCGTGAAAACATTGTCTAAAATGTCAGTCTAGGCAGGACTTCATTTGCTTGAGTGCATACCGTAGTAATGGTCACCACCATCCTTCCCTCTGAATGAGATGAGCGACTTGCGCCCATCGACCATCCACTCACCCTCAGGGCTCCCGTTGTTTCCGTTAGCGTCTGGCCGAACCCTGACACTTACAACGACATTCCCCTTGCCATCATGTTTGGATGCTCGCTTGTCAGTTGAGGCATCGGATTTCTGGCCCGATCCTTCCGCGGGGTCATCATATGTCGTAGCTGATGTCGAGTATGAATCTTGTGCTGAAGAACTACGGCTTTGAGGTGGTGACGCAACACTGATCAAGCCGTCTGACATGCGTACACTCGTAATTGACTTTCCTTCCCCGCTACCATTAAGGAAGCTTGGTGTGCTCGAATTAATCGTGCTGTACATGGATTCCTTCGCGGCTTTTGAGGGCTTCCTTGTCGATCGGGGTTTGTCTACGGCCCTTGGACTAGGCGGAACGCCGCTGCTTGAACGTGTGTCTCCTCTGGGTGGTTGTGGGAAAGAGTTGATGCTGACACTCTTGCGGAGAGTCTTTCCGGGACCATTAACACCTGAGCCAGTCCTTGGCTGTGGGAGTGCGGCTGACGGTGCTGGGCCTGGGGGGGCCAGGCTCATTGTCGATGGCGTTCGAAGACCGGATCTGGGGGTGCCTGGGGCTGATCTGATCGAGGCTGTAGGCGAAGGGATATTTCCTGTACTCTTGCGCGTCTTGCTCACTGGTAGGGCCGGCAGTGCCATATTGGGAGGCCCAACTGAAGGCCGAGACGGGCGTGGCAACGTTGTCGTCATTGTAACTTGAAATCGAATGTGCAAAAAAAAAAAAAAGCAATACAAGGATTCGAATGCGCGCAGGCTCGAAATCGGAGGCCTGGTGCAGTGGCTTTTTAGGCGTCCTGAAAGGCCGGTCGGTCCATTAACAAAGTAAACTGGAAGTCAAGGTCGGACGGCTTCGCTCGATTAATGTCACCCTCGAAGGTTTGAGCGTCGAATGTAATATCAGAAGAATGTCGCAAAACGTGTGGATTCTAATCCTTCGTAAGGATGGTCTAGTTTGGTTGATCAAGGGAGTAATAGATCGGTGGAACGCGGGAAGCTGCGCGGAATCGGATGTATGTCTCTCAAAAGTGGTATCGACTTGGCTGTGTATTGTCAGTGACCTGAGAAGGGACGACGCAATAGTGCATAATAGTGTAGAGATTCTAGCTCTAGCCAGCACAATGAAAGAAAGGGATCGATATTGGAAAGAAGCAATTTTCAAAGTAGAATAAAACCGCCAGCAACGAACTCGGCCGTTGAGTTCTTTGAGGGGAGGGTTGAAATGGAAAGGGGGGTGGCATATGAGTGAGTGTTCCAGGTGCTGTCTTCGAAGTAGCAACGCAACAGGAGAGGAAGTGAACCCTTACCCTTGATAAAAAGCAAACCACAGAGAACAAGGACAAGCAAGGCTAACGTTAGTGTACCTCGACTAGCGCGGCGGGTAGCCTTGGTTGAGCACGGTGACGATGCCAGCTTCTGACCTCTTGGGTTGCAACAATCGAGACCGGAAAAAGACACAGACCAAGACCGGGACAAAGCGGGCAGTCGACTGCGAACTGGAGATCGTGGACCGAGTCTTGATTCAAGAGCTAGCAGACAGTATTGGCGCAGAAGCGAGTGATAAATGGAGTCTGGCGTCGATGTTCGCAGCTGAGAAGAACAAGGGCAAAAGGAGGATCGGTTTCAGTGATATCGTGTATGCATGACACAGACACATATACAGCTGAGATTACCGCGTGAGGTGCCGTCTTTGCCTTGCCCAGACCAGTGTTGATGTGGGGAGAAAAGAATGGAAAGAAGCCGTCGAGGTCAGTCGAGTTTGGGGTGGAGGTAAATGGCTAGACAACTGGGATGGAGGTTCTAATGCAGTCCCACCACAAGCGCGGCACAAGCACAAGAAAGTGAGGGTATGAGTGGCGTGACGTATAGAATAGAGACAAGGGAGAGTCTTGGGAAAAGGTTATCAGACAAGAGCAATAAGAAAAGAGACATATAACTCCCACAGAATGGAAATGAAGAGAGTGAAAGAGAGCCCGATCCAGAAAATGATGAACGCGGTAGAAAGGTGGATTGATGAGAAGCCTACCTCAATGTGCCTGGGCTGAAAACGGCCCGCTTAAGCACCTGAAGCACTTGGGATCTTAGAGGACTGGTGCACTAAGTTGAGGACCGATGCGTTCCAACTGAAGCGCCGACAGCACTAGCATGGGGGTGTTCAGTAAACCTTAGAGCCTATGGATCTATGGCCAGCAATGTTTGTTTGAATACTCTGTAATCAGTAAATGTTTATCGCGGATGAGATCCCAGACATGGTGTCTTCCGAGGCCTCTGAATGCATCAAGATTGGATGTGAGCATGCATCCTGTTACCGCAAGGGCTTCGAGGATACCGCTGCAATACTAGAACAAGGACTGTAATTACGATATGCAAGCCCAGGTCACGTCGTCGAGTAACATTGCATGCTAAAAACTCGATTGGCCCGGGGTGCACGGTCTAAAAAGTCCCCCAGTCAAGATAATGAGCTCAACTTTATGGGACGAGCCAACCAGAGTGTCTTGCCTGGACGCTTGAGGATATCTTCCCCGGCTGGTCTTGTAACCTACGACCATTGTGGTTAGACTGGAAGACAGAAAAGAAAATATCATTGTACCATCCAGCAGGCTGACTATCATAATGCTGCTGTGAAGACTGTAAAAATCCAGGGAACACGGTTCAGTCTCAGAACTGATATCCCTGGCTCCCCTCTTCCCGTCAAAAGAAGGTCCATCCAATTGTTATACATGGACTCGAATCTGAACCTTTTCCCTCACATAAGATACTTCTACTAATGCAATAGCATGCGCCAAGTAAGATACTAAAGGACGGCCCGGAAGTTGCCCTTATTAACAAAAGAACAACCCACAAGTTCGTCGGGTAACTGCGTCGTCGATCGCGCCGACAGTCATGTACCGACCGAGCTGTAGCCTGAAGGGAGCTTCTGAAATCACCCACTTCCCCCTCCATTGGGTCCTTGCGAGGAAGCTACGGCACCTGTGATTTAGCTCCCGGCACCCGAGCAACCTCAAACAGCTAACGCAGGTACTACCGCTTGTGCCTGGTTAGAATAGCAAAACTTGGCCCAGAAATGGAGGTTTGTTTCGAACATCATCATACTCTATGTTAGTAGGTAGTGGAGCTAGGTACTAGGTACCGAGTTTATAGCCTAATGAACGCAGCAATTGCACCTAGCTTGGCATCTTGCCCAAGGGTGTTTGGCTCACGAGCACTGATGTTGATCAGTAAACTTTCATGTTTCATATCCAGCTCCTTGCTCTTGAGCTGAAAATTCTCCATCACTTAGAATTCCAAGCCTTTTCCTTGGTGTTGTCTTAACACGGCGCACAGCAATGCTCCCTCCTTTGCATATATATGCATATGTATCCGTAACTATATGGATATCTAAGTACTAATCTAAGGTACTGCGTACATAGTAGATTGCCCAAGCGTCGTTGTCTCAACTTCTCAATGAGCGTCGACTCCTTGCAGCTCGACTTGCTCCCCTGCCAACCTTCAAGGGCATCATTGACCTGCTCCCAACCCAGCGCGGCAGCTTAGCCTCAAGTTGGTCATAACAGCCGGTCGCCCCTTTCCGTGTAAGGATTGGACCCTTTGCAATATTTTTTGCTCCTTGTTGGCGGAGCGCTATTACCAGCTGCCTCGAAATTCGATCGTATCAACGACAATGACACCTACCAAGAAAGGCATCCTCGGATGTGGCAGATCCCACATCAGACGGTGATGAGTGTCGTCTTTCTCGACTCGTCTCCTGTAGTGTTTTATTATTACTCATGCAAAGCATGCATTGGGGAGATCCGTTCAGTCTTGGATTGTCCACGAGGAGATCCAATGATCCTCACGTACAGCGGAGTACAGTACATACTGTAGTACTGTACAGAGTACCTGCATACGCCTCCCACAGCGGGACCCTTCATTCAAGATTTGCAAATTCCATGGAGCGGAGTGTCTCAATAATGAGACCCTTGCCGAGAATGCCCCCACTGCCCAGCTTATAACCTATCCTATAGACAAGGAAACTTATGGGTGTTGGTCAATGGTTAACAGCTCAAAAGCGTTGATCATGAATACAGCCCCTTGCGCGCAGGTCTCATCGAACAACACGAGACTAGATGCTACATCAGATCGCAACAGTCCCAAACTCGGATACCAGATGGGAGGGTTCCAAATCATACTCAAACAAAATAACGGTGTGAAGAAACATTCTCACTGGGATGGCGCATTCCGTCAGCAGTCTTCAGCTTTTGCCCTGTCCCGATGTTGTGGAAGCAAACTCTATGGCATTTCGACGGGCTCACCCATTATTGGTCTGAATATCAGATACCATGAAATGCAATTTATAAACCCCTGGCCTGTGGTCTTCCAGTTTGCATGGCTCATCAATAGGCTTCAAGGGACCCTGTCTGTGCCCCTTTCACGGTTCACCGGGGCCCCAATGCTCCATAACTGATAGCGCGGTTGTGGTTGAGCCACAAGCTTTTGGTAAATCGTCGTAGACCTATAGATAGGACTAAACTTTATCACAGAATTACAAACCATTTCTAGCTGCACATACTTGTCACATTGGTAGCATGTTGCTTGAACATCAATGGTGGATAGTGATAGTCCTGCCGATCAGCTGAAAATGCGATTCTCACGGACTTACTACATATGCCCGACTAACATGTTGTCAAGCCTGTCCATAGGATAAAAACATGCACACTTGCAAGGGTATTCTCGCTTTACCTATCCTTCCGATGTGACAGCCTCGTCCACTTGCTTTCAGGGTTCCACCATCAACGGTTCTTTGACGGCCGTTGCACCCGTTGTAACGAATCGCTCACTTAAGGCTCATCTCGCTCCTGGTACCACGAGGGTCTTCTCCGCCTATCATAAAATCTCGATGGAACGTGGATTATCACTTTAATCCCCGGTTGAACATCGCATTGGTCTGTTCTGTGGAGATAATTTCCTAGTACTTCGCAATATGCTCTCTAAAAGCTGACATCTGAGCTCCTGCGATTTTGATCAACTGCATATGCATGATGATTTATTACCAATGGACAATAAGTAAACATCGATGATAATGTGCTAATACCTAATGCCACCACCTCAGATGGTTGTCGAGACAGAATTGGCTAGACCCAGCCCATCTACAACTTGCTACTCCATGAACATGCCAGTCTGGATGACTGCGTCAGACTCGCTAGTGATCGTGTCCACTCAAGATCAACATTGCATATGCAGACTCTTCCCTTTTCTTTCTCGTTAAAAGTCTGGCCTGGTCTGATCTGACATTGTCTTGCTTTTGTCTTTCATGCCTAAGCCACATCAGGTGAAATCCCCTCGCTTGTCTCGATATTCCCATATGACAACCCCAGTTCAAAGCTCGATAACGAATGGGCAGCTCATGCCTGATGACTTTAAGCTTTGGAATCAATCCTAGAAAAGACATGAAGACACCAAGCTTTCTCTTCCAACGAACGAGCTCTCAGGTACGGAGAGCAAAGTGTGTATACATTCCGGGGTTCAGATGAATATGCATATGCTGGCCGGCTTGATCGCGAACTCGTCGCTTTCTTATCCTCCTTCCTTGAAAACATATATAAAAATAGCCGAAAATCCGACGGAGTTGCGCTTCGAACGACGGCAGGAGCTTATGTTGTTTGACGCATCGCGAAAGCAGAAATCGTTCTTAGTATGTATTCTATCATAAAGTATGAGCAGACGAAGAGTCCAAAACCCCGAACACTGTTTGACGAACACCTACCCTTGCACTCGCCTAGGCAGAGTGTCAGTATTAGATTCAATGCCTGTCAAGCGTTCCCTATCACAGTCGGATCACAATTCAATCACAACTGTCACACTTGGAAGCCTTTCCACTCCAATCGGATGTCTCAATGTGAGCGGGCTTCATGCATGGTCGTATAAGTACCCTGCTCATATTAAGGCGCCAGCAACAACTGTAGAAGACTTATATGTACTATTGCGGGTCGCACATTGCAGTGCATATTCAGTCGGCCTCGTTGCTGTTGGTAGGTGATTCGATTGGAAAGCCTATGTTTATGACTTGAGTCTAGATCTATTAAAACAGAGTGTGTCTCCCCCCTTTGATGCATCACAGAAGTTCGTTGTCATCTTTGCTTGAAGCATAGGTACAAATGAGTCTCAGAATAAGCTTTCCACGAGTAACACCATAGTCTCATGCGCCAACAAACTGAAAATCGAAAAACAATGCCGTGTACTCTTTGACGCTTCGTGTCAACCTCCCAATGCTCTCACTCCTCTTCCTACGCTTCCCGTCTCAAAGACTTCCACAACGCCTAGCCCTACGGCTTCTCCTAAGGCCCAGGACCATTCAACTCCCCAGAACTCCTTCCACCGCGGTCCATAGAGTCCACCACCTTCGAAGCGCTCCTTTAACCAGCTCTCTGGCCCTTCCCCCCAACGCGTTCGCCGTAGGGAGTCTCGCACCCAGTCCACGGTAGCGGTCGCCAGCTTCAAATGTCGGCCATGACCTGGGACTGATATTCGGAGGCCAGATGGTGTTGAGGATGAGCGTGTAAGTGTTGGGGCGCCTCCACCGCCGCCAGCAAGATGAATGGCATTATGGCCGCCCACGGCAGAGGCTGTGCCTGATGCAAAGCGTGAGACATGGTGAATCGATGTCAGCGTCGTTCGGTTTTCTGGCCGAATATCGAGAGTACTTTCTGGTGTTGAAGGTGTTGAGCTTGTAAGAAAGCCTGCACGAACAAGTTCGTCGGCCTGTGTGTTTTCCAGTGCACCCTTATATAATATCTGCGTAGTTGGGTTCTCTTTCAGAAATGCCCTGAATGATTTCCTCGTCTCCTCATGTAGTGATGCTTTGTCTAGCATCTCATTGTAGTCCGTCATCTCTATCAAGGCTTCACCTCCTCCACCACGTCTCTCAACTCTCACTCTCCGCACTATGCCATTTGTCGCCAATTCTGCAAGTTCCCGTTCAACTTTTCCTGGTGAACTAAGAATAGCATTGAGATGGCCTACAGTAACGAGAGGTGCCGTGGTCGCGCGGTAGTTAAGAATCTCAGTAGTTCGTGTTGAGCTGAAACCTGTTTGAGGCACGGGACTGTACATCCGAGCACGGATGTATCGCATCGCTTGGACGACATCTCGTAATGTAAGTTCTTCCTCCAAAACCTTTGTCAGGCCTATGTCGTCGAGTTTATCATGGAATAGATCTTCGTCTTGATGCTTGGACTTGAGGGTCGGTCTTCGCGGGGTTGTGTCAGAACGTTTACGAGAGGGCGGTGATGTCTTTAGAGGTTTGGTAATTCGACCTGACTTGCCGAGTATAGACCTTATGGTTTGTGGCATGTTGGTGGACTAGGTGTTGATGGCAGAGATGTTGTCAAATATAATATCTGAACAAGTAATTCTTGTTCAATGTCATACGCCCTTTGATTCGGGTGGCGAATTGGTGGAGAACTTGAAGACTCGACTCTCGCACTCTGGCGAAAGGTTCATTTGAAAGGAAGGATCAGGGACCCATCGAAACAAAATTCTAGACAGTCATGAGACAAGAAAACTCAAAGACTGTGAGAGTTTCAATGTGCAAATCAAATTGATGCCTATCCAACTGCTGAACAAAAAATAAAAAAAATACCCTACACCGAGGTGGCTGACTAACGCTTCAAGTTTCGTGCATGGTGATCTTTTCACTCCCGTTTTGTCAGACTTCATGCAAGAAACCAATAGCTATTAATTTATACATATTATGGGCCACCTGAACTCAACCCGCTGTTGTCAGTATGTATGAAGTGATAGCACTCATCCTCTCGCTTGTCAGCTTCAGTGATATCTTTAGCAGCTCTCTTCCAATTTCTGGTTCCTTCTTCTGGATTCTGTCCCACTGGTCTCGATCCATCAGCCAAACCACACAGTCACGCTCCACGACAGCAGTTGCAGTTCGATCTGTTTCGGAGAAGAAAGGCAGCTCGCCGAGGGTTGTTCCAGCCACGATACTCTCGCAAAGCCAGCCCTGAGGAAGATCATACTCAGCACGTACAATACCACGTTCCACGAGGTAGAACCCATTGGCTGGCTCTCCACGTCGGAACAGAACAGTTCCAGCAGTTATCTCACGCCGAGAGAAGTAAGAGGCTGCTGGAAACCAAAAGTCCTCGTTCTTGTCGCTCAAGCCCTGGAAGACCTGGAGCATAAGACGGAGGGGCTCCTTGAAACTTTGCCACTTCTTCGGACGTTGTACTTCCACGCTGCTCAAAGCATCGCGAGCGGCCTCAGCAAGGTGAGTACGACGCGGTGAATTGAAAGGTGGATCGAAGGAGGAGAAACCAGATGATTTGTTGGAAGGCACGTCCAGATTCTTCGCTGAGTGTGCCGATATACGTCTCAGGGAGTTCATCTCTTCCTGTCTGGCGTACAGAGTTTTCAGGAGTTCATTTTCGCAGCTCTCAAGAGCAGAGTTCAGATTTGGCAACATCATGACCTCGATACCATCGTTTCCAAGTCCGACAGCTCGTAGGTTGCGACCAAGTTGAGTTTCTGAGTCCACGCCACTCAAAACGAGGACGACATCCTTGTTATCAAGTAAGCGGCTGATGGTGTTGAAAGCCTCACCGGCGGAATAGTCGAGTCCAGTAACGTGCCACATGTCAAGAATCAGGAACTTGATGGGCTGCTTAGTGAATGTGCTGTCCTCCAAGAGGCCCCGAATCTTTGCCTCAACGCTGACGATGGTCCCAAAGAAGAGATAGCCTGTAAGCTTTATGATATAAATCTGTCGGCCGACCTCATGCAAGTAATGATGCTGAGAAGGATTGCGTCGCACAGTGGAGGAAACAATATCTCCAGAGTAGTTTCCACGAATGGCCGACACACGAGAGGTCTGTAGGACCAAGGAAACAAATGCCAATAGTATGCCAACTCCGATGCCAACGACAAAGTCATGAATGCCCATGACAAGAACAATTACCACAACAGTCAGATACTCTGCCAGCTTGAGTTTCTTTCGTGGAAGCCAAAGAGCTTCAAGCAGCAGCTCGAACCCTAGATCATAGATCAGAGTGCCCACCATCATAACTGGGATGAAACCAATGAGTGATGGACCAATGACCATGACACCAAACGTTGCTGCGGCCAGCATATAACCTGCAAGCCGGCTATTACCTCCAGACCGCATAAAGAAAACTGTGTTTGCATAGACCAAGTAATTTTGAATACTACCAAAACAACCGGACAAGAAGTTGGAGTAGCCATGCAACCTTAACTCCTTATCAAGATCAGCATGATCCTCGCCGCAGTTTAGGGCTAAGGCAGGGACGTTGATCGGGACATGCAAAATGCCAAAGAATGTCAATGCAAGCATAGCAGGCACACATTCGATGACTGCATCCCAGCGTACAAGTTTGAACTCTGAAACAAATGGTTAGCCTGGTAGTGAAAACAGGGGAGGAGGCATTGGACTCACTGTAAAGGGTGTAGAAGTACCACCATGGCTCCCCAGAGGGAGGTCCCTCAAAGATCCAGCCATGGTCGCGTAGTACATCAACGTCCAAAGAATCCAAGGCAAGGACAAAGAAATAGAAGATGAGGGGGATCGCGAGAATAAATAGGGGGAGGAAGAATTTGGATGTGATCTTAGACTGGCCATAAAAGAGAACAATGGCGAGAACTAAGGGGACAACCCAGAGAGGGACGGTGGCCGGGTCTGAGAGCTGTTTGAGAGTGTCGAGGTTGTACTGGAGGCTGCCATCTAGTCGAGCAGAAACCTCGAACCCAGTTGCGATCAGGAACCAACCGACACCTCCAATACAGCCAATGAGAATATGCCTGGGAATAAATCCCACCATGTAACCGACTTTAAATCGTCCCATCAAATAGAAGACGAGACCTGTCATCATGGCGCTGGCGGAAAATGACACAATTGTGGTGGCGATCACGGCATCAGGATTATCTTCCCCAACAATATCAGTGATCTTTGCAGCCATATTATGAAAGAACGGAACCACTTCAATCTAGGATGGTTAGCAGGCATTAGTTGACTTAGGGGTGCGACTGACCAGCTCTGAACCAACGGCACCCTTAAAGATACTACCAGATGAGAATGTTATTTGCGAAACAATAGTGCTAACATAGAAAACAGAAATTCCAGCGGATCCCAGGTGAGAAAAAATTGGCTTTCCTAAAGGGAAGAGGATCATTCCTAGGCTTGTTAGATGTCATGCGTGGACGTCGAACTACAAAACATACCATATGATAGAGCATCCAGGATATTGAGCAGCAGACCAACAGCAACGGCAGGTAAACATGAAGTTGGCGTCAGGACCGCATTATTCCAAAGCGCATGACGATCCCACTTCTTGGGGTTGATGGCGATGGCCACTCCTTGGGAAACCCTTTCTTCCATCTTATTGCCGACTTCCACAAGACCACTAAACCATGGTCGTTTAGTCTGAGGCTTTTGACCCTCGAGGTCAGAGTAGGACCTTCGGCCAGCGGATGTTATCTGAGTGAGTAGAGGGGTCTGCTCTGTAGCATCCTCTGCGTGTGCAACTCGAGGTTGCTCCCCCTCCGGTCGACATGCGTCACCGTTTGGCTCCTCATCCTCGACTTGTGGTTGGTTTGGCGCAATCGACTGGGGAGGAGATCGCTTCAGGAGGTTTGCCAGTACGGACGGTCCCGCATCCGCGTCAGTATCGTCATCGCGATCATCTGGAGACGGCGGCTCGGAAACTTCAAGGATTGTTTTGGAGGAGCGGGTGTTGTCGGCCGTAGATGAGTCGTCGATAGCCTCCGAGTCAATTGAGTCCTGGTAAGAAACCCTTGCACGTTGGAGAACGGTCGAGCTCTGCTGTGTCTTCGGGTCGGAGAGCAAATAATTCGCAAGCTCTGCAGTATCCTGCCGAACAGATAAAGCGTTCTGAACACTATCAATTGGTGCTGTTGTAGATGGAGGAATCAGCCGAAAATGCGGGCAGACGAAAGAATGGAATGTCACATACCTAAGCCGTCTCGCACAGAACCATGGATGAAAGATCTGATAGGTTCTCTATGAGCTGCAGAGCTAGAGGACGGTCTTGCAGCAATTGGGACATGGGGACTATGGCCGTGCTGAACGGGAGAAGTTGAAAGCTCGTCGCGTTGCAATTGAGCTTGCTCGCTTTCCGATTGTGAAGCAGCACTCAAAGCTCTTCTCCTCCACGGTGTAAAATTGAGCGGCGACGACATCGTATCGATTTTAGGCGGCCGCAAAGGCACTTATGAGCGCGGGTTGCAGCTCACTTCAACGCTGTCGCATGAGCGATACACAAGGTCGACGGTCGATTATCTTTCAATGTTTCTTTTCTTTTCTGCTTCCCCTCCGGAGTCCAAAAACAAGGGAAACTCAGGCAATAATGAGCGAGACAATAAACATTCCAGGTGAAGCTTTCACGATAAAGAGAGATGGCGAGGATTTGGTAGGGAATGGAGTGACGAATGCCAACTGCAACCCGACGCAACGCAGCGTAGCGCAACTGAATGGCCAGGGCGATCAAAGCCATGTGGGTCGTATCATGACACTATCAAACCTAGGCTCATACGCCCGCATTGAGTTTTCACAACCAGTCAGTTTATGGGCTATCCGAGGGCAACAAATACATGAAAAACACGTAAAAGCTCAGCTTTGCTGTCACCGGCCAACAAATTAGCGGCTTAAATATGACAGATTTTTCTTAATCTCTCATTATAGTGATGCTCTGATACTACTAGGATCAGACTTGATCTTCGCATACAGCAGCAGTATGTGTTCTGGAATCCTTGTCATGAGCCATGAACTGCATGTCCTGCAGCTTTTTTTTTCTGCATGGGCGGAAGATCCGCTAAGACTGACCGAGAACCCACTAACAATCGCCACGGCCTAAAAACATGTCAAACTTGGTCGTAACGGCCGCCGAGACTCGCCGGACGGGCCGAGTTGGTTAGCGCAAGGGGATGTTGAGGAGAGAAATGATAAGACGCCAATGGTTAGGTAACAGGTTTCGTGTTTACGTGAGTATCCTCTTGTCAATGAGGATCTATTCCTATCTGTGCGTCTGTCTATTATCTAGTCATGATCAAGAGTTTGCAGGGTTATCTACATCTCATGTTGTTCTGAGACACCAAGTCATGTCATGCATCTATTTTATAATACCAATACTTTGCTTGAGCATTATCAACAAGAAGAAACTTAAGGCATTGGGCCAACTGCCTCTTTTCCATGGAATCAAGTAGATCTTAGGACGTATCACATTTGGTTGTCCTGAGGTTGTGTGTATCTCCTCACCAAACATATGATGTCTTGAGGTTCCACCATCACTACAACTTTGAGGGGCAAGCATTGCGGAAGAGATTATCCATTGACAAGCGATGAACTAGCCTGGACCAATGCATTGGAAAGTCGATGCCCTCTGTAGCTTACGTACTACATTAAGCTACGAGTTAACGAATTGATGTTTACGGGAAAAGAGCATGAATAAACGCGATAAATTGACATGCGATCTTATCAATATTCATGACGCAGGGTATAATACTAGAAATAATATGCGACCATCAAGCTCCCTATCACTTGTTCAGACCCCGCTTTCTCTCATCCGAGCTTATACAAATATCCCTGTGCAATGAGTCTCTCGACGTCCCCTTGGCGTACATAAAACTGACTGTTCTTGGTCAATGTTATAGCCCTGATTCCATGGTCAGTTCATCGCATGAGGCGCAAGTGATGGTGATATTGCGCAACTCACCCGTACTCTGTTTGGATTTCACCTGCATCCTTGAGAACTCGCACATCAATGAACAGGTCTCGTGGCGGCTCTAGGCTCCCCGTAAGGTCGATGTCTGTCCATTGCCCCTTGTAGGCTGCCAACAGGTCGCTGTACTGTCTGACATATTCCTCCTCTTGGGGGCTTAGACTACTCTTTGATGCATCACTACCGCCCGCACCGGAAGCACTCGCAGGATCCCGTACTTGTTGCCCAGACAGATCTACCACGTCTGATCCATTCCATACCAATTCTTCAAGCTTGTCTGTCCGTGTCCGGTGGTACGCGAGCAAGCAACGCTTGTTCCTTCGCATCGAAAGGTGATTTACTAGCAGAGTGCAAGCAACATCTTGGTCGGCGCTTGGATCAAATGAGCCTTGAAACGGCTCAAGAAGTTCTGCTACATCTTTGTCCAGGTCTCTCACTTCTCGTGCCACCGCTCGGACAATTTCGGTCTGGTAAGGTGGTAGATGGGTCAGATTTTGGGTTCTTTTGGCGTGTTGGACCTGTCGTCTATATGTCAGATCTATGTCAGGAGTATATTGACAAAAAGAATACCAGCTTGTTGCCCAAATCTCCATACATGATGCAGCTGGTCCAGGTCTATGAGCGTGTCGGGTATCCTGTTAAGCTGTTCTCGTGTCCTTCGCATTAATCAAGTAAGGGAAGTGATGGAGGATGATCGAGGACTGCCAGACCGAACTATGTTCCAGGCAATGACATCTTCACTTTTGTTTTGAATAGAAGAAATGTTATGTCGCGTTGGTAACGTAGGGACAGTTGACCGCGACTAGCGAACTGCATGGACACGCGCGACAAGTCGAATTTTACCCCGCCATAATATGGCTTAAAGCGATACGATTCAGTACCTAGGTAGGTAGTTGCACCTTCCATTGAGACCCCTCACATTCCCATTAGATAGGGACCTGAGTCAGAGGGGTGTGATAATAGTGGGGTAGGACCTTTTTTTTCTTTTTCTTTCCCATCAACGTGGATGCTTTATCACATACGAGTGGCTCCAACTTGCGGGGTGAAACATCCTGAAAGCTACTGGTAACGAATATTATACTCAGTCATATTTATTTTTGTTTTCATAATCTATGGTCGGTACGAAGGGGTAGGATTCATGACTTTTCCACCTGTACGTAGCTCATTCGAAGTCATAAGATCCCATTGGTCATAAGTCCTCGCCGTCGTGCCTCATCATAAGTTTGACGTAGTTTTCCGCAGGCTTTTTATAGCTTCTGCATGGCAGCGACGTCAGTGGACTGGACGTAATCCTCAAGCTCCTGGATCTCCTCCTCAAGGTCGGCAACGGAAATCTTCTCGTCCTCAACAACCATGTTGATCTGGAGCTTCTTGACACCGAAGCCAACGGGGACGAGCTTGGAAGCACCCCAGACGAGGCCGTCCTTCTCAATAGCACGGACGGCAGCCTCGAGGGCAACCATATCGGTCTCATCATCTAAGCATCGTTAGCATGGGAATTTTTGAAAGAACGAAAGGGAAAAACATACCCCAAGGCTTGACGTCAAGAGTGACGACGGACTTGGCGATGGTCTTAGGCTTGGCCTCCTTCTTCTTCTTGTACTCAGCAAGACGCTCCTCACGGACGCGGGCAGCCTCCTCATCCTCCTCCTCGTCGTCGCTGCCGAACAGGTCGACATCGTCGTCATCACCTCCCTCGGCCTTCTCAGGAGCCTGGGCGGGGTTGATGGTCACCTCCGCGGTCTCAGGGCCGTAGGTGGTGTAGGGAGCAGCAGCATCACCAGGGAGGGTGGCGAACTGGCTCTCGTAGCTAGCAATGTGCTTGTACCATCGAGCGGCGTGGGGGTACTTCTCAGCGTCAGGAGCGCTAGAGAGAGCCTTGAAGGTAGCGACATCAGCCTGAGAGGCTGATTGGCTGAGAGGATGTATTAGCACATATTCTCAACTCGTTATTCAAGAATAAAACATCGGATGTTTTGAAAACTACTCAGAGGTGCACAAGTGCTTGTTGTTTCGTCAAACGGCGGGTCTTGAGTCCGCCTCCGAAACACGGACCAATTTGTCTCATCATAGAAGTTTGAAAAGGGAGAAAGAGTAGGTGAGGTTTAAAACAGTTCAATACATACCCAACAATGTAAGAGCGGGTGCTCAACCAGCTGTTGAGCACTGATTTCAGGTGTCAGTGTCCATGGTGCGGAAAAGAGAGGCACAAGAAAACTATGAGGCCAGGGACATACCGGTAAGCCCAGCATCGGAAACGAGATCGGTGAAGCCCATTTTGAAGGATGTGAAAAGTCAAGTCGGAAAGAAGAGAAAGGTCGGGTATTTGTAGAGCTGGGAGAGATGTGAGAAGGAAAATGGGTTGTCTGGTCGATGTCCAGGTGGGGTTTATGAGATTTTTCACCTAATCTGCTTTGACTGGGGCTCACTACTAAATGCTAAGTGAGGGGCGGAAAAAGTGACGGATTAATTCTCTCCGCTAGCCGGTCTACGAGCGTCATTGAGCTAAGGTGCAGGTGGGTCCGAGCTTCCTATCTTAGGTAACTCCATTCTATATATCACAGCTGGACGACGTAAGAGCTTCTGCCGCCTTGTGAATCAAGTCGTTGTATAACCTTTTCCCAACACACCACAGTTTTCTCTCTTCCGGCACATATCCAAAATTTCCGAACATGCCAATCTCACCAATTATCACCTTCAAAGCGGGCCAGTGCGAGGTTGATGTACGTCTCATCCAGTGCCCAGGAATTAGTAGGAGCATACACTAACTTCACTTGTCTCCAGGCCTCCTCCAAGCCTTACAAGGTGAAGCCGCAGCCTGAGCCGGGCTATATCTACCTATACTCTGAAGATGGTGAGTTTTCAAGGTCGCCCTTGTTATTGCTGCATGGCTAATGACAGAACAGATCTCGTGCATTTCTGCTGGCGCAAGCGAAGCGAACCCCTCGACAACCCCGAACTTGACCTGATCATGGTCCCTGGCGATGGCAGCTTCACTCCTCACGAATACACATCGTCTTCCGAGCCCACCTCCAAGACCAACGGCCGTATCTTCGTCCTCAAGTTTACTTCTTCATCCCAACGATATCTCTTCTGGCTTCAGTCGAAGCCTCAGGGCGAAGACGGAGATCCTGCCTACTACAGCCCCCGTGATCGCAAGATTGGCGAAATAGTCCATCAACTACTACAGGGTGAGGAGGTGGATGTCGCTGAGGAATTGTCAGCTCTCCGTAACAACGATAACCAACCCGACGACGAGGATGAGACCATGGAAGACGCCGATACCCACCGTGCACCTCGAGGAAGCGGCAGCGGAGGTGCAGGACCTGACGCTACGGGTGGAGATGTTCGAGAGGAGGGCGAGGGCTCACGAGAGGGCGGAGCTGATGGTGCTAGAGCGTAGGTGATTCCCTTTGCATGGTTAAATTGGATGGTATGCTAGCGAGCGATGGTCTTGGCTTGTAGATCACAGATCTGGGACAACAGGTCAACCGTGTAAAACTAGATTTCTTCACTGCGAGAGGAGAATTGGGAACTAGTGTCCTGGCGCTGGATCTGTGGCATCAACTCTAAAATGTGACTGTGCTGACCTTGTTCCAGGGCCTCTTCATCTGCCCCTGATGCCGATGCTGCTGCCGCTGTGAAGAGCTTTTTGGACAGCCTTCGAGGCCCGTCAGGGCTCTCTGGTGGACAGCAGCAGCAAACCACCGACAAGGCATACCCTCATCTCAACCACCTACTTCCCACTTCCATCACAATACCTATGGTTGACTCGGCTCCCGAAGAGTTCACAGACACATTGATCAGCCTTCTCCCTCCTACTGTTATTGTCCTTGCAAGTGGCTCAACAGATTCTGTTGATGGGAAATTGGAGCCGTCAGCTTCGGCTGTGGAGGATGCCAAAGCCTCATTATCCCTGGACGACAAGCGGACGCTGTTGAAGAAGGTTCTGAGAAGTCCCCAGTTCAACCAAGCCCTGGCAAGTCTCACAATGGCCATACGGGATGGTGGTTTGCCAAGCATTGCGGATGCTCTTGGTGTAAAGGTCCAAGATGGAGGATACCTAAGAGGCAGCGGCATGCCTTTGGGTGGTGGCCAAGCTATTGAAGCATTCGTGAATGGCGTTAAGAAGACAGTCGAGGACGAGAAGAAATGAAATAGCGATGCATTCTCGCGAGGTATATTCTCGACTGTGGGCTTGCGTTCTCTAATGACACGAAGAAAGAAGCAATACTTGAGATATATTGATGAAGGTCAATACCTGGTAGGCAACGTGCAGCATCAAATGGGTTTTAGAGATTAGACCACTTGTCCCAATCTCTGTTTGTGATTTCAGAAGTAAAATAGATCCATGATTTTAAGATGGGTTGAAATATAAATTTAATACTCATACTATTGGGCTATCGATACCAGAGTTATAATTAAGGTACAGGTAAGTGCCGTTGGGTTAGTACCAAAGCTGCCAAGGTATATGTAGTACGGAGGGTTGGCAAAAAATCCTAATTTTTTCTAGTATTAACTTATTAACTTAGTAGGTAGTAGCTTAGGCACCTAGGTGTTTACTCAAGGTGGGGCCTGAGATCCCGTCGTTGGCCCCCACGAGGATAGCATACCTAGAGAGACGCATACTGACGTACTGCACTATTCCTCAGGGTAACATTTCAAGCTAGCTCACCAACAACCAAAATCCAACCTACACCTCAAGCTCTTTTCAGTCGCTACTTCATTCAAAACCCCCCCTGACGTGCTTGGACGCTCTGGTATTGTCGCGATGGACGTCTCATTTCCTACGGACCCTCGTGAATTCGACAGCGATGATCGCATATCATTTTCCAAACTTGACCAGAAGTTCATTGCAGTTCACGATGACGGCAACGAGTACGAGTTCGACGCCGATTCCAAGCGATGGGTGCTTGCAGATGAGAATGCACTAGAACCACCAGCGGCTGGCGCACTCAATGACTTTGCAGAATCTGTATCGCATGATACTGTAGATGGCGGAGCAAAAAAACGCAAGAATGAATCGAGTCATGGTTCTGAAGTAGGTCCAAACATCGCTTCGCTGTCGAAACTGTCTCGATGCGTGTTTGCCGAAAGGTTATTGAAGCTAACTATTGAGTAGACTCCCGAACCTAGTAAACCTTCACGACAAAACAAGAAGCAAAAGGCACCTCAACAGCCTAAACAGAATACAGCCATCTATGTCACAGGTTTACCTGCTGATGCAACAGTTGAGGAAGTCCACGACCTCTTCTCTCGAAAGGGCGGCGTTATCGCAGAGGAAATTGACAGCGGAGCACCACGAATCAAACTATACACCGACTCAGAGGGCAAATTCAAGGGTGACGCGCTGATTGTCTTCTTCAAGCCCCAGAGCGTGGAGATGGCCATTATGCTTCTTGATGATACAGACTTCAGAATCACTCCCAGTGGCACGCGTGAAGGACGAATACGTGTTCAGGCCGCAGACTCGAGTTACAAGAAAGTTAAATACGACCAGGAAGGTGGCGCAGGTGGCGAAGGGGGGAATGTCACAGCTGAGCGTAAACCACAGAACAAGGATCGCGACAGGCAAAAGATCATCAAGAAGACTCAGAAACTCGATGCGAAGCTGGCAGACTGGGATGACGACGTGCCCTACCCGGGCCAGCCGGAGACAGCGACCAAGTGGGACAAGCTTGTGATTCTTCGGCATATGTTTACGCTGGAAGAGCTTGAGGAGGACCCTGCTGCCCTGCTGGAGATCAAGGAGGACATCCGAGAGGAATGTGCCAAGCTGGGTACAGTGACAAATGTTGTCCTGTTTGACCAAGAACCGGAAGGCATAGTCTCAGTCAAGTTCAAAGATGCGGATTCAGCCCGTGCATGTATCAACCTCATGCATGGAAGGAGTTTTGATGGTCGAACAGTGGAAGCTTTCCTAGCGACAGGGAAAGAGAAGTTCAAGCAATCGAAGGACGATACGAACCAGGGAGACTCAGATTAGAAGGTCTACATCCAATGTTGACATTGGAAGAAGATTTTATTGCATTGTAAGATACCCATTAGCTCTGATACTAGAAGCCACATCCTAGGCAATGATTCATTTTCACAATATGAGCATTTCCCTATTCGCATCCATATGCCTAACTCAATGTAGGTTTACATGGATTTTGGACATATCCCCATTTCGAGTTCTTCGGCGACAGTGTACCATATAGCAGCTTCGATAATATTGCAGATGACCTGCAATTCTTCGTCATCTAATGAAAGTCTCGTCAGCCCATTGTTTATGTTCGCAACTTCTTGCCAGTTGCCTAGAAGCAAGTCTCACCTCGTGGTGCATAGATCATGACAAAGTCTGGGGAGACGGGGCTCTTGAGGAACCGACTTCTCCAAGCGAGTGGATGCCTCTGACCCCAGCCTTTTTCTAACACCTCCTTGATATCGTCCGGGTGTAAACACATATGCATGGAGTGGTCCGAGTCGTGAACATGACAGATCTCGCCCTGGCAATTCGTTTGTACTGGATGCCTGGCAAACAGTGCCAACCCATGCTTCTCTATGCACGACTTCTCAGTGCCAAACTTTTTAGGGCTCCTATTCGCTAACTTGGCCATGGACCAACGGAGAGCTCGGTAGCATACTCGAGATCCGTGCTGATCAAGTTGTCTTTGGGGTGCTATGCCAGCAACAACAGGTCGAGGACCTGCGCGGTATGGGAGACGCTGGCGTCGGAGGATACCTGATGTTGGGAGACGCATAAGGTCAGGCTCTGGGGCCGCAAACGGGTCGCTGAGAGCCCAAAGACGGAACCATGATATACGCAGGTAGCCGCTGAAAGTGGAGGGCGTGCCACCAGGGCCAAGGTTGAGGAAGTTCTGGTAGTCGTTGTGGACGAGCAGCACTATTGGGAATGAAGCAATGACTACCTCGGCGTGACATGAATCAAGGAAGTGAATAAGCAGAACTAAGATAAGGGACGACAAGAAGATGGTTTTACCATCAAGAGTTACGGAAACGGGCTGCTGTCGAAGCGCATAGGAGATCTTGAGATGTTCCAATTCAGCTTCGCCTTGGAGATCGGGAGGGGGAGAAGACAAGGTCTCGGCTGAAGCGATTGCAATTGATGACATTTTAAGATAAAAAGGCAGAGTAGTCTCTTTCTTTGAAGATGAAGAGTGCCTGTTTGGGACAAATTGGCGACCACAATGCCACTATGTGGTTGGAGAGCGGGGTGTTGGAGAGCCGTGTAAGTGTGATGTGATATTGAAGTGAGCTGTGTTTCAACTTATAGAACGATTTGCAACGGTCGACCTCTTCCAAATAAAATCGGAGAGTGAACCACTGCAGTATTTAAATAAATCGCCTGAGACAACAGCCGAGTCTTACAGGGCAAGGTCAAGTCAAGAATTGGAGACGGTGAAAGAAGCGACAAGAGGGGATCGTCATATGATGCTCAGCCAGCGTCGCAACTAGCCAACCCAACCCCGACGTTCCGACAGGCGTGTTGGCAGCCACCATAGCGAGCTGCAAAGCAAGCCTTGGATTTGATCAATCTGTTTGGTTAAACAGTAGTGAATTGATATGCGCTGCAGCCGTCTGCGGGGCATGACGTTGAATTGAAGCTACACAGTCTTGTGGCTCTGGAATTTCCGACGGATAGGACAATATTATGTCACTAGTGAGCGGCGTATTGGATCGTAAAGAGAAAGGCTAATAAGGTAAGACGGCATAGAATGATTTGATTGAGTGTTCTATGAAGCTTGACTGTGTGTGGGTACAAGATCGTCAAAGCTACCCTGGACAAAGCGCTGTGATGGTGGTCAGAATAATATCTTCGCGCTATCTAAACGCCAAGCGACCAGGTTTTTAAGCAGTTACATGGCATTCGACAAGAAAGAAGCAGAGTAACTCGGATGTTTCCCTGTTCATCTCATTCCTTATCCTTGATTCGAAACTAAAGTTGAGGCACAGCCAGCTTGCACTGATCAACACAATCACACGGGCATTGGGAAACATGCAAGACGAAGTGTTGAAAGACCCTGGGAAACTCAATCCATGGAAGGCCTCATATCCATGCATCCAAACAGTCTTTGGCTTGTCAGCGGCTATTTGATTGTCATGCTTGGCGATACAAGCCGTATCAAGGGCTGACGTCGCATCTAAGCCCAAGCTGAGCGTTGCTCAGCAACAGCCGGATCCGTAACAAAACAGACCAGCGAATGACGGAGCTCCCATCATGGGTCAACCACAGCTAAGAGCGGTCTAAATCGCAGCGAGATAACAACTTTTCCCAGCTCTCCATGCTTTATATGCCAATTTTTTTTTCGAAATACTCAGGAGCTCATATCATTCAAGCAAGTTGCTATTTTAGCATCAACAAGTCACTCTAACTTCGACAATTGAGTCACAAAGTGCTGAGAAATTGTTCCCTCTGGTCGAAAAGGTCAGTACCCTCTGGGTAGTTCTGAGACCTAAGATTCCTCCGTCAATCGCTAACATTCCTTCCCAGAGATATATAATAGTCCCATTATGGGGTTGCTGCCAAATCCACTGCGGCCGCGCGAGCCTCAGCTCCCACTATATCAAAAAGTCAACTCTCCAACGAAGGAACGATATTCTGACGACGACTATTCAACCGAGGATGAAGATGACTACGAAGACGAGCCATACTCCCCTGAGAGCTCTTCAGCTGGCTCTTCAAGGCATACATCTGGATCTGCGAGCAGTGGGCTTTTGATGTTGCCCAGTCACCAAAAGAAACCTCTCCCTCTTAGACGAAGGATTGCCAAAGTGTACCCCTACCGAATGCCAAACAAGGTCACTCGCTACTTATTTTGCACTGTGATCACATTCATTATCGTTATGGTGTTGAGTCTTGTGCGAGCCAGCCAAGTTGAGAACTGGAAAGTTGCCAACGGTAAGGTTGATAACCGCCCACCGCCACCGCCACCTGCTTGGGAGAAGTTCCCCTTCTTGGAAAGATACTATGGTGGTCTCAAGAGCCTGGTCACTTTCGAGGAGCTAAAGCCGGAATGGCCTCATGTGAAGGATGAGCCTGAGATGCTAAGTGAAGGCAATGACTGGAGCAAGCAAAACGAAATTAAGAGCGACAAGGATACCGACGAAACCGACAGGGCCGCTACCGAAGAAATTGAAGCCCAAGCTCAAGGCGCAAATCCTACCAAGAAGGAAGCGAGGGACGAAGTCAAGCCAGAGGACGACGTTAAGGCCGAGACAAAAGGTGGTGCCGCGGAGGAAAAGGAGAACAAGCCCCAGGATGATTCCAAGGTCAACAAGAAGAAGCTCCCTAAAAGCAACGACTGGAGCGATTATGCGAACCGAAGTGAGGAAACCGGAAGCAAAGAATGTTTTCTAGATGCTGACGGCACAATACGGGTTCCCCAGCTCCGATACTATAATGGTCGCCCCCAAGGATTCCCTGAGCATGCCATCGGATCCTACGAGACCCTGAACCTGCCCGAGAACATTTGTTTCGACCGTTATGGCCGCTATGGCCCCTATGGGTTTGGCTATTCCTCAAGAAATGGTGGTCTTAGCGTTGGTGAACATGGACAAAAGGAAGGGTCGGATGCTGTCTGGGAGAAGACTCCTCGCGTGGACTATCGACAGATTGACTGGGCTGATGTCCAGCGCCGTTGCTTCAAGGCCAACCAGGCTCGCTTCAAGGAGCTTCCCTCCAAAATCCAGACTCCTCATGGCTTCTTTGCGCACGAACCCAAGCCTAAGCCACTTCCTACTTCAACTCTGGAGCGCCGCGGTGCTAAGGAGGATAAGCTCAAGGCTGACAAAGAGACCGCTGTCTCTCAGGTTGAGACGTCAAAACCAAAAATTACTCAACAATTCAAGTCCGAGGCATCACAGGTCGCATACTCAAAGGTTGATGACTCAAAGACTGAGCCTACCGAGGCTTCTGTGTCTCAAACAAGTGAGTCAAAGCCTCAGGAATTAAAAGCAGAAGAGTCGCAATCTGGAAAGCCCCACGAGACCGAATCTAAGGATAGCAAGGAGGACGAGAAAAACCAGGAAGAAAAGCCTGGGAATTTCAATAATGCGTCGCCCAAGGCTGCTGGGAGCGGGGTGCCACGAACTGCTGTTGTTGTGCGCTGCTGGGACGAGTACAACTGGCGCGAAGATGATATTGCCAACCTTCGATCTCTCATTACTGAGCTCGCTGTGACATCTGGTGGTCGCTATGATATCCATCTCCTAGTTCAGGTCAAGAATGAAGCTGCTCATCCGGTGTGGGCGGACGAAAGAATCTACCACGAGCGCATTGAGGAGGCCATTCCTGAAGAGTTCAGAGGCTTGGTTACGCTGTGGTCCGAGACACAGATGCTCGCTCTTTACCAGGGTATCTACGACCACTTCACTCGTGGTCCTGATCTCCCCGTTCACGGCGTGTACCGCGGTCTGTCCATGGCCATGCAGTACTTTGCCCACAAGCATCCTGAATACGACTACTTCTGGCAATGGGAAATGGATGTGCGCTACACAGGTCACTATTACGATCTCTTTACCAAGCTTGAGAACTGGTCTAAATCACAGCCTCGCAAGGGTCTCTGGGAGCGCAACTCTCGCTTCTATTTCCCCAGTATTCACGGTAGCTGGGAAGACTTCTCACAGATGGCTCGGGTTCAGAGTCAGATGGGTGTCGTAGGCGCTGACAATGTCTGGAAGGGAGTTCCTGGTCTTGAGGGCAAGTCCCCTGACTCTGACACCAAAGGCCACCGCACTGTATGGGGACCCCTTCGTCCTAAGGACGATGATGACTGGTTTGAGCCTGGCAACGATCCTGTTGCTCCCACCTCCTACGAGAAGGATCACTACAAATGGGGCGTTGGAGAAGAGGCCGATTACATTGCGCTTAACCCGATCTTTAACCCTGATGGTACGACTTGGGGTCTCAAGGAGGACATCACAGGCTACAACCGATCCGAGGGACTCCCTCCCCGCCGGGCCAACATCATCACCACTTCGCGTATGTCGCGGCGACTTCTGACAACTATGCACAAAATGACGGCTTTCAAGAAGCAATTCGCCTTCCCTGAGATGTGGCCTGCCACTGTCGCTCTGCAGCATGGCTACAAGGCCGTCGCTGTGCCCCATCCTGTCTATGTTGATCGAAATTGGCCTACAGCGTACATGGCACAGGTTTACAATAACGGCCGTGACGGCGCAAGTGGAGGCTCTCGAACCAGCATCTTTGGTGATCGCGAACACAACATGCACGGCCTTTCCTGGTTCTACAATTCGGGCTTTGCACCAAATATGTATCGTCGCTGGCTAGGTCTTCGAGTGAACAATGACGGCGGCGAGGAATTTGAAGGCACCGAGGATAAGAGCAAAAAAGGTAAGGGAGTTGGCAACATGCGTGGTGGCGAGGGCAGAATGTGTCTGCCTCCTATGCTGCTTCATCCCGTCAAAGATGTCGAGCTGCCTGTTGAAGCCCCTGAGGCTGATGCTGATGCTGAGGCGGGTAAGGCCCCTGAGTCTGATCCTGGAGCCTAAATGATCTCCTTACCTTTTGCATGCAATGGCTCTGAGAGTCAAAACAAGGCGTTGGTTTTGCTTTTCTGGGGTTTTCTTGCGGGTTCATATCGTGTCATGTCAGTGATGAAATACGCCAACGAGATGAATGACCTTGATTTGAGCTACAAGGCATTGTAGTATACAAGACATGTTTTCCAGGATAATTGGTCATAGACTTGCTCGGGTTGAATAATGAATTTGAAATTTCAAAACTGTGTGCATCTACCGAAGACGATTTGTAAAATAACATCAAAGCAGTCACGTAGACTTCCTGGGGCCCTGTCTTGATCCAGATGCAAGCGACATGGGGCTCTTCTCAACGTAAAATGTTATATTACATGCTCTCCCTATCATCACATTTGCGTAGGTTTCCAATTGCTCTTTTGTATCATCGTTTCATCCTCCCTGAAGTGCTCCCAATATAATACTGCGCCAATCCGTTCTTCACATTTGCGGTTCGTCAAACAAACAACATTTCCGAGTATTTCAATGAGTTGATCTTTTATCAAGCCGTCATGCACCTAAGTCTACCCCTTAAACCACCCGCTTGACCTCGAAGAAACGTCGCAGCCACCAGACCTGGAAGAGAGATTCACCAATGACAACACCAATGACGAACATGTTCCACCACTTGACTCGGCTGTTTGTGCTCTCGGCGGTGTTTCGGTGGGTGCGCTCACGGATCACGATGTATTCTTGTTCGTCCTTGACCTGGGCAAGAAGATCGGACAGCTTCCGAACTGCAGAATGTTGTAAGCTAACTTGGTCATTCCCAGACGGGAGAATGCTCATTTACCTTCACGGTCGAGGGGGTCGGCAGGCATCTCGTGCTCGCTCACGTAGACGATTCCGTGGACGTTGAAGGAGACCTCCTTGGTGTTGGCACCCCAGTTCTCATTTCCGAAGCAGTATATGTATTTGCCATCATGCTTAGCTGTGAACGAATAATCGCCGTTGGAGATACTCTTCTCGTTTGTCTCGTATTGACCAGCAGGGTTGGTGATCTGGCTATAAGTTAATATCTTGATTGTTTGCCTAGCTCCCAAAGCCACGTACCCAGAAGTCGATATCAAGGTTGCCTGCGCTACCGAATTCACGATCGCCAACCTGGAAAGTGACAGTCATAGTGTCGTCCTTGTGTAGGGACTCGTGAAAGCATTCTCGGCCGTGAGCAGGCAGGACGATGTTGTGAGCAGTGACAGCTGAGAAGACAGCAGCGGCCACGAGGGCCTTGGCCGCAGAGACGAAGTACATTATCGGGTATGTATCGATCCGATCGATCGCTATAACTTCAAAGGAGTGTCGTGGTTGTTTGCGATGCTAGAGTACTCTGATCATGAACATTGAATCCCCGTGTTGGAGCTATTGACCAGTGTCCACTAAGTCAAGTATGGAGTTTGGATCGCGACGAATTGACACCTTTTCGCAGCTAATTGGAGGAGCCGGGGGTTGCTCCTGTTGCGGCTCTCGTCTGAGAAGCCACGGTTTTGCCGAGCCTGTATCTGAGTTCCTGCCAGCTTGCACCTTTGCCTGCTTGCCAAAATTCACAAGCCAATCCCATGTCCCCAAGCCTAAAGGGGGGAAGTGGGCGGGTGGAGTCTTGCTGTGGCTTGATCAAGCAAGGGCTTAGTAGAGATTACCTTGGTTTGTCGTTTATCTGTCCTTGCGACTTCAAAAAGGGATGAGATGGACCATGGCGGGACCGATTGCGCGGCGTTGAATTCGTGTTATCTGACGTTGAGAAGCAATTTTGGAGACGACATACATTCCCAGGTGGCACTGCAGCACTCAGAAGTTTCAAGCATAGAAATATGTGAATGGCATATCTTGACACGAGACTGACACAACAAGTGTCGCCATTCACAACTTCTCTTATCAAAGTACCTGAATCGCCTAGAAACAAGTACCCGAGATCAAGGTGACCACATGTGGCGGTGCAATTGCGTTGTCTGCCCCTCAGCCCTCCCTGTCTGTCCCCTGAGATGTCGTCGAAAATAGGCCTTGGCTCCAGTGTTTTCTGGCGATCAACCAGTAATTTCCCCTCTAACGGCACGCTCACCAGCCCGGCCCCAGTAACAAACAGCCCGAGGCCAGAAAAAATAAGAACCTAGCAGCTGGAGCCCAAAAAGAGAGCGATAATGTCTCTCACCCCTCCCCGAGTGATTGTCTTCTCACACCGACAAGTCAAACCACACGACAGCGCCCACCCCCAATCCATCCATATCCATCCATCCATCGCCGCTCGTCGTTTTTTCTGCACCACCACTCCAAGGACCGCCCCACGATCCAGTAAGTTCAGCGTCTTCCTGTCTCTCGCTCGAGTCTTTCTAGATCCCGCTGTTTGTTGCTTGTATATTCCCGATCCTCCTCTCGATGGTCTCTTCAAGAAGCTCCCGTCTCACGCTGTCGCCGCCCGATCACCAAATTCGCCGTCATGCTATTCCCCCGTTGATCCGCCTCGTGACGGCTCTGAATCAACTATCGACGTACAGCATAGCATAGTTGGTCATAACGGGTGATAGCGGTAGCCTGGAACGGGGGTGCTTGCAAGCTTGAAGGACTATCCAGGACTTCGATGATGGTGACGACGGAGTTGTGTTGCTGGATGGGCTCTTGATCGTTGCCTTGATCATTCCCTTAGGTGTCCTTTCGCGATACTCCATAAAGCCGTCCCGCCTCCACCATCACCAAAACATCCAACCTCCTGCTCCTCCCTTGGCTAGACGTCTCCCATATATTGTCTCAGCCTGCCTCTGCGGCCTTTGTCTCTTCCCTCTTTATCTCATCCCCCTTTTACCCCTCGCCATTTCGTCTTCTTTCAACATCCATCCACAGCATCGCTGACCTTGCGCCTTCGCCTTTAGGACCTCTTTTTCTATACCTAGACACGCAGGCCTCGAAGCCGTAAACCGCAATCATGGGTCTCGCCTTCTCAAAGCTTTTCGACCGACTGTGGGGGAAGAAGGAGATGCGAATTCTGATGGTTGGTCTTGATGCCGCCGGTAAAACCACCATCCTCTACAAGCTTAAGCTTGGTGAGATTGTCACCACCATTCCCACTATCGGTATGAGACGCCCTCGAACCTGACAAAACCTTCATGCCGCTAACATTGGGATTTCCTTCTCATCTTACCAGGCTTCAATGTCGAGACTGTAGAGTACAAGAACATTCAATTCACCGTGTGGGATGTCGGTGGTCAGGACAAGATTCGTCCTCTGTGGAGACACTACTTCCAGAACACTCAGGGTATTATCTTCGTCGTTGACTCCAACGATCGCGATCGTATTGTTGAGGCACGAGAGGAGCTCCAGCGCATGCTCAACGAGGACGAGCTTCGCGATGCTATCCTTCTTGTCTTCGCCAACAAGCAGGATCTTCCCGTACGTCACGACCCCACCTCGACACTTTCTCCCATATCTCCCCTCAATGTGTCATTTACCCGCGGTACCATATACTAACGCTACGCTACCATTAGAACGCCATGAACGCCGCCGAGATCACAGACAAGCTTGGCCTCCACAGCCTGCGACAACGCGCCTGGGTAAGTAATGGACAATCAATATCAGACCCCAGATGTCGTCTCTTTGTTCACACGCTGACCTCTTGCCTTTTTCCGTCAATAGTACATCCAGTCCACCTGTGCCACCTCCGGTGACGGTCTCTATGAGGGTCTTGAGTGGCTCGCCAACACCCTCCGAAAGGCGGGTCACCAGTAGAAAGATGTCGAGAGGCCTCTCCATAAAAACTCGCTTTTTCTCTCCTGCTCTGCCATATACTCTCAAATGGCTCTTTGTCTCGACTCGAGGTTTCGGTTGTAATTTGCAAAGTTATCGGTCAACCAATCGAAGATAAATCCTTGAACCAAAGTCGCGTCTATTCACGTTTTCTGTTTAAGCAACCTCTTTTAACGCTTCCTTCCTCTCTCAATGGTGCTTCACTGTGAGCCTTCTGGTCAACATCTGCTTGCCATCGCTAGCGTCAGCTCGCTTCCTGAGGACCACAGAACGTACTTTCTCTTTTTTTCTTCTTGGAGGAAAAGTCGGGTGATGATGGGAGGCGTCTTATGGGGATCCCCGGGATATTTGTACAGTCATCAATCGGGTGTTGTTTGCTCTTTGAAAAGAATGCATCCTCGCTGATTTTACAATACTCTCGCAAACCGTGGCGCACTGGTATATCTATCGTTTGTTAATTTCTTTCTTTCCCATGTCACTTAGGGAACATGACCATGATGAGCAACTCAAGTAACGAGGGTTATAAACGAGGGATGAATTTGGGCCACCGCGAGATTGGCCTGTTGTAGAGATTCTCTGTTTTATTCCAAATCTTTAGTGAAACCGCGAGGCTTAGTTGATTTGAGTGACACACGGTCTCTAGTTTTTTTTGGCTAAGAGGACCAGAGGCTTGTGTCTCGAATGCTGACTTTAATCTTGAACGGAAGACCTTTTAGAAGGGCAAACGTATGGGGAACGGATCCATGAGACACCGACCCGAGTCAAGACCCTGCCTCCTAGAGGATCGCACAAGTCTGCTTTGCATCAAAGATTTAAGCCACAATGTTCCAAGCAGAATTAATTCCACCAGCAGTATGAAACATGACATTCTTCAGTGCGTTTTGATATGGGTTGGTCTCAATTGAGTGGTTATGCATTATTTGGTGTTTAGTTACATTCTATGATGCTATATACGCTTTTGTTATACAAACGGTACAAATTAGACATGAAACACATTAAGTCATTAAAAGAATCCCGGATAGTCCTTCATAGTCAGGTCATTTAAGCATCCTTGGACTTGATGATGATATCTAAGCCCTCCTTGTCGTCACGGATCTTAACCTCAGCAGTCTCGCCCATTTTCAGCTGCCCTTTGATGATCTGGTCTGCAAGGCCGTTGCCAATCTCATTGGTAATGAGTCGGTTCAGGGGGCGAGCACCGAACTTCGGGTCGTAACCACGCTCCGCAAGCCAGTCTCTGACATCGCCGGGAACCGAAAGGATAATGCGGCGGTCGTCAAGACGCTGCTGGAGCTCCTTAAGGCGAATGTCGACAATATCACGGATAGCGCTGCGGGCGAGACGCTTGAAGATAATGAAAGAGTCGATACGGTTAAGGAATTCGGGTGGGTAAGCCGAGGCGACAACATCCATGACAGCCTTACGGACTGATGGGTCCATCTCGCCATCGGGTGTCTCAGTATAGGGGTGAAGGTGGTTTTGGCCAACAAGGATATCAGCGCCCAAGTTCGATGTCAGAACGATAATGGTGTTCTTGAAATCAACCTTGTGACCTTGGGCATCGGTGAGGTAGCCCTCATCAAGGACCTGGAGGAGGAGAGCGGAGATATCGCGGTGTGCCTTTTCAAACTCGTCAAAGAGAAGCACAGCATATGGCTTACGGCGGACAGCTTCGGTCAGTTGGCCAGCGTCCTCATAGCCGACGTAACCGGACGGTGCACCAATAAGTCGAGAAATGGTGTGCTTTTCTTGGAATTCTGACATGTCAAAGCGAACAACAGCAGATTCAGTCGAGAACAGAAAACCCGCCAATTTCTTGCACAGCTCTGTCTTACCCACACCAGTAGGGCCCAGGAAGAAGAAGGAAGCCAGTGGTTTGTTCTCGCCACTCAAGCCAGCTCGTTGGAGACGGACGGCATTAGAAACTGCCTTGATGGCTTCATCTTGGCCCTTGACTGCTTCGCGGAGGGAATCTTCCATATGAACCAATTTCTCTATGTGTCCGGAAGTCAGCTTCGACACAGGGATGCCTGTGATGCGGGAGACGACATTGGCGATATCGTCGGGACTGACAGAGTCGTGGATCAGAGTATCGCTGGACTTTGCTTCTTTGGCCTCTCCTTCCTTGGGCAACTTCTTCTCGAGGTTGGGAATAACACCAAACCTGAGCTCAGAGGCACGACCAAAGTTCCCTTCTCTCTGTGCCTGCTCAAGCTCGAACTTGGCTTTGTCAAGGTCTTCTTGGATCTTCTTGACTGATTCGATCTCAGCACGCTCCTTCTCCCAGCGCGCATTGAGCTCAGAAATTTCCTCGTTGAGTTTCTTGAGGTCACTTTCAAGTTTCTCACGCCGCTCCTTGCTAGCGATATCTGACTCCTTCCTCAAACTCTCAAGTTCAATCTGGATGGTCATGATCTTGTGGTCAAGGCGCATTATATCCTCAGGCTTGGACTCATGCTGCAGCTTGAGATGGCTGGCTGCTTCATCCATGAGGTCAATAGCCTTATCTGGTAAAAATCGATCGGTAATGTAGCGGTTGGACAATGTAGCAGCAGCCACCAAAGCGCCATCTGTAATGCGGACACCATGGTGAACTTCGTACTTGTCTTTGATACCTCGGAGAATACTGATTGTATCCTCCACAGAGGGCTCGCTAACAATGATAGGTTGGAATCGTCGAGCCAGCGCAACGTCCTTCTCGATTTGACGATATTCGTTGAGAGTTGTTGCACCACAGCATTGAAGTTCGCCACGGGCCAAAGCAGGCTTCAGGAGATTTGATGCATCAATAGACCCTTCAGCCTTCCCAAGTCCGAGGAGTGTGTGCAATTCATCAATAAAAAGAATAACTTCTCCTTGAGCTTGTTCCACCTCTGTCAAGACCTTCTTTAACCTCTCTTCAAAGTCTCCTCTGAACTTAGCGCCGGCAATGAGAGAGCCAAGGTCAAGGCTGATGACCCTCTTGTTCTTGATACTCTCAGGGACGTCACCTCGGACGATACGGAGGGCAAGACCCTCAAGAATTGCTGTCTTTCCAGTACCTGCGTTACCGATCAGGACTGGATTATTCTTGGTTCGCCTTGACAAGATTTGAATGGTTCGCTGAATCTCTGCGTCTCTTCCAATAACTGGATCCAGCTTTCCATCCTTGGCTCGGGCAGTCAAGTCGATACCAAATTGTTCTAGAGCAGGCTTCTCTTCTTCGCCACCCATATTCATCCGGTGAGTGCCACCAGGAGGATGTGGACGGCCATTGGCATATGACCTGATAGCAAGACTTGGAATCAATCGTAGAGAAGTTGGTCTCAAAGGTTGGGTGGCAAGCACCCGTGTAAGTGGTTGGACGGATCGGGTCCGGGCACTAGCAGCCATGCGCTGTGTTGATGTGATTATTTGCTTGCGTGCTTGCATGTTGGGCACTGTGATAGAAGGCATGTAAAGAACGTCTAAAGGAAAGAAAACGAGGACAAGATCGTGGATTTCTTCGACATGCGGGAGACCTTTTATTATCTACGACACGAAACTCGGCTACACGCTTCAAGGCGAATGGAGCATATTCTCGCAAGTTCGATCATCCGTCATTGAGAGACGCTAGAGCTGATAAGATAAGTAGCGCCAACCTGTATCCGATAATCATGTGACTGACTGCGCAAGACAGAAAACTTACGTGATGGCCTCACGCATATATTCTGTCACCTAAGAGGCAGCTTGTCTAGTGAGAAGCAAGGTAAGGAGACCAGGAACACGGTTATTTGCAAACGCAAATCTTCTGGTATGTTCTTCTTTCTCATGCTTCTGCCATTCAGGCATAATTAAATCATGTGATGCTTGTACATTGTTGGTCTTAACCAACTTCTAAGGCTATCTCGTTATTAAGTGCACGCTAGAAAATTTTGGCAACCACAACCACAACTGGCTCATTCTGCCCTAAGAAGATCTACCACGTGACTCTGTCGGTGGGGACTTTGGCTCGATTTTGATTGGGCAGTTCGCCACACTTTCTAGGCTTCGCCCACAAAGACAATTTACATTTTGGGCCTACACCACCTCAACACCACCGACTTCACTTCCTCTTTTCACCCAACCCCAAGTCAACCAGCCAGGAGAGTCACAATGTCGGCGAAGCCCACGAGCAAGACATTCGGAAAGTCGACCCGAGAGGTTCCTGCCTCTTCGGAGAAGGCTAAGAAGTGGTACCCCGCTGACGACGATGCCGAGAACAAGAAGGTGAGTCTTTTGGTGATGATTGCGATGCATTTGCAGGCAGTTGCGTTATGTTTCGGAGTGCGCGGTTGGGATATGGGAACCGAGGAGTTGAGAGAATGAGTTTGGTCCATGGCAATCCGACTGCCATCGCAAGAAGGACACACTTTTAACGACGAAAGGCTTCGAATTTCAATGCCATATATATATCGAACGCACAGATCTGCAAAGCCTGCGACAAATATCGATTGACGACTGCACCTTCTCTACATATAGCAACTGCCTGCAGCAATATTCAGCTTAACCAAGTGCCAGCCTGCTAACAGCTGAAAACCACAGGTCCGCAAGGCTGTCCGATCTTGGGCCCCTCGCAAGTCCCTCCAGCCCGGCACTGTCCTCATCCTCCTCGCTGGCCGCTTCCGTGGCAAGCGTGTCATTCTCCTGAAGTCCCTCGACCAGGGTGTCCTCCTCGTCACCGGCCCCTTCAAGATCAACGGTGTTCCTCTGCGACGAGTTAACTCCCGATACGTCATCGCTACCTCTTACAAGGTCGACATCTCCGGTCTCGACGAGAAGAAGATCGAGGAGGTTTCTCAGCCCAAGTACTTCACCGCTGAGAAGGCCAAGGAGAAGGCTGGTGAGGAGGCTTTCTTCAAGCAGGGAGAGAAGCCCCAGGTACGATACAACAAGTCCAGAACAGTACTCGCGAAGTATCAGGTCACTGACAGCTGTTTACAGAAGAAGGAGGTCAACAGCAGCCGTGCCGCCGACCAGAAGGCCATCGACAAGGCTCTGATTGCCAACATCAAGAAGGTTGACATGCTGGCTTCTTACCTCTCCAGCTCTTTCAGCTTGAGGAAGGGTGACAAGCCCCACGAGATGGCCTGGTAAATGTGCAATCTTGTGCCGGGGTGATGGGAGTACCGGGGTTGCGACACAACGGGTTGTAGAACGGCAAGGGTCTCCGAAATGGGCTGGTTTGGCCAATTGCATTTGGAAGTCGACGGCATCGGTCCTATTTTGGCGTCTGTAATCAGGTTTTACAGTCAAAAAAACAAACGAGCATACAAAATTCTAGAGGCTTCCGGTCAGAGGCCGATGATGATGAACTTCACTCGGATATCCCATCTCCTGAGTTATAAAAACAACTGGTGTGAGCGATCTTAAGAGTTCTCAGATCTGATCTGGTCAAAAATGGACATTGATTTATGAATGATTAACAAGATTTCAAATTTTACGTGCGTTCATCGGTCTGCTGGTATGTCAATCCTCTCGGGGGGGCAAAGGGTGACTGAGACTCAGATTCATAGCATCAATATGAGTACTATCTCTTCTCTTCACTTATCCTAAGATTGCCATCCAGTTAACGCAGCCATGATGTTCCATTTTTGATTTTACAAGTTGCGCTCTACCCAGCTCTCAATCATGCCAGTCAACGAGGCTTCGTAGTGCTTGATCGAAACCTTTCCAGATGACTCATCCAGAGACGTATTGGCCTGAACGAAGACCTTGCGAGGCTGCTTGTTTTTGAGAACAATGTCACGGACCTTCTTGCCCCAGAATTCAGTGTCAACAGTTGTCATGTGGACGTAAAAGTCAGTACCAGTCTTAACATCGGCGGTCGATTTGTAGATGTGCAGCTTCTGGAGATACTTGGCAACAGCTGGCGGATTTGTTAGCTCATGTCAAGTCGTTGGAGATAAATCTTACCATCTCGACCAGCCGTAAGGATCTTGGAGCGATCCAACTTGATGGTCAAATCGGAAAGATCATCCTCTTTGTAATCAAGCTTGCAGAAATCGTCCTCGGCCTCAAGGAAGCACTTGAGGATGGAGAAGCGAGCTTGGCTATGAGCCTGGCCCCATTTCTGGCTCTTAGGATCCCACATCTCAAGGGAAGCAAGTCCAGCTCGGGCCATGGATAGGTAGGAGGCGAAAAGGACATCACCAGCTTCGCCATTGATATCCTCGGAACCATCACCAAATCCGAAAATCTTGAGAACAGGGAACTCGCAGCTTAGGTGCATAGCAACAAGCTCGGCACGGCACTCCTCGTACGAGGCAGCAATGCTACCAAAGACAGAACCCCAAGTCTGACCGGGCTTGTACCAGGTTGTGATAGGCTTGTTATCCACAGGACTGACGGGAGGTTTCTCCTTATCGAAGTTGTAGGTGCCTGGGGATGTCTCTTGGAGAAGTTTACCGCAACCATGACCTGACGAATATGAGCAGTAGATTCAAGAGACTCGAGGTAGGTTTACATACCAGTAAGTTCGTGGAGGCCAACTTGAACTTCAAAGGAAGCATCTCTCTGCTTCTTGTAAACCTCAAGATCTTCGTCTCGAATGAAAGGAATCTTCTCATCAGGTGCCTTGGCACTGAGAACATTTCCAAGTGACACATTCTTGAAACCCTCAGTCTGGCGGATATCATCATAGTTGGGGCTACGAACAATGTCAACAATCCACTTTCCGCTTGATATCGGTTTTGTTCTGGGAACCTACATGTTTATACCAGCAGGAATACCAGAACCTAGACTCAATGTTAGCATGTCTGGATTTGATGAATCTAGTATCACTAGGTCACTGACCAGCAAAGGTGAGAACCTCGAGGGATGTGAAGTCGGGAGACAGGAACTTGTCCTTCTCAAACTCCGAGCCCCAAGGCAACAGAGGAATGAGCTTGGGGGCGTTCTTCACAAGCTCTCCAAATGCGCGAGTTCGCTCAACTGGGCAACGGTCAGTGATTGGTCAAATCTTTGGCTTAAATAAATCTTACGGTTGACCACTATATAAAAAGTCAGTAATTCCCCGCCCAGGGCGTATATTGATAAGAAGCTTACTAGAGGCAAAGCCTTCCCATTCTCCACGAATACCAGCAGGGTCTCGATAGGTCTCGATGAAGCCAATGTTGGACTCAACCATAGGACCCTTGTCCTTGATCCAGTATCTTTGACTATCCTTGAAGGCCTCCAGTGAGCCGGACTCAAAGGACTTGCTGTAAGCCTCATGCATCTTCTTCTGGGTATCGTTCTCCGCATTCTCGGCAGCACCGTTGATGAAAGCTGTGATGTTCTTCATCTCCTCAGCATAGTCGCCGTAGACCAACTTGATTGTCTTGCTCTTGAGAGGTCCATCCTCCACGGTAAACTCGGTCTGCTTGCCAACGTCACCTCCTTCACTGGGGATTTCTTTGACAGCTGAAGCGATTAGGATCTCGTAGTTACCCTCTGAGGTCTTGCGAAGTCGGTTGTTCTCGGGCAAAAGACCCTTGGACTCCATCCAGTCAGAAACAGCCTTGATTTCGCCCTTCGTAATGTGCGAAGATTCGGGGTAGTAAGTAGTCATGTGGCCATCGTCGGGATAGCCAAGGTGCATCATGGCGGGGTTACTAGAGCTGAAGATGCCTCCCTTTGTCGCCTCGTAAAACTTGTTGGCCTCAGGTGAAGTGGAGGCGAGAGCAGCCACGGTCTTCTCCGAGCACCGGGGAATGAACTTGGAGTCGCCGAAGCTCTTGTAGTTGCCATTGTTGCCAAGGAACATGGCAGCGTACTCGAGGAAGCGGGTAACCTCATCTTCTTCGACGCCAGCCTTCTTTGCTAGGGCAGTCCAATCGCCGTTGGCAGACTTGTGGAGAGTCAAAATCAAGTCAAATATTGGCTCAGACTCGGGGGAGATCTGTCGAAGGACAATTCTGGTACCAGCGAAAGCAGCTCTATGATGGTGTGTTAACATAAGCCACACGACCCCTCCCTCATAAGCATTGTTACCCCTCATTCCAATTTGATCGAGCTTCACAACAACTTATACACAATCGGTAACAAAACTTACTTGCTGATAAAGTGAGCGTAACGCTTCTGCTTGTCATTCAGGGCATCAAAGTGCTTCTCAATCTCGAGCCTAACCACCGAAGGGGGCTTGTCGGCGAGGTAGTGGACCAGCTCGTTTGGGTTCATGACGATGGCAGAGGTTGAAAACCTGTGAAGGCTCTGGTGGTTGAAAGACTTCGTAAAGCGAGGAACGGGTCGTCGCGTCAGGAGGTTTGACTTTAAGGCTGTTGTTCTTAGTGAAGGCAGTCTCTGAAATACGAGAGACGGTGAGATTAAGTTGGGAGAAGGCATGCCCGATGGCTGTGACTGACGTTTTCAGGTCACGTCGGCCAATGAATCTTTGTTAATCTGGGGACAAACGCAGCTTCCTAAACGTGTCAAGGCGGCAAACAGAAAGGCCAGAGCTTATTACCTATAGCAGCTAGTAAGGCGGTGCACAGAGCCCCAGCATAAGAGCCAATGAGGGCTCTGCGACGAATATTTTAGTATCATGATGTTGGATAAATTTGAAGACATACAGATGAATTGACCATGCTACTGAGGAACGAGGTGTTGCTTTCACTGGACGGCTCTACACAACAGTTGTGCCAATGCCGCCACCCTGTTGCCAACACGTCCTATCCCCTGGGGCCATCTCAACCTTCAATTGGCTCCAGTTCTGTCACAGGTGCCAAAACTTCAAAATAACCTCGTCATGCATGAATATCTTGTATTGATGAGCCACCGCTGGTGAAATCAGTAACAGCTCGTGTTTGGTTCCTATCATATATGGTTGCCATTCTAAATATCGCAATTCATCCACAAATTGGAACCAGCGAGAAACCGTGAAATGTGCTGAGGCCTAGGGTAAGTAAGCACTTGTTGATCCGTTCAATGAACTCACATCACAACTATTTTCCTGATGTGCAACTTGCTGGTAAGTATGAAGCCCAGCCTTTCTTGCATTGATATGTTTGAAATTGAAAGGTATTATCCTCATTACGTAGTGCTTTTCGGGATGTGGACGCTGGTCACTTCTTTCGACCACGTATGATAATTAGTTCCTCTCAAGCGAAGCAGGATAGTAGCCGACACATTTGAAGAAAGATGAAGCGAACCGAACCGAAGCATCAAGCCGAGGAGCATTTCAGTTCTACCACCTTAGCCACCCCAGACGGGCGGGCACTAGAACCCTACTTGTGTTTTTATGCAGAATCCCTTCCTCGGATGTCCAATGCCATGAAAGGCTTCACTAACATTTAACGACACAGTGCTTTCCGAAAACCGAATCAAATGCATACCCTCTTGGTAGCAATACTGCACAGGCGAGGCAAGACAAATATTCGTTTACATGGACTGCGATCAAATAGGTACATATACGTGTTGTGGCCAAGAAAAACCCACTGACTATCTATTACTTCTGGTCTAACTATTGCAGAGATACTGATGGGAGGACACACAACACAGCGAAGTTGCGCATGTACTAATGAATGTCCCGACTTGTATGGTCAACAAATCCGGGGTGCTTCCATCGGGCGAGCTGCCCCATGCTGGTCAATTAACCCGGGCTGCCTGACTATGACAACACACCAAATACATCCAACAAAGGGCCAATAAAATATCATGTGCCGCCAAACAGTTGCATAATACCAAAATTATCTGAGGATTTAAGCATTCAGCTATTTTAAGCGGTGTGGCGTTACAGGGTCGCAACTCGGCAGAGGATTGAGATGTGAAGCTAGGCCAAGCCTCATCCTGCAAGCAAGCGTTAGTACGATCAACGACATCAGCCGGCGTTGTCAACCGAGCCAACCCTTCGGAATCTAGCAGACCAGCTGGGCGGGACACCAGGGTTGGGGTGACATGGATGGCTGTCTACGACAATAACTCCAGCCGGGGAAGCTTTTGTGGTTCCCCCGAATTGGAACGATGCCAATGTGATTCCCGGAGCAAACAACTGATGTGTGACTGATTGCCAATGTTTGCCGGCGGAAATGGGGAAGGATTGATCATGCCGAGTTCCCATTCGTGGTGTTCACAGATATGTTGATCGATGAGGGCATTCGCATATATCCTCTGTCTTGCTCATTGGGCGATATGACCTCTAACCGATGTTTTGCATAGTGTTCCTATACTCGATCGGAAGAACGTTTCATATTCTGTCATTTTGTTCGTGACCGAATAATAAAATTGCTAGCTGGAAGATTCTGGTTACAGTGCTCAAGGCTATGTGCTTTGAATTGACGTTCACCAGCTGACCTTCTACCCCCACGCTATTACTCCACACTCAACGCTACTGGCGTTTCTCTCCTTGTGCCTTTTCCGTTCCCCTTTGCCCTGCCCTGTTTTGGGTAAATCTCACCCGAGCCGTGACTTGTGATTGGATCAGGAGTCGAGGTCTTGAAAAGTGATACTCAGCCGAAAGAAAGCAAAGCCGTGCGGGAATTCCCATGTAGAAGAAAAGCTATGATTCGGTTTTGGTTGGATCTTGAATTCAACTGGGAGGCTCTGCTCGGGCCTTCAGTGGGTGAGGTGAGCGACCAGTTATCCACCAATACCTAGGTAAAGCTAGGGTGTCTAAAACCAGCATTTATGGATAGCATGAGCGACGACCGCGCACTCAGTTTAGTGACCTCGGTCAAATATGTTTGTAATAATAGGGGCCGTTAGGTTACTCGTAAACCACCCCTAGGGAGCAAGAACACTCCTGACTTTGAACCAGAGTGCCAAAATCAACTGGTCTATGGGCGTACTAAACTATTATGAACTTACCTAAGTCTTTTTGTCGCTTAGGATAAAGGTCTCAAGTGTTCTCGCCTCCCCTGGACCACTCAGGAAAGAGGATGTTCAAAGTATGATACATGGAGTGGGAATGTTGAGAATGAGGCTCTCAACGGACGAGTGTTATCAACGAACAATGACATGGGAGGGTGTCCAATTTTCTGGTCGGGAAATTCGGACCAGCACATCGGTACGCCCGATCATCAATCAAGTTTTAAATCCTTCCTTTCTCTGTCACTGGAATTTGCTGTTAAGATTTACCATGAAACCATGTGCCAAGTTTCGGCTCATGTCAGCCGGATAAGTGTTTGAGACTGGTCCTCAGCAACACTCGACTTTTGCCGGATAAATTAGCTTGTTCAACATTATTATCGAACTCGAAAGGAACAGAGCGACAAATAGAATCCACGACATAGATGATATAGATTAAGTGACGTTGCATATCGTTGGTATCGTTGATCGTGCGAGCTGGCACACATTCGGTTCGGCGGCCAGAGTTTCCAGAATTACCCAACTGCGGAAACTCCGCGCAAGGATTTTTTCCGGGGAGCATGATAGATTCGCCCCTGTTCTGCTATATTCAAGCTCCTCCTATCCAGGCAATGCGAAGCTCATAGTTTGCGCTCCATATATGTATCGTTGCATAGCGCCAAGTGAGATACACAATTTAAATAAGAATCCGCCGGAGTTGTGGTTTTATAAACCGAACTGGAACACGAAAAGAAACGTGCGGTGGGCTCGTGACCTCACATACCATGTACATATGAGCGGGAGAGTGACAGGGGCTGGTTCTGGGTAATGTGAGTTGGATGGAATTTGGGGTTCAAGGAACCATCATGTCCCACAGAGAGCGTCATGGGCCAGATCCTCACCAATCTTTTTCCCTTTCCCCTGATAGTCTCAGATTGAACGACATTGCCAGTCCATCTCGAAATTCTGCTCCACCGTAACATATCCACTGCCATGCTTTTACTCTCCAACACACAGCTACGTAGATACATAGCACAAATGGATGTGATCCATTGTAACTGGACAGCCTAGTCTAGACAGAAAGATGCCTGGGTACAGCAGATTCTGGTGACCTTTTTCCGTCCTCAACCAATTGGTCTAGAGCCCTAGTCACCCCCGGACGGCATGCCCTGCTGGCACCGGGCTCCAAAGCCTGGCCTGGGTTGTGGAGTTGGATCCCTTCCAGCGGGTGACAGTCACCCCCGGGCCCATTTCACTACACCCTGCCCCCACGCCACCTGTGGAAGCAAATGTAGGTCGGGCTGTGCGAAATAGTGGATGTTGGAAGTTTCGTGCCTACCCCGGGCTTCTCTCCGGGCCCTTTTCCTTGAGCCTGAATTAGGTACATCAGCTATGACTTGTACCGTCATCAACCTTATATAGATCCCTCTGGCCCCCGTGTCTCTCTGTCAATCTGCTTCACCGATTTGCAATTCTTGGCTTTTTCCTATTCACATCTTGATTTACTCAACCGATTCATAGACATTTGACCGTCCCGTTACTACGTCATTATCATTATCATTGTCATTCCCATTATCACTGCCAATCTCACCTCGACCTTCAGTTATACACCAAGCGGCAGGCGTCATTAGGGGCAACAACAATCTTGCGAAAGGGCTTCTTTAACATTATAAATATTCCTAAAAGATCGGCTTCGGCTCTCTCAATTACTTCATACGAAAATGCTTTCCTACGAACCCACACCAATGTCAATCAAGACTCCCACAAAACCAACTACCATTACTTTGCCGCCCACCACATCGTCACCAATGACGGTAGCGCCCCCATCCGTCAACTCTGCCTCCATCAATGGCCACAAAGCCCAGGGACAACAACACATCTGGCTGGTTACGGGCCCTGCCGGCTGTGGAAAGACAACAGTCGCTGGATATTTGGCTCAATCATTAGGCCTGCCCTATATCGAGGGCGATTCGGTATGTAGAACTTTTTGCAGAACGCCCCACGTTATGAAAATGCCCCGGCGTCACCACTAACACGGTTTTCTCATTAGTTCCACCCTCCAGCCAATATTGATAAGATGCGAAATGGTATTCCCCTAACTGATGCCGACCGATGGGATTGGCTCACAGCTTTACGGGAAGAATCCATCAAGAGACTGAATTCCGGATCCAATGGAGTCGTCCTTACTTGCTCGGCTCTCAAGCGCAAGTATCGCGATGTCATCCGCGTTGCTGGATACTACGATCACCGCATTCAGATCCACTTCGTTTTCCTCGACGCTTCTGAGGAGCTTCTTCTCGCTCGTGTCGCCCAACGACAAAACCATTACATGGGTGCCAACATGGTCCATAGCCAATTCGAGACCCTTGAGCGGCCTTTGGCCGATGAAAAGGATGTTATCACCATCGACGTCAGCCGGCCCATAGAAGAGGTGGAGCGAGAAGCGCTCAGTAACGTGTTGGAAACAATCACCAAATCTCAAGACAAGCCATGAGCATTAGACGGCGTTGGAAAACATCGTTATATACGCTTTACATCATTTGGTACATATTTACCGGCTTCATCATACACTGCCGACCCGCCATACACAGTCATTATGGACAATTTTAGGCGAGGTCTTATTATCAAGCAGGGAGTCACAGCGTTATGGTTATATATGCATTCAGGATTCTGGAGTTCAAGATTTAAAAGGCGTTTGGAACCAAGAAGTCTCGTCATTGCCCAGCACCTACGCACTCGGACAGCTCTCCGATGAGGCGCGACCAGGGAAAAGGAGACTAGCTAGCTTGGTGCAGTCCCCCGCAAAGTGTCAGAGTTGCAGTCGTTGTACCGCATGAGCACAACTGGGGCTGCTTGCTTACACGGATAGGCTAAAAAGAAGGGAAGGAAAGGTACTCCCTCATCCCCAGGGTTCTGATTTTACGCCACGCGCGCATGAGAGCCAAATTTGAGCGAGATGCGAAGTCAGTTTTGAGGGTTGCTATATTATCAACTCATCTTAGAAGATCCATGATCTGCTTCACTTATTAGGGCAGAAATACACACAAATGTTCTTGCACTAAACCCATCAGTACTATGCGATGTATGCCGTCCGTTGCCATGAGCCTATGAGGTTTCTTGTAATTTTGCTTGTGAGGAGACATCCGTCACGGCATCGGCTTCCAGCTATTCCGACGAACATTAAGTCTCCTGCATCATGACAACTCAACACACTTGACCGCGGCTCAGCGCGTCTGATTGAAAATGCCTCTGACCGACAAGCGAACGAGTGATAGCTCATACAAATACTTGAAATGTAATTGGAAGCTTCGGGTCGGTGTGTTGTCATCATGCACAGTAACACCCATTCGGCATCTTGGGGCCTGAGCGATTTGCATCACGAGGTTATCAATGCAACGGAATCAGGGTTTATAGCTTGGGCCAACATCATCATCATTCTTCATGCAGATTCAGATTGTCTGGATTCTCCGGCCACTCACTCCCTTCGCTTGGCCATTAACAAAAATGAGACCTCAAGATTTAGCCAAACCGGGAGCCATTGCCGAGGAACAATGCAATATCACGGCTCAGCAGCGTCTCACCAGCTTTGTATATCCCGTTTCGGGTTCGTAATTTATGAATTTTTTGGTAATCTAGGTTATATACATTAACGCCCCTCTTATCTATTTCAGATGCATTACCATAAGATCCGGCTCTTCCACTATTTGTCTTACTACCTCAGCGGCTCGCGCCATGGTAGCGCCATCAATAACTCGGTGATCAGCACTCCAGCTGAAGTTGGTGACCTGCTTCTTGACAACATTGTCGTTCTCGTCAAACGCAGGTACTGTGCGCATGCGTCCAATGCCCAGAATGGCCACTTCACGTTCCACAATGACAGGACTGACGTATGTACCACCCACGTTTCCAATATTGGACACTGTAATGGTGCCCCCTTGGAAATCAGCTGGCTTAAGCTTACCCTGGCTGGCCAATGCCTGAAGCCGTGAGAGCTCTGCCGCAATGGATAGGATGTTGAGAGAAGCGACGTTCTTGATCACGGGCACGACAAGCCCCCCGGTGGTGTCCATAGCGATACCAATGTTGTGTTGTGATCGATGGACGAGGCATGGCTTGTTAGTCTTGGGGTCAACATCCACCCTGGCATTGAGCATTGGGTACTGGTTCAACGCTAATGAGACAGCCTTAATTATAAAGGGTAGATATGATAGCTTGCTAGGTTGTCCCTCGACTGTAGGACCCTTAGCAATAACGCGGTTCAGTCGCTTCCGAAGCTCCACGAGACTCGAGAAGTCAACCTCGTCCGCGTAGAGAAAGTGTGGGATAGTCAAGGACCTTGTCATAGTCTTGAACATTTGCAGTTGTGTGTTAGAAAGAGGCACAACTGTTTCGGCTTGTACCGAGGTGTCTTGGGGCTTGGAAGACGCAGCAGTTGGTGATACTTGCTGGGCACTATCCTTGGCATCTCTATCCTTGATAAATCTGTAGATATCTTCCTTGAGAACCCTGCCATCTCTTCCAGTGCCATCAACATCTGCGATATTCACATTGAGCTCCTTGGAAAGATGTCGCACAGCTGGAGTAGCGATGCTGGCGCATTTGCCCTTCTCCTTGACTGGTGTCTCGGCAGGCGCTTCAAGATTCGCTTGCTGCTCTGTTCCGGCCTGGGTTTCTGTAGGTGGTGGCGGAGGGACATCCTCCTTGTCGGCTTGTTGATTTGATAGTGCGTCAACGTCCTCGGCCTTTGCCTCGCCTTCAATATCGATGTCAACAAAGGGCTTGCCGACTTTGGCCATTTCGCCGGCTTCGTAGTGCAGCTTCTTGACCACGCCTGAGAAGCGGCTTGTAATCTCCACAGACGCCTTATCACTTTGGACTTCGCATAGCGGAGAGAACTCTTCGACGCGGGCACCGGGTTCCACGAACCATTGAATGACTTCACATTCAACGATGCCTGGCTTGTGTTAGTCAGACCGGATGACATGGGGTAATTTGCGTTCACAGGCTTACCTTCACCAATGTCAGCCAGAACAACAGGTTTGATAGCCATTAATCTTCTGGATTCACTGAACCATCTTTGAGTCTTGGCCATCATAGGAGCTCGAGAGCCCATTGCCATGCTGCCCATGCCTCTGGCAACATGCCATTGCTTCTGTAGCACACGGGATCCTCGTTGAAGAAACATGATTGCTAGCAATTGGGCCTGTAAGGAGGAGAAGAATGTTCAGAGATTGTCAATAGAAGAGCCCGAGTCATCCTCATAAGAGAGAGGAGATGGTAAATATCCATGGCAGTTTAAGCCGAAGGGCTGGCTTCCATCGGCCCCGTCCGTGGATAACCGCCAATCCGGGGGAATGACGGCACTGACGAATACTAAGCCCGATCGAACCGCATCTTCGGCTCTATCTCACCCCCACACTGCCGATACAGGCAATGGCCCTGTGCTCCACTGCTCCCGTCAAACGTGGGGACTCTATGGAAACTCAAGTGAATTTTCCAACGTCGGGTCTCAGGTTTGGAGAGCCGCAAAGTCCGTCCCCTCCCCTCCCCTGCCAGCCATGATGGCATCACGACGACTCGAGCTGAGCCTCTCCGGCCTCGCTCGCCGACCTCTAACATGTTTCCTTTGCGAGGCTCGTCGCTCATTCACCACTTCGACCATCCGACTAGCGAGGACTGAAAAGCCTGGATCTGGCGCATCGTTAAATCCCCAAGAAAATGTTGCTAAGCCAATTGAGGCTCCACGAAGTTATGGAAAGCGACAAGAAGGGCACTTCGTACCGAAACCTCTTCCTCGTCCGATCGGAATGCCCCTACCGCCTAAAGCTGGAGAGAACACTGGAATTGATAGTCGATCGCTGCGACAGCGACGTGAGGATTTTGTTAATTATGACAAGCACTTGCAACGGCGCAAGGAGCTGTAAGACCATCAAGGCCGGCTGGTAACACACACACTAACGCTTCTTTGTACACAGAACTGCAAAGATTTCACGGCCGTACTTTCGAGATTGGGGCAACCTTCAATACCATGAGGGTAAATCCTTCATCGCGCCCCCACGCCTATTTAAGGCCGAGTTGTCACTATTCTTCCCCAACTTTTACGGCGAAACTCTATTGAAGACGGATAAGAACCCACGCGATACTACACCACTCCTTACTGGCAAGGCAACAGTCGTCTCTTTCTTCAGCAGCCGCTGGGCCGAGCAGCAAGCTGCGACCTTTACATCTAAGGTGGAAAACCCCGGGCTTCATGAAGTACTAAACAAACACCCGGGTACGACACAGATTGTCCACATCAACTATGAAGATAATGCCGGCAAGGCATGGTTGGTGCGTTTCTTCATGGGTTCATTGCGAAAGCAGTTCCCAGAGAAGGATTGGGACAAATACTTCCTTGTGCGACGAGGCGTTACCGACGACATTCGCGAATCCATCGGTATACTCAACAGCAAGGTCGGATACGTCTTTCTTGTCGATCAGTATTGCCGGGTTCGGTGGGCGGGCAGCGGAACCGCTCATCCCGTTGAAGCAGAGGGCTTGGCAAAGGGCCTCTCACGAATAGTCGATGAGATGAGGAACGAAGCGACCTTGCCCGCCACTGCAAAGGAGCAACATCCAGGCAAACACCATCTTGAGGTTCCAAAAATGCTGTAATTAGACGCCTTCTAGTAGAGGAAGACGATTGTAACTTTAGACATCCTAGACATCCATGGTCCCACCATGATTGTACAATATCAAACACGCTGATACCCCTGAACACCTGTGCATTATACAAAGGCAAGCTCGTCAGTTTTACGAGAAGAGGAAGAAAACAATAAAACAGAACGCAACAAAGCTTCCCATAATAATCCCGTCCCTCCTCTTCTTTGCCGATATCCTTCCGATCAGCGTATTGATCCCAGGTACTTGGCTTGCCGCGTGCGTAATCCTCCGATTGATACTCGCCAAGGTTTCACGCTGCAGATTAAAGTTGTCATTAACTGCGTACGCTTGGCTGAGAACACTGTCCGCCATATTGTTGCTATTGTCGATACGATTGCGCTCTTCCAGCATGTAATCAGCCTCGGCAGCTTCAGGGTTGTTCTGGCGGTATTCATCGATATCCGAGCGGACATTGGTCAGAAGGTTCGCCCGATCGCGCGCTTGTTGTAGCGTTGAACGCAGGCGCGCCAGATCTCTCTGATGGCCAGTAAGCTTCCTTCGAAGGAGGGACAGGTTGTTCTGTTTTGAAGCGGAGGATGCGAGATTGGGTTCGGAATCAAGAAGTCGAGTGAGCTGGTCGTTGACTGTTTCGCGCTGATGCGATGTTAGTATGTCGTATAGCAGTTTGCCAGCGAACAAAATCAGCGCATACCTTCTCTAGCAATTCTTCCAACTTTCTTTCTGTTTCGCGCTCTTCTTCTGTAGGCTTTGGTGGTACGTTAGAGGCTGTCGAGAACTGCGAATATGTGTGGAACAAGGTCTCCGTCTAAGTTACGACGACGTCAGCTAATAGTCTGGCGCATGGTATTGTTTGATGTACCTGGGTCTCCAACTGTCGAGCTTGTTGTCGAAGCTGGGCCCATCCGGCGACTCCATTCGTTGTCGACATTCTGTATATTAAAATTCTGGCTTCGTGACAATATGGTGATGTATTCGTATAATCGTCAACCTGAACTAGCCTTCCACCTCACCCATCAACACCCTGACGACCCATGTTCGAGGGATGGCAGAATCGGTACTCACACCGCCTTACGCTAGCGTCGGGATTCAGTCACGTGTAATATCACGTGCCACTCCGAAATCAAAATTCTTTGTGCAGGAGGCTGCCCCACTGCCTGCCTCAAAGCCCTAAATTTCTAACCTGCGCACGGCAACGATATCGCGACACTGAAAGCTTGAGGCAGATATCTTCCCAACACCTCGTCGACACCACTTCGCATACCACTTCGAAGCTATTCAAGATGGTGAGTACGAATAATCCTCGCCCTCTGTCACGGTAGTTGTCGGCTTGTTTTGTCGGCGTTTTGTGCGGCTGTCAAATCCTTCGAACTTTTCATCGACCAAAACACACAAAACACATTCACGATCGTTTTTCCACCCTCGAGCCTCGGCCATTGTTTCGATATAGCAACACACAAAACATGAATATGGGAAGGACAAATCGCTGACAGGTTGCAGTCGTCGGGCAAGGTCAAGGCTGGTGCGCTCTGGGGCAAGAACAAGGATGATTTGACAAAGCAGCTCGCTGAGCTCAAGACCGAGCTTGGTCAACTCCGCATCCAGAAGGTCGCCTCTTCTGGCTCCAAGCTGAACAGGATGTGAGCATTTCTCTCTCTGCAACATTGGTGTTGAAGGAGATCGTAAAATCAAAAGTGGCGTATCGCTAATGCGTTTCAAACAGCCATGACATCCGCAAGTCGATCGCCCGTGTCCTGACCGTTATCAACGCCAAGCAAAGGGCTCAGCTTCGCCTGTTCTACAAGAACAAGAAGTACGCCCCTCTCGACCTCCGACCCAAGCAGACTCGTGCCATCCGTCGCCGACTATCACCTGAGGAGAAGTCTCGCGTCCTCGAGAAGACCAAGAAGCGCACTGTTCACTTCCCTCAGCGCAAGTTCGCCATCAAGGTACGATGATTCGACGCCTTTGGAGGATTCAGAACTCTATATATGGCAAGACACTTGTTCAGAGAACCAAAATACTAACGACAAATTGCAGGCTTAAGTTAAAATGCTTGTAGTTTCTGGCGTGACAAGGACAACGGGTAGAAAGGAAACGGGGTATGGAGGGCGTGGCGTGCTTTTTCTTTGAACTAAAGGCTTCGAAATTTGCATCGCATGGCTCAGGGAATCTCGGTCTGACTTGTACTTATTTCCCGGCTTGGGGCCTCGATTCGGGACGGCATGTCCACAATGGACTGCCTGGACAGGCAGTCTTTAAAAACAAAAATGAGGTCATGATCAAGAAGTTCTGAGTGCATCCTTGTGATAGTTGTGACAAGATGGTTGCGTCCATGTAGGAGGAGGTCGTATGCCTTGGACAATCGACTCTTGGACAATCAAGACCTATGACTTTGGCAGAAACCTGAAAGATAGACAATTTACCATATTTCGTCTGAGACTATACCCCAGATCTTGCGTTAGTTTACGTTAATTCATCAATTCGATTCAAACTGACCTGGTTCTCTTGGACCTATAATATGATAAAATTCTTTCGTACGGGTCGGCCACATTCGGTTGGTCTCTGAGGCGCCTCGGATCGCTCCAACCCGCGTCACCCCACCATAACCCCAACGACATCTTTCCATCAACAAGTAAAAGACATAGAGGAAACCCAGCTTCTCATTTTCACCTCATTTCCCTTCATCTTCACCAAACCGGACACACCTGTTGGTCGTTTTGCCTCACTGATCTCATATATGAGTCATTGAAATTGCTTTTATTAATTGGGCCCTCGAATGTATCAAATGCATCAGCGTTTAAAAGAGGACCCCGCAAAGGCAGTGAATGATAATTTGATCTGCTAAAGAATCGAATTCGAGAGGATCGCGGATTAACCAATATATTGTGCATCGCTTATGTCTCAATGGAAGAAAGGGGTGGTCTCAATGATAGGCATCCAACTATTCTCAAGTGCAGAGTTGGTTGTACAGTTTTCTGAGATTCACGCCTTCAGTCGGGACTTTCAATGGACGGTATGCGGGACGAATGAACAACTATCAGAAGGCGACAATGAAGATTCAAATACCCCTCCCGGCCTCCCCCCATTGCCAAAACGATATCATTACACGACATCGGACACAGTATGCTCCAATTCTAAACTACCAGTACCTGTCGCGCTCGGCCGAACATTCTGGATCATGGTCAATCAACTCGAGAGCTTGATCTTTTTCGTGTCCATTATGGAATCGGGTATCTATCTACCTTTATCTAAGTCTTCCGCTCACTTCGTAAATATCATGTGGCTCGTCCGGAGCAGCATGGTCCAGGAACGCCAGTTTTCATCACAAATTTCAAGACAGCTTAATTAGGAGAACCTTCAACGCCAGTACCAACCTCAAAATCCCAAAACGACAGCACTTTCCTTTTTTTTGCTTTCAAAATGAGATATCCCCAACTCTGGGAAGTTTCAGAGCTTCATCTCATGAGCTTTTGCTACTCTTGCGGCCGCCATCTTGCAGATGAGTTTGCAGATGCCGACGAAGTTGATCCAGCCGATGAAAGTCTTTGCCGCAGTGCTCACAAACGTGGTTACCACGAACATTGTGCGTGCGACGGTGCTTGGATAGATTGGAAGATTCACCAAACCGCTTCCCACAGATTTCGCACTGCAAAGGCTTTTCTCCTGTATGCGTGCGCATGTGCATGGCTAAAGAGCGAGTTAGCATTTGGTATGGAGCCAGGAGTTGACATATTTACTAAGAGCACTCTGTTGCTTGAAACGCGCTTCACACCCCGGATGTTCGCACTTCCATGGTTTCTCTCCTGAGTGGGTACGCATGTGCTGCTCCAGGGATTGCTTTGCTGAAAGCATTATGCCGCAAATCTCGCATTTAACTGGTTTGTCTATCAGACCAATTAGTGCGTTCTTCGAAATTGAGCCTGATATTCAACCATATGGTACAACTCACATCCGGTATGCGTCTGCATATGTCGTTCCAATTTGCTCTTTTGCGAGAATGGACCGGGTCTTATACAAGCGTACCATGTGCAACAGAACCCATTTTCGCCCTTCTGCAGAGTCTTGACATGCTCATTCTTACAGTGGTCCTGGAGTTCTTTATTACTTCCAAACCTTTTGGAACAGAGGACGCCATCTCCTTCACAAAGCCATTGGCAGGTGAAATCGGCTTCTCCTTTTATGGCTTGCTTCTCAGCCAACTCGGTTTTCGGTGTGGGGGATTGTGAAGGCATAGAAAAGGCGCCATTATGGCTCAGCCCTGGGCCACTGGGACGACTTGCAAGATTCCCGACGTGTTGGTTGAGATCCTCAGTAAAACTAGGTCCGATTTCATGAGAGAAATCGCCAAAGTCATGACCGATCGCGGAGTCAATATCCAGAGGAACACCCTGGCCTGGTTCGACTGGGCTCATTAGGGTATTGACCACGGGTTCAGGTTCTGCCGAGGGCGTTGTAACAGACACAGATGCCGGAGTAGTGGAAACGGTGGTGCTCACGCAATGCGAATCGTTGCAGGGGATTGCTGCCTCCTGGCAAGAGGCATCAAGGCATGGCTCGAGGGCAGCACAAGTGGGTTCGAAACAACAGGCAGCATGGGAGAAGTCAAACTCGTCACAAGAAGCATCGAAGCAGCAGTCCGCATGATCTCCATCGCCACATTGACTCCAGCATTTGGCATCGCCGCATGCAGAAGTGCAGTCAACAGAGGCGGCGTTGTTGCATCCCATATGTTGTGTCCACGACATTGGCATGCAATTAGCGACGTTGGCCTGGCCCATCATGTTGGCCCAGGAGGGAGCAACGGCTTGTGGCCAACGATCATAGAGACTGGGCATTGAAAACGCATGGTTCTGGTGTTGGAATTCGCCAAACGATGTATGTTGGCTGTCTAACAGTGGCATGTTGAAGTTGTGCTGCAAATTCTCGTTGACGGTCTGAAGAACGGCTGTGGGGTCGATATGCTGGAGATTCTGATCTTGTTGAATGCTATGAGGAGAGTGCATTTGGTGCACATGCGACGACTGCTGGTAGTCTAGTTGGTGATGATATTGATGCGTCTGCTCAGACTGTCTCCTTCGCTTTTGTCGGTGCGCTGAGACTCTCATTGCCGCAGTGGACAATGTTCTTGCAGGAGAACTGGATATGTTTGATTGGGTACGGCTTTTTGCCCTCGTGGAACGGGTGTTGTTGGCCTGGTCATGACGCTGGGAGACCGTATCAGTACCGTGCTTAAGATCGAGGCCGATGTCAAGAGCGTTCTTGGTGGCAGCAGTTTTACCATAGTGGTCAAAACAGCGTTGATCGAGACAAGCGTTCTCAGTGTTGTTGCAGGTACCGAGAGAATCGAGACCGTGTGTCAGGCAGGTATCGTGACCGAGCAAACTGTCAAATCCATAGTCGACTTTTTCGGATTCGAAAGAAGTTGGCTGGTTTTGCTGCTGGTGATGATGAGCGAAAGGCGCTGAGTGGTCCATGATTTCATATATGGAATCACAACAGCAATCGCTCGGTTTGATAACGGCGATTGCTTCTCTCTTTTTTTTATCCTTTCGCGCGCGAATGTTTCTGAGTTAAATTTATGATTGAGGTGTTCATCGACGGCATTAGTATGATAATGCGAAGGCCTGGGCGGCCCTAGTGGGATGTTGCGAACGGCCCAAGAGAATCGATGAGAGTGAGAACCCGGATGGCCAGGCGGCTCAAAGGGTTGAAGGTGGAGGGGCAGGGTATGACACTAAGGCACTTTGTGAACTCCAGTGGGTCATGGTGCGTTTTAGTGGGACCAGCTTTCCTGGAATAATTATGCTCGGCCAATGAGGATGGAGGGATTGGGAGAGCAAGACAAGAGCAATCTATGGTTGCTGAGTACCTACCAGGTCGCAGAGGCAGTAGGCATTCGTTCGCTTCCATCTTTCCTGAACTAACGGATAGTTTTTAACACTAAGTAATAATGTACCTGAGGGAATAAGTCAGCAAGTGGAGGGCTTACGATTTCTTCCAACCCTGCTTTACCCGTGAAGAGCCAGTCCCGTCAGCTGGAAGACAAGTCACCAAAGTTGAGCTGGGGAACTGGGCGGGTTTGAGGACGTGGGATGCCAATCTCGGTCAATATTTATGCTTCGTTTGTTGTAAATCCATAGCCGAACTGGTTCAATACCTCAAAGTCGAGTCGATCGCTCCATCTTCCGCGTGGGGTTCATGTCTCTTGATCGCCTGCATGTATGGATATGGCCAATGACTATGGCATCCCAATTTCTGCATCGATGGAATCTCATAGTCTCTGTATAGTACTTTGTGTGCAGTTAATCCACTTCATTGCTCCAGCATGTTTCTCGGTAACTTTTCCGACTAGAGCACTGACGATATGGCCCATACAACTGGCTCAGGGACTTGCAGCGGATCGATACCCCCGGATGGCTAAAGCTCTGGTCTTGCCTTTGTTATTGGGTCTCTTTTTCAGTTGGTTTGTTCGTTGTTCACTGTTATAGCTATTGTGACTATTTGTTCCGATTATTCAGTATCAGCTTGTGTTGATGCACGTCTATGCCCATGACAACGTAATCATATCCAACCCGTACGATTTTCTACCAACAAGTGGTAGGTATAGCTGGAATAAAGATTACATATTTCTAATGACTAGCCTACCACCATGTGAACCACATGTGCTAATTGAAAAGAGAGTTGAGGTGATAAATTCAAGTTTTTAGGTGGTTACCCTATGCTTGTGCATCTTATTGTATTATCTATCTACCTTACCTTATCTATTGACAACGACACCAGCCACTCAGACCTGCTATGAAATTTCTGTACTGAAAGTAAAATAAAACTTGTCGAGGCTGCTGTATGTTTGACTGGCGTCTAGCTTGCATTAGATAGATAGGCTTCGAATTGATACAGATAATGGATAGCCACTTTAGATACAGTCGCATACGGATGTAGTTGACGCCCATATGTAACATGTAGACTGTGAACAACTTCAGAATTTGCCTTTACGAATGGCTGATTCCATGTTCGCAGCGACCTCCGTCCAGTCTTCCCGGTACCGCAACTCCCCGCTCCGGGTACGGCAGATGTAGACCCACTTGACTCCGTAATGCTCTCCGTCTTCGTCACTCAAAACTTAGGTATGAAGACCTCTTAGATAGAGAGAGATATACCAATGCAAGCCACTCGAAACCCAATGCGATTACTATCATTATCTGTCAAAGATATGTGGTCGATGAAATTGAAGTAGTTGTATTTGCCTGCTGTTGCGACTCGCACTATGCAGCTAGATTAACGGTACGTAATCAGAGAATAAGCTAAAAGGCTTATCTTAGGCTATTATATAGGTAGTTGGTATACTGCTTGAGGTGTGTTTTTGAGAGTGTTTCTTTGAGTTAATAGGCCTGACAGCTGATGTTTGCATCGCCCGCCTTACCTCGACGTTGCTCACATGCCTCCTGAGGCGCAGCGCTCCATCCCTCAGCCCATCACGATCATCCTTTGCAAGTTCTATATGACCGCAGAGTTGACTACAAGGAGTAACTGACTTCACCACGACTGAGTGATCGTCACTAGATATCTTTATACACTGACATTTACCGACACTCGATTGGGGGTATCGCAAACAAAGCTTAACGCTTCCGACCCTGTTTCCCTATATGGAAACCCCTCCTGACCTCGGATCTTGGCATAAAGAAACTCCAGCCTCACGTCTCTCGCTGCCACACAACGCTCTAATTCAATCCATCAAATTTCAATCTGGTAATCTCAGCACACGCCCAGTCTTTTCTTTGCCTTATCCCCTGTATTGTAGCCCAACAGAAAACATTAAACCCACCGCACCACACCATCGGCAGCCATGGGCAACATCTGCGGAAAGACAGAGCCAGAGGCTTTTTCGCAGCCGGGCAGAGTCTTGGGCTCCGCTCCCGCTCCAGCCGCTGGCACAGCGCCGGTTCCAAAAAAGGTCGGAGGCCCGCCAAGGACTTTGGGAAGTGGTCCAGCTGCGGAAGCTTCAGGAGAGACGGATGACGCCCGGAGGAAAGCCGCGGAAGCTGCAGAGGTGAAATCGCCCCCTACCGCGTGACTGTCATGGTGTTCCGAATCTCAACATTATTGTTATCTCGACTGACTGAACATTGCAGGCGCGCGCAAAAGCATCCTCAAAGCCAGGCGGAAAGTTGCAGACACAACTAGCAGCACAGAAGAAACAGACACGTTCAGAAACCCTCAAGGACGCTAGCCAAGAGCAGCTGCGAGCGCGTGAGGCCGATCAAGCAGCTGAAGCACGAAATTGGGCATGATGATTCAGTGTTGACTTCTCAAGAGCAGACACGTCAGAAGATGGCGCAGAGTAGCTGGTCCACGAGAATGCGGATTGGAATGCAGCGTTTACACATTGTGATCATCCAATGGCGCCTAGCAGTTCCGAGATTTTCGTCCATGTTCAGTTGGATTCTTATTTCAGAGTATTTTCAAACAAGATTATAGATGTTTTATTTCGAAAACGTTACAAGTTCAAAAACTCGGTGGGCTCAGCGTTAACCAATGTTCCCTCAGGGCTTTCCACCGAAGTAGGCATGCGACGCCATGATTAACTCCTATTTGTATACATTTTCTTCTTCTTCAAACTTCCACGTAGCCTCTGCAACGCCGTCCATCAACGAACCAGTCCATATAAGTGTAATGAAAGCAGCGGGCCGACGTCTTCCAGCGAAAGACCTCATATGGCTAGGTAATTGTATATCGTCCACTGGCTGGTGCTCGACTGTCGGCATCTGCAGCAGCTATTGTTCCCTCTCTTAATAGGCGTGTGAGTTCGCTGAGAGCGGATCCAACAACAACCTCGGTATCGCCTTCGATGAGAATATACAGTTTTGGTTCGGCTCCTGCGGGAACCTCTTTGCCCGGTGGGTAAAAGTTGCCCTTCGTTGTGATCGATGTACCTGTAGCCTCTAGGATCTTGGCTACGTTGGTTCGGTTGGTGACAGCCCATCTGGCCTTTTGAGGGAAATCGTTGATTTCCAATGTGGCATGGAACGCACCAGCATCTGGGCCCTTGTTGTCGATGGGCTGACCAGCACGAAGTTGGCCAGCCTTTCCGAGGCGGCTGTTGATGGCGGAGACGGCTGAACTGACCTTGTCGAGCGGGTCTTTGGACTTGTCTTTTACTCCCCCAGCAATGTTTGCCTGTTGGGTAGGCTTCACTTCTGCGCCTTCAGCCTTTGCTGACTCGCGGGCTTGAACGCCTGATGCTGCCGCGCGGATCGCACTGAGAGCCTTCTCTGCCTTATCGTCCTCCTCTTCCTTCTTATCTTCCTTGACCTCCTCCTCCTCGCCCTCGGCCTTGTGGGTCTTGCGCTCGCGGAGACGGGCAGCCTCACGTTCCTGATCAAGACGATCGAGACCCTTGCCGCCAAAGCCAGATGTGTCCTTGGCCTTGCCTGATTTGACCTTTTCACGATGAGCTTTCCTCATCTCGTCGAGCCTTTCTGGTACCGGCTGCCCACTCTGTTCAAGAGCCTTGGCAATGCCGACAGAGCAGTTCTCCTGCTCTGGCGTGACGAATGTGACAGCGACACCAGTATTGCCAGCACGACCAGTTCGGCCAGCACGATGAACATAATCCTCCAAGTGGTTCGGTGCATCGTAGTTAATAACGAGCTTGAGTTGCTTGACATCAAGACCACGAGCTGCCACCGAAGTAGCGATCAAGATAGGCACTACACCCTTCTTGAAGTCTGAGATGGTAGAATCACGATCAATCTGATCTTTACCTCCATGAATGGACATGCAGGGGTAACCCTTGATCATAAGCTCTTTCAATAAATCGTCGGCCTTTTCTTGACGTTCCACGAAAATGAGGGTGCGGGCATCTTCATCACGGTCGTAGAGCTCTCCAAGCAGCTCGAGAACACGCAGGAACTTGGATGGCTCATCTCGAACTTCAACGATCTGATCAATCTCCTTTGCCACAACACTACGACCGCCCACTGTAACCTCGATAGGATTCTTGAGTACCTTCTTGGTCAGCGAGTCGATGATGCGAGGCATCGTAGCCGAGAAGAGGATAGTCTGCCTGTCAGGTCGCATGTTTGCGAAGATCTTCATGACCTGAGGCTCGAAACCCATATCGAACATTCGATCAGCTTCATCAAGAACAACATATGTAACTCGCTTGAGATTAGTAACCCGCCCTTGGTTCGCAGCTAGCAGATCGATCATTCGACCAGGTGTACACACAATGATCTCCGCGCCACGCTTAAGTTCAGCAATCTGATCTCGGATGGGCGCTCCACCGTAAGCACAGACAGATCGAAGACCCATCATCTTGAGAAAAGGTTTACAGTCTCGATGAATCTGGACTGCAAGTTCTCGTGTTGGAGTCATAATCAATCCGATAGGCCCATCTGTATCCTTCAATGGAGGCTGGTCCTTGATGTGTCGGAACATGGGAAGCAAGAAAGCCATTGTCTTTCCTGAACCAGTCTTCGCCACTCCGATGACATCGCGGCCAGACATGAGAGCAGGAAGAGCCTGCATCTGGATGGGAGTAGGTTTCTCAAAGCCTAAGTTATCAATGACGTCGAGTGTTTGTCGCGTCAGACCACATTGCGCCCATTTCTGAACAGGCTTGGGAACATCCTTTCCGTTGACTTTGATGCCGTCGAGTTCTAGGCGAAGATCAGCTACCTCGGCCTCTGTGAGTAGGCTGAGTTCAGCTGGCTCGACCCAGAAGTTTTTGCGGATAGGTTCAATTTCGATCTTGCTGTAATCAATCGCCGGAATGTCTTTCTTCTTTCGCTTCGCAGTCATCGCTAGCAAGGCGTTTGCGTCACCCGTGTCCTTCTTATTGAAATCATATTCATCGTCGCTGAAGTAAGCCTCCGGCTCCTGGATCTTTTGTGCTTTGGATGTCCTAGCCGGTTGTTTCACGTCTGTCTGCCTGAGATCAGCCATGAATGCATCCAGTGGGTCGACGTCATCCTCCTCCTCGTCAACTTCCATCTGTGTGGTGATGTCGGGTTGAGCGGCGTTGTTGTTCGACATGGTATCTCCATTGATCTGGATTTCGGTCGTCTTTGACTCTTCCTCACCCGTATCCATTTGATTCTCTGCCTGCAACCGTCTCTCGTGAGCTGCACGAGCAGCAGCGGCGGCCTCCTCTTCAGTCTCCGCGAAGTTGTCCCCATCGGATTCATCATCATCCTGATCGGCATATGGAGTGTCGTCAGCCTCGATGGGCAGGGCAGGAAGCTTAGTAAGTTTTCGTTTAGTAGTGTCTTCTTCATCCAAGTCAAGCTTCCGTTTAGTGGGGAGCTTGTCAGTTTCTGCATTATTCTTCACGAATCCAAACCCACTAGCTTTTGTTCGATTCGCAGGGAGAGCCGATGCTAAGATAGGTTTGTCAGTTGAGCTTGAAGGGAGAACCGAGGATGAGAACCTACCGCTGGTAGACGGTTTTACAGGCACTGGGGGCTTGGCAGGGACCGGGAGCTTTTCGGGCTGCCCCCCCAGAGAGCCCAAGGCTGGTTTTACGCCTTCATGTGTCCGGGAAGCTGCCGATTTCTTTGCGATGGCCTTAGGGTCAAACTTGCCAGAGTATGGGACGACAGGTGAAGCAACAGTCGGTGTTGCAGCCGGCGAAGCAGTCGCAGAAACTGATGGAGAAACTGTTTTTGAGGACGCCCCACTCGCTTTCTTGTCCATTTCAGCCAAGAGGTTCCTTGTCTGGCTAGGGTTTACTTCTTTTTGTTTCTGGCTCGCATTCTCCTTCTTCTTCTTCCACGCTTCAAGTTTGGCTAATCGTTCAGCCTTCTTGTTGACCTCCGGCTGTCCAGAATCAGCCTTGGGTTTCTGCAATCGACATCCATTAGCAATACTTTCATGAAAGAGAGACTGCAATCGAACCTCCTCAGTATCGGGATTACCACTGTCGCCAAGTGAGATCTTCTGTGTTCTACCATCTTCACGAATGCTGCGAGTAAGGGAGTCAGCCGTACCCTCACGGCGCCCAGGGGTGCGGTTGCGGGAGTCGTCTCGCCTTCTCACATCCCGATCACCTTCTCGGCTGCGGTTGTGTCGCCTATCGGGTGATCGATTGCGATCATCGTAGCGTTCTCGGGATCTCCTGCGATCTCTTTCGCGGTGGTCTCGTCGTCCACCTCGGTAATAATTGTCGTCGCGCCGGTCTATAGAGCGGTCTCTCCGTCGATAATAATCTCGATCTCGCCCATGGTCTCTATCTCTTTCGCGGTCGCGGTTTCTGGGCTGTTCATGGATAAGATCGTCAGAATAAAACCGGCCACAGTTAGGTGGTTGCCTTCTCACATCTGGACTGCGTGATCTGCTACGTCGCCGATGGTCCCGTCCATCGTTACGCCGATCCCTAGCTCGACGATCATCATTGCGGTGACGGCGAGAGCTGTGGGTGCTGCCTGCAGGACTTGGTGAGCGCGAGTCTCTCGGCCGAGCCATTATTGGTGGTCTCGCAGGCTCAGCAGGACACTTCGTTGGTGAGTAGTACTTTGAAACGGAAGGCCGAAGCCTAGGCAATGCGCCACAAGCGCGTGATCGTATATTCGCGGCGCAAATTTACAGGCCCGTAAGCTTCCCTCAAGCGCCTTGTCCGAGTAATCAGGCGCCGCAGTTTGTCTCTGGATGAATATAGGGAAGGCCGTTGTGTTGATGTGAGAATGAAACTTTAGCTTCATTGGAAGGCTGATGGGCTGAAAGTCTGGGGTTCATTATCCGGGCTTTATCCAACAAAAAGACCCACACACAGGAGCCGCGCTAGTCCCAAACGGATTCTAGGTCAAGCTACCTCGGTTTCATGTTGATTGACTGCGTCAGTCTCATCTCCAACATCTCAAAGTTCAAGGTGACAGTATGGCCGGCCTCGTCGGATATGCAAGCAGCGATGATGAGGAAGAAATACAAGAGGTCGAACCTCCTCTATCTCAGAATAAGGTAAGAAATTTCCCATGACTGTTCCCCACCATATAGCAACAACTTTGTCTAATTATCATCAGCAAAGAGTGAACACTACAGATGACAAACAGCAAGATCGAGAAGTAAAGGAGAAGACCAATACATTGGGTAAGGACCTCCTCATTCGCACTCTCCACATACCTGATTCCGTTTCAAGCCATCTCTGACCTTGCTACTATGTAGCGTCTGAGTATAAGAGTCTGGAAGATGTTCCCATCGGACCAGTTCAACAAAATGCTGCGCCCTTGGGACCTTTCCTACCACCCATGGAAGGAGCTGTTCTAGATGATCAAGATCCAGCATCTAGATCTGCTTCACCATACTCGAGCAATCGTGCTCTTCTTCGTGACCTGACGTTACCATCAGCACCTAACCTAAACATTCCCCCATCGCCCCCAGGATCACCACCGCCCGGCACAAACAAGAAATTTGAGAAATTCCTTGAGCTCAAGAAGAAGGGAACACACTTCAATGCCAAACTGGAGCAATCAACTGCACTCAAAAATCCCAGTTTGATGGATAAACTGATGAGATTTGTCGAAGTCGATGAGCACAGTCAGTATTCAACTACATTAGCTACGGATTTGTGGAATCCTGCAGCGTTTCCAGAATGGGCGTTCAAGGAGAAGCTACGGAAGAGCCACGACAAAGTGCTGAAGGAGAAAGAAGCAGAGAAGACCACTGGTACCAGGACGACCGTTGAATTTGTCCCATCGTCAACATCGGCAGGCCAGGATACAACAGCGAGAAGTGGACTCTTAAGAGGCGAGAAACGGAAAAGTAGTTGGAATTAAGAATGAAGGCGCCAGGTCACAACATATGATCGCAGCGATAGCACTTTGCCGAGGAAAATGACCAGCAGACATCACACTCACGAGATGGAGAGCCGGAAGTTTTTATTCAGAGACCTGTTGGACACAGGGTGACTCGCATCAAAGGTATCATTATAACCGCCCGCGCCTTTGGTCAAACCACCACCTCCTCATAGCTTTACATTAATCGACCCGACGGCGTACATCATCCATCGCCACCAGAATTGCATAATTCATGACCTTTCTGTTGCTTCCATGCACACAGGGCATGCAGCCCATAATCCCAATGAATCCTGCAATTAATCATTCTTGCTCTGGCACTTGACCTCATAGTCGAGGTCCTTCTTCAAAATGGCACCAATGTCGATTTCAACTGTTTGATTTGAACTCGCCAGTGCTGCGGCGAAATAGGTAAGATTTTCACCATGGTTGATGACCGACTTGCCCAGTAACTTGAAGGGGAGGATGCCTGTTTTGCAGTAGGGCTCTTGCTGGACGGCGTTGAGTATAATACTCTGGTTCATGCTGGCGGTGATGTTGACGACGTTGTCACCTGGCTTGAGCACCAAGTTTGGAATCGTCAGGGTGCCGACTTCAATATCTCCAACAAAATTTGTGAAGGTGACGTTGCCCTGAATTCACGATTAGTTTGGCAAATGCATCGACTGTGAACGATAGCTTACATTATCCAGTGTGAACACGGAAGCGTTTGGAATCGTGGTGGTGCCGTTGAAGTTGGGCCCGTCTTTACCACTACCAAAGCCGATGTGGCCGTCGTTGACTTCAGTGCCAGCGAAATGGTTAAGACCCTTGAGTTCCAATGTCTTCTTGAAGGTGACGCCGTACTTGCGCGATAGACCGCTTGGCTTCACTTTCGTCTTTCCGTATACGGTGACACGGACTGTCTCATTGTTGTGGAACCAGACGTTGAAACGAGTGAACTCCTCCATGTCGGTGATTGTGACCTGCTGGCTCACATTGACGACCTGGTGTTTGTTGCTGTTGGTCTCTGGCATCTTCACGGTAGCAAACGCCACATGTGCTGGCCAATCCTCGAGATACATATCAGCCTCAAAAGGATCAACCTTGGCATGGATCTTGCCATCGGTTGTGATAGAAGAATCGATTTCCATGAGATAGGCGTCACTCTCGGTGTCAAGAATTCGAACGGATTGGATTTCCAACTTGGCTTCGTTGATCTTACTTTGTGCAATCTTCGGGACAGCGACAAGAATTCTAAGGGGTTAAGTCAGTTCTGCAATGGACGCTTGAAAGAACAGCGGCTTGCAACTCACATCACAGGAACCACGATGACAACAATGACGCAGAGAATAATGAGATAAACCCACCAGAAGCGTTTGCAGTGTCTCGCGCAAGTTCGCTTCTTGGACCTGGGGACAGTCCCATTCTCGGTCTGGGTGACCTCGTTCTTTTCCGACATGTTGACCTGATAATAGGAAAGAAAGGATAATTAGGGGTGTGAAAGGGGTATTGTAACAAGACAGGACAGGTCCGACGTCGTGGAAGTGAAGAAGAACAAGCCAATCTTCAACATACACCAAATGGCGATGAAGAGGGAACAATGGCCGAACTTAAGTATTTCCACCAGGGTTCACCTACTCGGTCGAACTGGCAATCTGCAAACCTTGCGGCGAAGCAAGAAGGAAGTAACGACACCCACAAATAATCTATGCAGCCTTCAACCTTGGCGGGACTAGATCGCCATGATCCGAGTCCCTTTGCATCTGTACCCGGGCATTGACTGCCCAATCAGGCAAGTGTCCGATGAGCGACACGGCGCTATTCCCCAGGTTTGCCCCGCATGGGTTGGGGGTGGAGAGGGGATGCTTCCTTCGATTGAAAGCCCCTGGTCAAGCCCTCCTGCTTCTTAGGCTCCTGGTCCGTTATATCCATTGTTCCTCGGCAGCTTGTGAATCTCCTGGAAGCACCACATGTACATGGGGTATCTTCTTGCAGTCTCTATGTCTATTGTCCGACGTCGCCAAACCGCGCTGATTAACCCGGACGATGCCCGGCACGCCCTCCATCTTCTGCTGCATACACGCAGGATCGCGGATCGCTCAGACAACCTTGCTCTCTTTCCCTAGTTTAACAAAGCTTGTTTGTGAAAGGACCCCTCAGATTGAGGGCAAAGCATGGGCATAAACTGGGCCGATTTGACATGGCACATGATACAACACATTGGATACAAATCGAAGCCTCCTTGAACCCTGCCGCCGCTTTAAACAGTGCATTTTTGAATTGTCTGGTGGCAAGGTCTATATAGGATACTTTTGATTAGCAAGTGTTCCTGAGCCGTCCCTAATTGGCTAAGCAAATTTACGTGGCAGAGGTTGTTGACGTTGAGGAATCATCAAACGGAGTCGTCTTTTTGAGACACCATGCCAACTGAAAGATGAGCTCATAGAGTCAAAATATCCACGAAAAGAATGTGCCGAACGGAGAGAAGAGAACTTTGCACGCGACAGGCATAGAATTGAGGTTGCTAATTAAAACCGACGAATCACGAAACATCCTTCAGCTAGGCCAACACAGAAGCCTGCGCCCTCCTTTCTCAATTCGACGATCAACATCAAGCAGCAAGCAGACTAAGCCCAACCGGGTCGAACAGAAGTTGGAATGTTCGTCCAACGGAAATGCATCGTCATTGACGGTTGGGATTGTCTGTCATATATCGTTGATGAGTCGTAACACCCCTCTTCCTACATTGCACCAAATATTTAAAGTTGTTCAGTGGCTTGTCATGACAACCAACCAATTTATTCTGATTGGCATGAATGACACGACACGCCACGTTAGAAAGCGGCACCTGAGCTTCGGAGTGGCTCCAAGAGAAGCAAGCGGCGCAGAAGGGTTCAGCTCAGTTATCCATGTGCCCTCTGGGAGGGCCGGCTGTGACACACCATCTCGGTCGGGCATCCTCACATGGTATGGTTGGTTTCCAAGTTTTCTAAGCCCAGGGTGTGATTTGATTTGATAACCCTTGTCCCTGCATTGTCACCACAAATCACTACTACATAGTTTGGCTTTGTGGAATCTATTTATTATTTCCGCCATGACGGCAGGGCAAGATAAATTGATTGACAGAGAACTGATCGGTACTTGTCTCTACAGAGAATTCCGTGTCTTTTTTTCATGACGTGTTCTTCCTGAAACACCCAAACTTCATTAGTTCACACATCGCCAGGCAACCCTAGAAACCAATTCCAACTGCGCCGCATGATGCCTCCTCGGCACAGCTAACATTTACGGCCAGCCCTTCGTACAGTATCGTATCATTCTCCTTATTCCCCCTCCCCGATTACTCAATTTCAGCTTTCAGATCTTATTGCTTTTGCCTCCGAAGCGGGCCACGATTCCCCCTGCAAGGTTAGATAGTGGTGAAATCAAAAGTTTGGCTTTTTAATCCTGAACTACTATTGTAAATTTTTTACTTGCAGTGAGAACATCCCAATTTCTTAGAGAAACTCATTCTTTGGAATAATGTTTTCGAAATGTATTAGTACGGTGGAAAAGTTGAAGGATTTCATCAGAGAGATTCTTATGCCTCACTTTTCCCCATCCCCGCGATGTTACCCAGAGGCAACGGTGTTGGCCAGCCCACCATATTACCAAAGCCGTCTTCCCCGAGAGCTCCCGCTGTTGCCGCTTCGATTAGGGAAACAGGGCTCCCTGGTAATTGCAGTGGAGACTGAAGGAGATCTAGTATCCAAGCCGAGGCTGCATCTGGCATATGAAGATATCGCCGCCTGCTGCTTCATACTTTACAGCTTAGACTTTGTCCACAAGCCCTGACGGTCCAGCCCTGAATCTCCATCGTAGATATCTCGTTCCACCTGTCGAGCATTGACCTGCCAAGCGAGTTAGTCGAGATCGCCAACCACGGGGAGCAGAGTCTGGGGAAAAGATGGGGAAATCTTACGAATTTAGGTCCGAGCTCCGAGATACTCTTGGCTCCGAGTAGTCGCATACATGTTGCTGTTTCTGCCTCGAGGACTGTTTTGCATGTGTTAGCCGGGGTTCGGGCATTCTCAAAATCACAGGCTCAACTTACTCTCGAGTGTTCTCTCAACGCCGGCTTGGCCACCAGCGCCAAGTCCAAAGAGAGCACCTCGTCCAATACCGACTCCGCTGGCTCCCAGACACAATGCTTTTACAACATCTGTTCCTCGCTTGATGCCTCCATCAACCCATATTTGGACCTTGCTCAGAACCTCAGGGCAGTATTTGCGGATTTCGAGAAGTGTGTGTATAGCTGGAGGGGCTGTGTCGGCAGCACGACCGCCGTGGTTCGATAAGATGATGGCCTTTACTTGAGGAGCATACTTGGCTGCGAGATAAGCATCCTCATGAGTCTGCAGACCCTTGAGAACGATGGGTAGATCTGTGTGAGCAGCTAGCCAGGGAAGAGTTGTCTTCCAAGTCAAGTCGGCCGCTGTGCCGAAAAACAGCTGTTGACCAACACCTCCAGCACCGGGCTTGCTCTCACCACTGGCAGGACTGGGTTCAGAGTAATCAAAGTTTTGCTTCTCATCCAGCTCGCGTTTACCAGGAACAGGCGCATCAAGGGTCAGGCAGATAAATTTGTAGTACTCTCGCATAGAGTTGATGCGCTTGAGCATAGCCTCGCTTTTCTCTCGCTGGTTCTGGACGTAGAGCTGCCAACCGAAAGTCTGGCCTGGCTTTGCGCCCTCGATGATTTGCTCAGGAGTCATCGACGCGTTGTTCGACACAATCTGCATGGCACCGAATCGAGAGCATGCCTTGGCGATGCCTTGTTCTCCATCGGGATGAGCTAGACGGGCCATAGCAGCAGGGGCGACAAAGATTGGTAGCCCGACTCTGTTGCCAATCAATGTGGTTGAAAGATCGCAAGCTGTACAATCAACAAATACGCGTGGCCTAAGAAGTATATTTTTATAGACATGGTTGTTGTACGTTTTTGAAAATAGATCGTCGGCGGCTGAAAAGTAGTATGCCCAAGCCTTTTTCGAAATGCGCTTGGTAGCCTCCTCCTCGATCTCATCAAGATTCATGAGTGATGCCATTGGTGGTGGCTGGTTATCTCGGGACTGTGTGGTGGTGTTTTCGCCGGTCGATTGGGAGTCAGTGAGTGTTTCGGGATTCACTTCACCGAGGATATTCTCGGGCTTGAGGTTCTCCTCGAGGGTTCCCGGTGGGTGAACGGGATCATATTCATCGGTGGCATCCTTTCCCGCCAGCTTCAGGATGATCTTCTTACCACCGGGGTGCGATGGAAGAAACTCAGTCACATCGTAGACTTTGCCATAGAGAATGACCCAGCAGCTCTCCGGGGTGTTGTGTTTGGCCACTATCGCGAGTGTGTCAGTTATTGCGCCCTCTGTTAACATTGTTGAGTTCCAATCAGCGTTGTTCATACCTTCAGCCGCGTCGAAAACCTTGGCCATGCTGTGTATGTGCAGAGTCGAGTCAATTGAGTTGCAAGAGGAAAGATGTGGCGCGAAATGGTCTATTAAAGATGTCAAGACCAGTTTGACTGATCTACAGACTCGGCAGATACTGTCCCGCCTCCAATTGGGTTCTCAGAATTGGGGGTTTCCTTGGGGGTGGTTTGTGGGACGCAGATGTTATGAGAATGTAATTGATACGGAAATGTGGCTAAATGCCCAAGAGAAGTTGATGAGGCGGCTTCGAATCACAAGGACGCTCTCATGAGCAAGGATTCATACAATTTACATGGAGATATCCATTGTTCAGTCTCATCATGGCACGAAATACAAGGCTGTGTACAATTACGCTGCCCGCCATTGGGTCGGACTGGATCCCGATCATGACCGGCGACCTTGGCCGAAAAAACATGGAGCAGCGTGTTGAGTCTGTACAGGTACTTATGATAGGGCGCCCAACACATTGGTTTCACTGGTAAGAGCCCCGCTAGAGGTAAAGGTACAGAGCCCATCATGACAACCCAACGCCACAAATCAAGCCGTTTGCGCGCCACAACCGATGAGGTCAAATTTGCGCTAACGATTTATTACGACATCCATCGGGAAAATGCCTTCCAAAGCTATACTTGCCAGGAACGACCATCTATTTTTTATCAGTAAAATTTCCTGTCTCGGATTCATTCATTTCAGTGCACTCCTACATACCTTCTTTCTCCGGACCTTTGTTCTTCAGTGCCCTGAAAGCATGCGACACTCTATTACTTCTCCCGCCGTGCGCGACCTTTCTCGGCTTTGTGTCCGGTGTCAACTCCGAGTTCGCCGAGCTTCAACTCTTGTGCCATCGCATCGACCGTCTGTAGCAGCGACGCCCACACGACATCATGTAGCTCTCGCAGTGGCGGTTCGGGGCCCAGCAACGAACAGAGCTCATGCCCGCGCCGTATCTAGTGCCGCGCAGGCCGAGCAAGAACCGGCCTCGTCCGGTGCACCACCCTCGACACATTATGACCTCTTCCCTGAGACGCTTCCCGATGGTCCTCCTCCGGCAGGACACTTTCCCATCGATACTCGCGCTTTGCGCCGTGAGTTTCTCCGTCTGCAAGCCCGGGCTCATCCGGATATGCATCCTGCTCAGGACAAAGCTCGTGCCGAGGCCATGTCAGCGCTCATAAATGAGGCTTATAAGACGCTTTCTAACCCTCTTCTGCGAGCACAATATCTACTCTCTCTTCGAGGTGTCGACGTCGCCAACGATGAGACCCTCAAGGTGGAAGAGCCAGAACTATTAATGCTTGTGCTTGAGGCGCGCGAGGAGATTGAGGATGCCGAGCACGAGGAGGATCTAGACGAACCTCGTGCCGCGAACGATGCACGCATTGCGGAGAGTGAACAGGTACTCGAGCGCGCGTTTCAGCATGATGATATCGAGGCTGCGAAACATGAGGCTGTGCGTCTGCGCTATTGGGTCAATATCAAGGAAAGTTTGGATAACTGGGAGAGGGGCCATCATGTTGTGCTGCAGCATTAAATAGACAGAAACGAAAAAGTCCTGGTGGCATTGCTTGGGTACCACCCAGGTTCTCTTGACATGATAGATAAGATAAATATGCGACCAGACTTGACCGATGTATCATGAGCGCTGCTTTGAAGATACTCGCATGGTTTTAATTGACGACAGCATCTTATAATGGGAGTGGATTCAGGCCTGGAGCTTCCTCTTGGAGTGATGTGTCAAGCAAGTTTTTCGCATTCGACTAGGGAGTGGATTGCTGTTCATCAATCTTAGATCGAAGATATGCAACATGTTGCAGGGGTTTGGGACTTTTCTTTGTCCTGCAACCTCGAGATGACCGATGACCTCGAAGACGAGGTGCCTGGCACTGACTTCACGGTACTGGTGACCCTCTTTGTATATCATTGTATGAATATCTCCAGAGTTAGATAGTAGATCCTGATTTCCTACTGAAATCAATGGCTGGGAACTTCGTACAAGAAATAACTTCAGCTCAAAGCTAATCTTCATCCTCAATAGTAATTATTGTTATTTGTTGGTACAGGCAGTAACAACTTTATCATGATTTGACTTTCATCATATATCCAAACGCTAGGGTTCCCACCTATGCGCCAGCAAATTATATAGCATACCCATCATATCCCATACACTCATACGCCTATGCAATACACACGCCTCTACGTACACCAGCTTATCTTTGGTAGGCTGGCAGCTGCTCTCCATCGACATGCCTCGAAGTCCCAGAAGGTCCCGCACTAGATCCGTAACCTGGAAAATCATCATAATCATCCACCACTGGGGCACTTGGAGCGCTTGCTTCCGCATCAGCTTCCGCCTCCCTCGATGGGCCTTCGTCCGCTCGTCGTTGCATGTCCTCAGGAACATCTGGCGGCGCACTGGCTTCGTTCAAAAGCCTTCGACGTTCGAGTTCCTGCTTGTCTTCAACAACCCCTGGGAGAAGCACTGTTGGCAAGTCAACATCGTCTTCTGAAGGAGCCGAAGGTCCCGCATCGGGGGCACTTGGAGCGTTGGGAGCACTTGGAACAAAGCCCCCACCAAGACCAGGAACACGGGGCGTATCCTCTGCATCATATATATCTTCGTCATCATGACTTGTTGATGGGCCCGCTTCCGGCGGTTGGCTTGGTAAAAGTCGTGTTTCTGCTTGCCTAATCCTCTCCTTCTCGGAAAGATTGTTCTGATTAAGTATCTCCGGAGGTGGGATGTATGAAGGCGCGGCAGGAGAATGAACAGGGCCGCTTAAATTTGACCCAGCAACGTCTTGAGGCCGGAGCGACGGGTGTTGCACCGGAACCAGTTGTGAATATGGCTGCGGAGGATGAGAAGGGATCGTTGGAAGTCGGCTCCCATTGGCCTGTGATGGAAAATAACCACCAGGCGAGAGTGGCGTGCTGTTCGAGTATGGCTCAAGGGGAGGATCGTCGGCGTAATTTGGTTCTTGGCCTAGGACCTCTTCTTCGTCGCTTTCAAGAATCTGTACGCTTCGCGAAGTGGGCGAAGCTCTCGACTTTTTCTTACCGCGAGATGAATCAGTTGTGCCAACGACTGTTTCCATCGATACCGCGATAACGCCCTTTTCATGGCGCATCTGAGAAGTGTCTGCAATATTAGCGCCTCTTCTTGGCCCGTATGTATGATTGTCTGCACTTCCATGGCCATAAGGACCGAATCTGGCTGGGCCAGTTTGCATTTGATTTGACAGTCTCCCACCAAGGTCAACAACTACTTCAACCACATACTTGAAGCTGATCATCTCTCCAGGCACACCTTTAATTGTCGGAAAGGAGTCGTCAGGTAGCTTAACGGTCACGGTGACCGACGTTTGCATGGTGTTAGGGTCGATGATTAGTGGTGCTATGTTCTGGTCAAGGTCCTTACGGAATATGCTTGTAGAACTCGAAGATGTCAACGAAAGACCACCCAAACCGGTCCGAGATCGTGGAAACACATCCTCCTTATCAATGCGAGCCACATCGTCACGACTTAAAGTCTCGTCAAACAGAGCACTCGGTGGGTTGCTGTCGATTTTGCCTTGTCTGAGGAGTGTTACAATCACACCAGTCATGCTCTTCACCCTTTTGGTATGTTGAACCGTGACCCGCACGGAGACGGCATCACCCGGCAAGCAACCGCCCTTCAGCAGCTCAACTGTCGCGGTAATCGTCTTTTTATCAACTGCCTGTTGCTTAGCCGATGTGAGTGTCCCGACCTGGGACAGCGCGGCTTCCGGCCTACTCAAGCTTGTGCTGTTGCTGACGCCACTTTCGCCGCTGATTTCGCTTCGCATATCGCTCTGTATTGGACTTCTCGGATTCGTCACCTGCTCACGAAGGTCTTCCGTTGGTGTTTCCAAAGGATCTTGCTCCGAATTGAATTCGTTGATCTCGGAGGGAGCTGCAGTTGATTTGTCCATCACCATAGACTTTCTCCTACGATTTCGTTTCGATATCGGTTCCAAGAAGATAGTGCGCGGCCGAGGGACAGGCAGCAGTCCAACATCCACATCCTCTACTAACATAACTTTTCGCTCGCATGATGATGTTGGGGCAATCGATGTTGGTCGAGTTAGCGTGGCTGTTACCATATATGAAACGGTCCCTCGCTCGAACTGCACGGTAAATTAGTGACGAGAGAATAATTGAGGAAAGCAGTAAACCTACGTCAATACTGCTTGGAAGCCCTTTGTCAGGAAACAGTAGGTCGAACCCAAACTCGTATCTGCCAGGTTCCAGCCTCCCCTCGCCGCTTAATACCTGCTCGTCTTGGAAAAGGCTTGCGAGACCATTGCCGTGATATCGTGGGCGCGCCGAGTCCCCATTCTGCGGTAGTACGATACTTCCTTGCGCTTTTGCGACCGAAGTCGGATCTTTTAAGACACGGACATATCCGTGTAACGATACGGTTAAATGAGTAATGCGAACAGGTTTTACGACGACTATGACGACAGCACCACGGACATTGTCGCCAGCACTGTATCGACGGTGTGGTTCCTCAGCACGAATATGAAAGTCGGTGATATTGCGATTCCGATTGCGCAAAGGGAGCGAGAGAGGGAGGCTCAGGCGCGAAAGAAATCTTGGGCGCGTAGAAGAGGTGGTAGATGCGGTGGGGGAGGTAGCCCGCGGGGCGGGAGAGGTCGCTGAGCCAGCAGACTCAGCAGGAGAAGATATCTCGAGGTTCGTAGGCGTATTTGGAACGTTAGGGTTCGCAGGACCAGGAGCTCCTGTGGGATTGGAGAGCGAGGGAGAAGATCTCGACCGGCGGCCCATTCCCAGACGTGGTGCCAAAGGCATAAGAAGGACCAGGATCCGAGGTCGAGAGCGACGTCGAGCTCAGAAAACCGACGTCGCAATCCTTGGAGCGAGAGCTCGCAGCCTCTTGCTCTGGATTATTTTTTAAGTCTTATCGGGAAGCCGTTGAATTATATGTATGCGGCGGGTACGAACGTTGAAGCAGAGGCGTTTCAATCTGTGGGCGCGTCGGCGGCGGTTGCGGCTGCGTGTTCTAAGCCTGCAGGAGGGGTACGAGAGGGTGCGAGATCGACATCCAAGAAATCGGCCGAGAATATGAAAAACAATAAGCCCAATCAGAAATACAAATACTATACACTATAGATGAGTTGAGGCAGAAAATGTGACCTGAGTGAGCGAATGACGAATATTGGGTCGTGGAGGCGGAGATGGATGGCGGCGGTAGCGGCAGCAAGTAGAAGTGACGGACGATACTCAGTACCTACTGGGCACTAACTAGCACACTGCCTTAGTACCTGTAAGCCAGCATGATAGAAGGTTTGCAATCGCGGGATGGACGGGAGGGGGTGAAAGAGCCAATTGGAAAGGTACCTTCCTAGCGGCTGCAGAGGTCCCCGTAGTGGTCCCTAGCGCCTCCCGAACGGTGTCGAGCAAGATGGAGAAACGGTTGGAGCTTGTTGGGATAAGAGCAACCATTTTCAGGCGCGGCGAAAATATGCGAAGTGGGCATGACTATGAAATCCTCAATGCAAAGCACATCCCCCGATTGAAGATGAAATTTCTGTCAATTGGGCATATGACTTGATCTCTCATATTAGTACAGTCATGTACGGCATCTCGAATCTGCCCTACCCAGATTGTCAGCCTGCAGATGCCAAGGCTTTGTAGAACATCGCACCGCCAAGAAAAGCTTGGTTAAAGTCTCGACGAGCTTGGCTCACATTTCCTGCCAAATGCCTGGGTCATGGATGGTAAAAAGTGACAGGTCTGGCGACTAGCGGAAACGGCCAGCTGAGTGCATTCTGTCGTCGAGGCTGCCAGAATCACAGCTGGACTACCGTTGCCCTGTGCTTTTACTTCCTCCGAGTATCTGACTGTTTCCGGGCTGTCAGCTTTAACGCCATCATACAGAACGGACGCGAAACACAGCATTCTCTACCTGATGCAGTGTTCCTTGCCAACCACATCCATAGGATTAGTCTAACATGCGGCGCGGATGGATCCGGTGCAGACGCCACTGCTGGCCATGACGCGACAGACACGTTCCTTAGTGGAACCTTGTCGTGGGGTGAGGCCGACGAATCCTGGGTTGCAATATATGTAGAGATGCTTTTGATATCGTCAAAATAATGCAAGGGCACATTGCATCTGGCTAGGTAGGCTGACAGGGTTCTCGACTGTTATCGACTCTGCTAGACTCTATGAAATTTCCGCGAGTGTAAAAAGCTATGAGGTAACGAAAGGTCTATTCGACAAGGAGCCATGGCACTCAACCATTTCAATGAGGTGGTTTCCAATGTATTCTTTTGTTCTATGTTATCATGCCTTTTTAACTTTCTAGTCTGTTCGTCACCCCCAACCAATTCTATGCTGCGGCTCAAACAAATCTCAAACTACAATTACATAGGTACATGGTATCATTATCCATGCAAAGAGTTCTGGAATCCCGCCCAGACCCATGCTACCGCCTGGCGCAGTATGATACAAGACAATGATGAAAAGTAATGAAAAGAACCCATCGTTAATAACTCAAGCCAAAACGCCATACAGTGCTATGCCATGATACCTTTCCGTTGAATGCTTTTTGCAGTCTAATCCAATGCTTCTCCACTCAAAATACTTTTTAGGATGCCTGCGCCAACGCCGTCGGCTACAGATTCGATCTCTTTTTCTACAACACAGCTCGTGATTCTCCGCTCATCTCCACTTGCGGCAAGAGTCTTGCGACCTCGCTTGCTGGGTGTTTGTGGTGCGGCAAGGCTTCCCGTCTTTCCATCGGATGCGTTGACTAACCCCAATGTTTCGAGACTGCCGGCAACCTCGCGGAATTCAGAGCTCGATAAAGGGTGCAAAACCGAATCGCGAGTACAGAGCTGACAGTAAGCATCGAATAAAGTCTTGATAGTTGGTGCCAAAAACTTCTTTTTGGAAGGTGTGGCGCCGTTGTTGGCCATCTTAGCGGCAGCCCGAGTTCGTTTCTCATAAGCTATCAAGGCACAGAGTGCTGCCTTCTGCTGGAGGTTAAGTGCCTTGAGTCGTTGTGTCGTTCCGTTGCTGAAAGCTGCTGCTGTGATTTTGTTCAGATGTCCGATCGATGCCCGGGGTGCAGTTTCTGCTGTGAGAGCCTTCAAAGAATTCGCCATTAGTTGAAACACGGTCTTTGAACCACCGGACGCGCCGTTGATGTTTTCCCCAAGAGGTCGTTTCGAAGGGGTCATCTGTAGAAGTTCTTCCCTCGCTTCTTCCTCGTACTTCTGACGCGTTTCGGTCTCAATCAAGTCAAGTGCACGGCGACAGATCTCGAAGGCTTTGCGAAGGTCCCCAGTCTGACTCGAAACCTTGCGGGAGCAGAGTTCAATAGCAGCAGGGTGAATGAATGGCACGTGACCCTCCTTTCCATCAGCAGGCATCAGGGACTTGAGTCGCATGGTGATAATGTTCTTGACCTGGGCTGCGGTATAGGGCAGGAATGGCAGAAGATCAGGCTTCAGGTTCTTGGCCTTGAGTCGAGGAAGGAAACGATCAGTTAAGTCCAGGGCGTTGGCAATACCGACAAGAACCAGGCATGAGTTCTTTTGTAGCGACCACTCAAACACGCGATACAGACTTTCCAGACCCATCGTCAAAATGTGGTCGATCTCGTCCAGGGTAACAAGATAGACGGTTGCCGACTGTGTCTTGGGCACGAACATAGCCTGCAAGCTCGAAATCGCATCTGCCTCGGAAGAGTCGAAACCTTGGCCAAGCGCGCCGAGAAGTGTGGTGTAGAGATCTTTAGAAGACTTGACACTCATGCAGTTGACATATGCAGACATGACACCTTTGCGGTTGGCAAACTGTCGAGTTATCTCGGTAATCATGGCACTTTTGCCCGTGCCTGGTGGACCGCTCACATAAAGGCAACCGTTAGGGGTAGGCGAAGAGCATCGTCCGAGGAATTCCATCAACTGGTTTCGTTCTGCATCTCGGCCGATAAGTTGGCCAGGCTCAGCTCCACGGGCAAACAATTGTCGTGCTGAATGGTAAATGGTTTGGATGGTGCTTGGTGAAAGTGGTGTTTGTGGTGTGAGTCGCTTGAAGAGTTTGCCTGCCGACATGACAGCATGCCGAGGCGTAGTAGGAGGTACTGAAAGTGCATCTCGATGCCGAGGTGTCGAGGGTGTAACAGGATTCTGCTTTGTGGACGCTTGTGAGGGAGACTTTCGGTTCCGGGCAGGTAGCTCGGCCAATATGTCGTTTTCTTCATCATCATCGAACGGGGAGCATGCAGGATCTTGGTTCTCGTCGTTGTATGAAACAGCCTTTGCAAGGCGGCGACTTCGTTTCGTAGGAGTAGCCACTGGGCAGGGCATGTCTTTAAATCATAATATTAGTAAAGCAAGGCTCTTGTTCCTTCCGCCAGAAGAGACTCACCAGTTTCATCAATACCGCGGGCTCTCTTTCCTAGTGTTGCTCGAGCCATGGCTATAATGGTTCCTTCCAACTTGTGTAGATATGCAGAGTTGTAAGCCGAGAGCACTTTCCAACAATCAGTGGTATAGGGTTGTGAAGGTCTGGAAGTTGCAAGAGGGGTGCTTGCCGAAAGCAACTGCAGGTTATGTCCTGCGTCGAATATTAAGAATGGAGCCCCATTACTCAGGGCGCTTCGCGCCACGATATGGCATAAGACGTGTTGAAGTCGCGTAGAAACGCGACCTGCGGGCCACGATCAATTAAACATGTGGTCAGTGCACTGAGACGCGGTTAAGTCAGCCACAATTCACCACTCTAACGCGTAAATCAAGCCCCAGACCCCTGAGAATCGCGGCTGGTCATTGGTCCGCTAATGTGATAATTGGATTGGATATCAATTTGCGGTGGAGAGGGTACTACAGAGTACAGGAGTACGTATTCGTTGCTTAGAGACCGAGTCACAAGAAATTTCCCCTTGTCTTATTTGAGTAGCCAGTTCGCTACCGAGAAGCATTGACAGGTCTACTCTGCATAGATTCATGGCATTTAATTCGATCGTGATGGAGCCATTTTATGCTCTGCATCTGAGTTTTGAATCTGTCAGCCCACTCTACACCTAATTAATGATCTGACAACTCCGGGCCTCGGCATTGGATACCTTCCCCCAAAAATGGATTACGTCATTGTCCTTCAGTCGTTGGATATTATTATGCAGCTGTGATACCTCTAAAATTAATTTCTCTGCTCATCCCTCATCTACTGCCAACAAGATCGCCGACAGTAAAGTGCTCATCATGACTACATATATTCCCGCGCTCACACTGCCTGACGCGGTCTTCCTGAAGCCCGCCCTATCCGTCTTGCTGCCCATTGGCCTTGGGACAGCCGTTGGCTTCAGTGCCACTCGTGAGTTGACCTTCACGTCCATATCAATCGATCACCATTGACTAATTCATTCCCTGGCTCTAGAGACTCAGAAGACCTATCTTGCTCTCAAGAAACCTTCGGTTCAACCTCCGCCATGGCTGTTTGGCCCTGTCTGGACCGTCCTCTACGGGTGAGGATCGCCAGGCTAAGTCATTGACGTTCATAACTAACCCTTCTCAGTCTCATGGGTTATGCCGCCTACCGAGTTGCTGACATTGGTCTTTCTCCCTTCTCAAGCCCTGAGACTATCGTGAACACTCGACGTGCAATGACGCTCTACTCAATTCAACTCGGCCTCAACCTTATTTGGACCCCCCTCTTCTTCGGCTTGTATCGACCAATCGAGGCGTCGGTTGACATCGTGACCCTGCTCGGCGTCAACGGCTACCTTACTTACCTCTACAGTTCCATTGATTCTGTTGCTGCGTGGAGTCAAGTTCCCTACCTCGGCTGGCTCAGCTTTGCGACCTACCTATGCACTACCATTGGTCATCTGAACAACTGGGACTTGAAGACCAAGGAGGTAAAGGACGAGTAAGCCCATCTTATGATGAATGCAGCTCTGCATAAGTCATGAGTATTGGTCTACAACAAGGACTGTTATATGTTGTTGCGCTTGTGTTATTTCAAAGCCAAACTCGCTCTATCCCCTTAATATCAAAAGCATCGTCCTTGCTATCTTCTTTCGACCCCAGAGAGATACCCTCTATTGATGCTCCAATTCAATAATCGACATTATGTCAAACCAAAATTTGAACGCCATAGATGCTTTGACCAGTCGCTGCTATCCGTAGATAAAATTTCCTTTCCAAGTGATATTGAAACTCGATCTATCACACACATCATCTCGACCAGTTTTCTTTTCCGTTATCATCAAAAAGGAAAGTGCCGCTTCATCCCATCATAAACCATGAATATGAAGGCAGAGCTTGGCGCAGACCGGAGGCATGTAATACCACAGCCACGGTACATGCCTCGTATCCCATGTTGTTCCCAAAGTATCGCTCCCTCTTTCCAGAATGTTCGTCGTTGGCGTAGGTCGCTGACAGTCGAGGTTTGCATGCGTGATTTGATGGTATCTGCAGGAAAGAAGAGGAAGTTGTATGACACACCCGCTGATGCGCCAGCAATCGCTTGCTGCCAGAACGGTAAGGGTGTATCAAGAATCATCTGCTTCTCTGTTGCTGATGTCGCGGTCTTCGTCTTGAGCTGGTAGAACATGCTTGTTACTGTCTCCTTGGCACCAAACCAAGCAGAACCACCACCAGCCTCTCGAATCAGTGTACCAAGCTGACCATGCCAAAAGCCCCGAAGGCCTTCATGGCGGAAAACCTGCTTGATGACAGGTATAGGGCGGAGAGGAGGGCTGGCAGATCCATCAGCCGACATGGGAGCCTGAATCCTACACTTGACAAGCTCAATTGGAGTGAGGACAAACGAAGTGAAAGCTCCAGAAAATGCACCTGTCAGCCAGAGATATGGCAGTGAGAGTCCTTGTTCTCGGGAAACTAGGCTGCTCGTGAACAGTAATTCACGACCAAGACTCTCGAATAGAAATAGACTGCTTGTTTCTGCTGCAGCACCCACTAGGGGAGCTGTAATGCCACGATAGAGCCCCAGAACTCCATCACTTTTGATAGACTGCCGGAAGCAATCCAATGGACCAGAATATCTTAAGGGGAGATGATCGGGCTGACTCTGTAACCGCACTTTGACCGTATCGAACGGATACTCGATGTATTTGCCCACAGCTCCAGCAAACTGATAAAAGTCAGTATTCAAAGAACTGGCTCAAACGAAGACACATACCGATCCGCATAGTACGTCTTCAAATGCCTCCACAAGCGCCGTCTTTTCCTTGAGGGAGAAGTTGGGCGCATGGCCAGCAACCTCCACAGATACAGGGCTAGGCTCCATGGAAACGATGGCGCTAATCAAATGCGATCTCGAGAGAAGAATGTACGGGCGAAGAGAAACGACGTATAATGTTGAGCACCGTATTTAGGGTTGACAGCAAGTGTTGGAAAGCGGTGTCGTGGCTACCTAGTAAGTATTGTCAAAAAGCTTCGAAGGAGGGGCACTCCAGTGATATTATAAGCGATCGGAGGATGGGTCCAGTAAGGTAGTTAAGGTAAGGCAAGGTAGATACACAGACTAAGGCTGCAGTTTCGGGGTACTTGGTGCCTTTAAATTCGATGTATCGCCGAGCAGTATCCAGAAGCTACCCAGGTGGTTGACAAGTAGACAAATTTGAGATGTTTAGGGTGCGGGATGCATCGGATATAGCTGTGCTATGTGTCGCTGAAGCGCAGTCGCAGTCAGTGGAACAACCGCCGAAAGTCGGTAAACGAGGATTAGAAGGATATGATGTCCTCGCAGCTACAGGGCAAGCTGATCTGTCAAGGTGCAACGCAACTTTGTGGGCAATGCCTGTGACATATAATCGCTGCCCTGTGCTGCGAATTTGCAAGGTGAACCGTCACGCAGAGAGATGCTTGCTGTGAGAGTCGTTTTCGGGCATCAGGCCCCAAAGAGAAAATTCTCTTTACATTTCAGCATGTGACATCAGATCGCCCGCTTTTCACAAAGATTCAACCAATCAGACTATAGTTTTCTTTATCAGATCGAACGTGCACACCTTGGAGCTGGATGTTTCAAGGGTTCCTTTACGTTCGTCTCGTATAATTGTGGTTCAACAGGGGACGAGGGGTTTTTCTCAATATTGTCTGAGTAGTGTTCCGGGTCAAACGGATCCATTTGCAAAGTTGATCTCCCTGATCACTTGGAATTCCCCTGCAATATGGAACGGACCTTGACCCCTTGGGGAAGTTTCCTGACTAGCGTCCTGCACCTTGATCGCTGATTGATAAGATTACCCACTCCGACACCGGTGCATCAACCAAAGACCAGGAGATGTGTAGGCCAACCATAACCCAGTTGCACCTAGTCAAGGATAAAATTCTGCGTAGGTGGAAACCCTCCTTAACAAGAACCTTTGCAGTCTGCTAAAGAACCATCTTAGGCACTATTTCCATATTAACCCGCGTCGAAAACAACACCAAGTCGCTCGGTCAAGAAACGTCCAGTATTCTCCAACTTCCATGCTAGAATTTGGGCCGTTTCTCGCTCCCAATCATTGTATCGGAAGTCCAGAGAAATTTCAAGCCAATTTGAATCTCAGTAAATGCTCTAGTATGTTGGTTTGCCATGTATGACCTCGTACCTGAGAAAGCACCTCTCATGAGCTGGATAAGGTACGTACTTACGTTCCCTAGGTACCTACCTTAGGTATCCCATCCTTGGACCCTGATATTCGGTTCGGTTTAAGTATTCTCCACCAACTCCAGAACGATGGTGGGGCAGCGGGGTGGTCGCGTTTACGCGACACGACGCGACTGCAAGTTTAATTGATTTCATCCGCTCTCGGGAATCTGGTTACCTAGGATTTCAATACATCTGGACCCAATCATTCCCAAGCAGCAGCCAACAATACTCACTCTCAGTATGACCATGACACAGAATATCGTGGATTCAAAGCCTTCGAACGGCTCAAAGTCGATCAACCACGAAGAGCATCAATATCTTGATCTTGTCCGAGAAATCCTTGAAAACGGCGAGCGTCGACCGGACCGGTAAGAGAAGGTAGCATCTATTACCAGGCAACACTCTAATCATCCACATAGCACCGGCACTGGTACATACTCCATCTTCGCTCCTCGGCCCCTGAAATTCTCACTGAACAAGAACGGAATTCCCATTCTTCCTCTCCTTACTACAAAGCGTGTCTTCACCCGAGCAGTCATTGCCGAGCTCTTGTGGTTCATCGAAGGCAACACTTCCTCTAACAGCCTCAGTGAAGCTGGCATCAAGATCTGGGATGGCAATGGATCTCGCGAATTTCTTGACAACCTCGGCCTCAATCATCGTGAGATCGGCGATCTCGGCCCCGTGTATGGCTTCCAATGGCGACACTTTGGTGCCGAATATATTGATGCCAAGACGGATTACACAGGTCAGGGTGTAGACCAGCTTGCCGAGATCATCCACAAACTACGAACTAACCCTTATGACCGCCGCCTGGTTCTTTCTGCCTGGAACCCTGCCGATATGAAGAAGATGGTTCTGCCACCTTGCCACATGTTCGCGCAGTTCTACGTCTCCTATCCTCGGAGCAAGGATGACGACTCAGAAGCTAAGCCTCAGGGCCATCTTCATTGTCAGCTGTATCAAAGGTCTTGCGATATGGGTTTGGGAGTTCCCTTCAACATTGCCAGCTACGCGCTGTTAACTCACATGCTTGCCCATGTTTGTGAACTAGTTCCTGGAAGCCTTACTCATGTCATGGGTGACGCTCATGTGTACCTCGACCACGTTGACGCCCTCAACACTCAATTAGAGCGTGAGCCACGAAACTTCCCCGAGTTGGAAATTTCACGAGAAAAGGGCGGAAGTATTGACGGATGGAGAGCGGAAGATTTCACCATTAAGGGCTACGACCCTCATAAGACAATTGCGATGAAAATGTCTGTATGATTCGTGTAATAATGTGGTGTGCTATAATTCATCGAAAGCTCGAAATAGACTGCGTTGTTAGAGTTAAGTAACGAGGGGCCGTGTTGGCTCCCGCGTGTGCATTTATGCTTATTGAGATTGAATATTGCTTCGTACAGAAACCCGACTGTCATGCACACTGCTTCCTGGATCTGTATATTCGTATATGCCTCCTGAAGTGATTGGTACGAGAGCTCATAATGATAGAGTCCATCGCTTCTTATCATTCTATAAGGTGGTGATGTTGGGTTAAATCGGAATGAAGAACAGAGTGACAACTGGGGAAGCGCACGGGATGTCGATTAAATAATTTACAAGTTATACAGTGACTAGTGCATTTGTGTGCAATCAACGCACTTATCCAGATAACCACCCGAACCCAGAAGTCGTTAACCCTGACATTGCGATGCTACACTGAAAGAGCATTTTACTGCTTCTTCTTGGTGGAGGCCTTGCTAGGGGAACCCTCCTTCTTTTCAGAGGCCTCCTTGGCATCGACAGCGGCGGCGTCATCAGCCTCCTTCTTCTCGGCATACCACTCGCCGACTTGCAGAACGAGAATGCCAACAAGAACAAGGGCAAGAATGGTATTGCTGGCCGAAAGAACCTTCAAGCTGTCCTCACGACCAAGAATAAGCTCGCCGCTCTCACCCTCGTGAGTCTTGCCATCGAAGCCGTCGTTGGTCCAGATCTCGGCACTAACACTTCGGAGAGCCTTGACAATGTTGGCGACGTAGACACCGAAACCAATCAGGTAGAGAATGAGGGACGCGCCGTCAAACAGGAAGTTGGCCTCACTGGGGCGGAAGAGCTTAATAAAGAAACCGATGAAGCCGATAGAGATGACAATGTGGAGGATACGGCTAATGAGCGCCGGAGACTGGTGTACAAACTTCAGATGTGTTTCGAGGTGATCAAAGAAGTTATCGGGCACAGGAGCCTTGGTCCATAGAAGAGGGAAGTCGTAAGGGAATGAGGCAAAAAGGATGCCCAGGAAGAAGCACACAGCTAGAGACATGGATCAGCGCGAGTGCGATAAATTGGTCGCGTACGGTCCACTTACGAGCGATGATCATAAAGGTGGCAAATGAGCCGGATCCATGGTAATTCTTCGACCTGGTGTTCTTTGAATAATCGATGAAGGAGGTCATGATGATTGATTTGGAGGGGTTTTGTAGTAGGCGCAAAAGGTTTGTCGCACAATGCGGAGTTGCGTAGGAGGTGTCCCGTGATAGCTGGACAACGACAATGCGCGAGAATTGAGCCAGATAAGCAATATCGCAGTGCGCTCGAGATCAAACTCGGTGATAGTGACGATGGACGTGTTAGATAGATGTGGAGGAGGAGAGGAGAGAACTGAAGAGGAGAGGTGGTGGGACGAAAGTAAGGGTACCACCAAGCTAGGCTAGCAGGTCACCTACCTTCCAAATCGGTGGTAGACTGGAGATTTGCGGAGTAGCGTGCGGAGCCACAACTGATGTTTGATAACAAATCCGCAAACATCGTCCATTTTACATATTCAAGGTACTTATAGTTTGGATAATTGTTCTCATTCTGACTTCCATAATATCAAGGTTCTGACCTGTCTCTTGGCCACTAGAAACTCGAGGCCAGCGAAAGAGAATCGTCTTATTAATGTAATGCGTGCCTCCCCTTGCCGACGAATCCCCAGGATAGATGTTAGAATAGAAGACTCAGGATCTTTGGAGGCTAGTATCCCCATCAACGCCACAATCAAACATCTACAATTGAATGGTGAATTGATAGCTTGAGTCGTTTTCCAACGTTTTCTTCGTCTTGCCAATCCGGAAAACACCCTTTGTCTCAGGAGGTGCCTTTATCTGAACGGTCATTTTCTTTGACTTAATAGACCACTTGACTTCGAGTTCTCCTGATGGATATAGAGGAACCTTTGCACTCGCATGAGAAAGACCCATGTGAGCTCCAAGCTCTGGGTTCACTACCCAGTTCTTGTACCCGAAGCCCTGAATACCATCAGCACTTCGCAAACCAGCGACCCATTCAGTAAGGATGTAGGTTGCGGCGCCTCCCCACGGGTGACCCAGGCTAGTGAAAGCACCCAGGCCTGGCTGACCGGCAGGCGTGAGATACTCCCAACTTGCGCCACTCCTTGTCTCAGGGTTTTTCAACATCGCACCCCAGACGTTGTATATCAGCTTGGCGGCCCTGTCCCAGTCCTCGCCGGCGAGAATGGCCTGGAGGAGAAGCCCGTTAGTGTTAGGAGAGATCTTAGTGTCGATACCGTGATCATCGAGAGTCGAACGATCTTTGTACCCCAGGCCAAGCTGTAACTCGTCAAGGGCTGCAACAGCAGACACTGCTCGTTCCTTTGACGCAACATCGGATGAGAGGCAGAAAGCAGTACCAGCTACTGAGGAGGTATTTAGGTCTCCCAAAGCATAACCATAGGTCCCCAGGGCTTTGTTCCATAGTTTCTGGTTAACCGATCGTGCCAAGTCAGTCGCCAACTTACGGTACTTTGGAGACGTTTTCTTGCCAATTGCTTCGGCGATGTCTGCAGCAGCATTGAGGGTCTCGACTGTGGCACAAGAGCCCAAGGACCCTCCCTGGGCAGCACCGAGGAAGGTAAAGCCGAAGTCAGCAAGGCCGCTTGTGGAATTGATGTTGCTGGCGAGCCACGACAGCTGCTTTTCCCATTGGGACCAAGTCTTCCTCGCGTATTGGAGGTCGTTCGTCTGCCGGATGTAGTGGGCGAATGCAAGGAAGCCCAAAAGCTGATAATCGTCCAGACCGTAGACTCTTTCTAGCGAAAGAGTCCCAGTTTTGGTAGGGTCGTACCCAAGATAGGGGGCTATTGCTATTTGCCCACTCCGGATTTGAGTTTGCAGCAAAAAGTCGAAAGTACCTCTGGTATAATTGAATCCACCCGTACTGGCCCCGATGATGCGAGACGTATGGTAGAAATCGCCCAACCAAACAAGGCGATCTCTTTTCGGGCCATCAAGACAAACAGTACCCAGGTTTTCTTGCGTCCCATATTCAACTAGTGTTTCTGGGCTGGTCAACGGGTTCCTGTATATCACAGATTTGTTCGCAGTGTCGTAGGCAATGGCATTCCGGAAATATGCTGCTTGGTCTTGCCAAGCACCAAAGCCGAAAGGCCCAGTTGTAGATACAGGTTTTCCTCCAGGGGCATAATTTGTCAAGTTGACTTTTAGAACTTCTCGTCCATCAACTGAAATCTCTAGCTTTCCTTCTCCACCAAGCACTGTCTTGATGCGGTACCAGGTCTTTTCCTTCACCGAGAATGGAATCTTGGTCGAAGCCAAGATATAAGATGGCAAAGTGGTCTGGTTGACAAATCCAAACCCACTTGCTAGGAGCAGAGTGTTTGGGGGCGTCACAGTGTTGTTGGTGTTGGCGAAGGACGACCTGGAAGGCATTTCTCCCGTTAACTGAATGTGGAGGCCATCTAATGCCAACGGTTGCGCCTGGGGATTTGTTAGTCAGAAATATCGCATTGAGACAAGAGTTGTGTATCATACCACTGCCCACCAGAATCCACCTCGGTCGATGAAAGCATCGAACTCCAGTGTATAGTTAGTGAAAGAATGGCCTTCAATGGTCATTGCTGGGCGTTGATTGGCAACATATGCACCGTTGTTGGGATCAATCTGCCATACTGCTGGTTGCGTGGACTTTCCTAAACACGAATCAATCGTTGCCCGAGCACCAAGCTTCCAGATGTCATTCAAAATGTTATCACTGCAGGAGAAGGCACCGGGAAGGTCTCGAACTTCAACTGTGTTGATGGTCGACTCAAGCCCCACGTTTCTCATAGTTACAGAACTGTCAGTCAAGAGTCGAAGGGCTTGCCATCGTTGCCCTCCCTGAACGAATCTTGATTTGTAACAACCTGGTTGTGTGATGTTGAATGTTTCGACTCGAAAGCTGTTTGCCTGACCCGTGTTAAAAAGATAGGGCCCATCTGACCACGGCTCTTTGAGGTAAATGAAAGCCTCACTGAACCTCAGCTCCACTTGGACTGGCTTCTCCAGCTCGACGACCTCAAAGAAGGGTAACCCAGCACGTTCAGTCCCGTAGTCGACTGTGGCAACGCGGGATCTTGAGTTGAGGGTGAACCTGCTGAGCTTGGATGTCTTGGCTTTGTAACTTGTGTCTACAGCAATTCCATCTGGCCAAAATGACGGAGCCACGCTTCGACATGGTTTTGATGTTGATCTTGATGTACCTAGCGAGGCAGAAGAAATTTGTAAGAGCGCCACAAGGATAGCCTTGAAAGCAAGCATGATGGTGAAGTACAAGTGGCTGGTTCATCATTTCTCTTCCTCCTCAAGTGCTCGTTCTCACCGTCTCCTTTTGTAATGCATGGGAAGCAATGGCCATTCCATATCGAACTAGTTGTCGGCAGAAGATGCACCGAGATGATTTGCAGAATCTTGAAGGTATAACTGAGGGTCCAGGCTTCGGTTCGGCATTTCCTCCACATACCGATTCCGATGAACGAAAACTACCCCAGATTCAATGTGTTTTCCCCGCATTCTGATGAAACCTCCGATAGAGTATAGAGGTCTTTTGTGCGTTTGTTAATACTTATGGCGGGGCTCTCTATATAGACCAAGCAGTCTTAACATTGATAAGCTAAATGAAATCTGGAGGCTGCTTAAAGACACCCCTACAAAGCTCCAATATGTCGATGCTGCTAAATAGGTAGGTAAGTTAAAGCCTAACAAATGTTTTATCCTATCCGATATATAGACTTCCTTTTAAGTCGAACAGTTTTATCATCAGACTGCTTCTCAATATTTGCATAGCTTATCCATGAAATACAATGCTCGGAACTCATCTCTTTTTCCACATGAAGATGGCGTCCCGAAAACAATTAAGAGATATCCGTATCAGTAACTCAGCATTTATGCTGGATCAGACAACTGGAAGCTCTAAAATGGCACAGTAAACAATTTTATTTTGAAGTCATACTTTCACTCTCAGAGTGTCTTCTTTGCTGGCAGAGCTAACCCAAGGAACAGGAGTCCTAAGGCAGCGCATTACCCATTGTCTTCATTAAGATCACTGTAGCCCCAAGAACTATGCAGTCTTGGGTGCTTCATATCTTACTCGGCTTCGTAACCGAAAGTCTCTCACAATATGGGTTTGGCAATTGTAGATTGAGCTACCTATCTCGTAGGTATATAAGGTCCTACCACCATCTCTGAACGCAACCATGGTGTTAGCTAATGGCCACCGAAATTTCTCGACTAGCCATCTGTAAGAGACTTGCATAACTTGAATGAAGCCGGTACTCTCCGGGCTAGACCGTGCTTATCGCTGAGTTGAGGAATCCGTCAATTTCTCTGTGCATTCCAGTGGTTGCATTACCACGCAAAGACGCCCCCCACCGTTCCTCATAAATGGGAAGTGGTTTTTAAATGAAGTGGTTTTTGGTTGCTCCTTGAATTCTTTGAATTCTGTTTTACCGTGTCATTTTCCCTTCCTTGCTGTCTTAGCTCAACCTGGACCCGAGATTCATGAAGCACAACTTGATTGTCAGATATGGTCAAGGTCTCCAGAACAGCTGCGATACTGCTGACGACTGTCACGTTCTGCAAGTCACAAGAAATGCTTGCGTCTAATGGAACAGTCCCGGGCATATATAGAGAGTCTGGACAGTACAAATACCATGGCTGCTACAATGAAACCATGCAGATACAGGATTCGGCGCAGGAGCGGGCTCTGACCGGCGGCTCCCACCTTGTAATGGCAGGCAAGATGACAGTGCCCATTTGTCTCGAGTTCTGTGCCTCGAATGGTACACAATATCAGTACGCTGGGCTCGAATGGTCAAGGTATGTTTTGAGTGTTCTGCTTTCCGGAAACTTTCTAATAGATTTCACGGACAGGGAATGCTGGTGTGCGCCGTATTTGTCGAGTCTTTCAGTCCGGCTCGGCGACGGAGACTGTGAGAACTCGTGTGAAGGCAATTCGTCTCAGGTTTGTGGCGGGCCGTTGAGGTTGAGCGTGTACGAACTTGCAAAGGGAGGGGATGCGCCCGATGGAGTTGCCATCCACCAAATACCTAGGGGCTTGTTTGTGTTGACTATTATATCTGGAATGTCTCTCTTATCGGTCTGATATATAAACATGTTGACACTGAGTAGAATCCAGGAGCAAAATATGGAAAATCATGAAAAGGGGGTATATAATTATAATCTATGGTGTCATAGTTTCCCTGTGTGCAACCAACGTTTTCAGAGTTTCAATGGAGCCATGCCTAGTTGCTTTACAGCATCTTGCACAATCACTTTAATAGCTTCCACCGATCGTCGCCAAACCTCCTGTCCTCGCCCTTTTCTACCATCCTGCTCAACTATCACATCCAACCACTTGACCAACTTGGTTGCTTTTTCCAAATCGCGTTCTTCCTGGATGACCTTCACTAGAAAATCTTCCAGAACCGCTAAGTCCCGGCGGTGCGGGCCCAACCTTCTTGTTTCTGAATGCCAAGCATCTATCATATCTTTAATCTCCCGCGTTGAGGTAACTCCTGAGGTAGAAAATGAGATCTTGCGTGGCACTACAGGAAATTGGATTCTACACTGGCCACCTGGCAATAACCCTTCAGGATTGGGCGTGCTGTTCCTACGCAAAGGTGTCTCCAGGCTTGTCTCTCTGGCTCTTTGACGCTTTCTATGTTGCTCAATGACCTCTTTTCGCATTTCTTCAGGTAGCTCGGCGAGAAATTCTGGATCCAGCTCTTCGATATCTTCATCCTCGAAGGCGTCGCCAACTTGATTCAGCGAACGGAAGTTGGTTTGTAAAAGACCAGCTTGGGCATCCCGTTGCCGCTGAGCTTTGCCAAACAACCCCCGTGGTCGACCGCGTTTCGATGGAGTAGGGGGTTTCCTCGATTCCATTGCACTATCCTTATGTGGGGACTTGAGAGGTGTCGTTTGCCTGGTTTTTCGTCCATAAGTGGCCAGGATCTCGGTCTTCATTTCATCCGGTAACGCATTGAAGACCTCCGGATCAACTTGAGTTGGGCATGCGTCAGATGGCATGGGGCTCTGGGATCTTGATTCGGTTATAGGAGACTCGACGTGGATATCTGACATTCGTGACCCCTGAGCCATCAGTTTACGGCGAATGGTGTTGGGAAGCTCTGCAAGGATGGTGGCGTCCGCGTTACTAGGAATGATGAACTGGGTTCCAGAAATATTGAGATGCGTCTTTGCTCTCACGTCATCGTCGCTGGCCTTGGTCAATGCCATAGCAGGATGGATCTTTTGCTTTCGAGGTGTCAATGGATCATCAGCGATAGGATCCTGACAAATTTCACGGCTCGGTGTCTGCCTCTGTTTTCCAGGGCTCCCGATTTCGTCAATTTGCTCCGTTGAGGAAGCTTCCCTGGCTGGTGACGGTTTTGTAAAAGTCCCGAAAGCCAACTTTTTCTGGCTACCATCAGGGGTCGCAAAGTTGATTTTGACAGGTTCCAGCTTCGTCATTTGTACTCCCAGCCCACGCAAATCACCAGGGCTGAATTTATAAGACCGTAGTATATTGACGGCCTCCTTGCTGATTGCTTGCCCATCATTGGTGGCCACCCCGAAGGTAATGCTCTTGTTGAACGTGTCGCATTTGCCGTGTCCTAATGATTTTGGAGGGTCCAGAGGAGCGTCTATCGCTCTTCTCATGATCTTCATCGTTAACTGACGTCCTTTGACATTTTCATTCGAGAGTCTTTTCTCAAGTTCCTTGCACAAATTACAGACGAATTCTTCTGCTTCCGGCTGGCTGATGAATCGGATGCCCCAGTTAACTTCCGCCGAGACGGATTTTCGAGGTGGTTGCTCTCCAACTTCTGAGCGATCAATACCACGAGCATATTCCCGGAGTTTCTCGCCTGTTTTAGGTCCAAGAATTGACGTGAGACGCTCTTTCGAAACTTCTCGCAGGTCTTTAACGTGAGTAACACCAATGTCCTCAAGCTTCCCACCGATACTCCGGGCAACTCCAGGAAGCTGATCAACTTTGAGATCCCCCATTATGTGCAAGACATTTTCAGATTTCAGTTGATATTGACCTGCAGGTTTCGCTTTCCGAAGCGCCACTTTGGCTTGTAAAATGTTTGCTCCAATGCCGACCGAAACATGGCAACCTGTCAGAGATTTGACCTTGTCGCGAAGATCCTTTGCAAGCTTGTCTGCCATGTCATGCTCCCGAGCCGTGTTTTCGGCATCAGAGCCCGTGCCCTCCGAGTTGGAATTTGTCAAAACGATTGGCGTTATGTCGACTAGAGCCTCATCAATACTCACACTCTGCACCAGGCCGCCAATGTCTAGGATTGATTCATAAAATAGACGGCTCGCTTCTTCGTATGCAGGAAAATCATAGGGCAGTACCTTCAGTTCGGGACACATTTCAAGTGCCGATTTCATCCACATCCCATTCTTGACGCCAAATTCTCGTGCAGGATAGTTGCAGCTTGCAATTTCCGACCCTGACCCTGTGCTGTGCGCGACAACAGCTGGCTTATCGATATACTCGGGGTTTTTCTTCAATGAAACCGCACAGAAGAAGCTGTCAAAGTCAACATGCATGACGTATCGTCTCGCGCCAAGTCGCTTCTTGGCTTTTTGACAAGATTGACCCTTTTCTGCAGCAAGCCGTTGCATCTTCGATTTCAGCTCGGCTTTCCATGTTGAGAGATGATGTAGTCGACTTTCAGAATAAAACTGTCTAAGGAAATCCGGGTTGGCCGTTGAGGACTTCCTTAGCCTGGGATCGGACAATAGCATTGCATTATGCTCCTCGGATGTCATTGGTTTGGAGGTGTCTGGGTGTGTGAATTGTGCTACAGGCACAGGAAGAATTCCTGTTTCAGGTCCAAGCATTTCGCCATCAGTTGCCTCTAAATCCAGTGAAGCCACAACTAGTTGATCCTTTGGAGAGACACCTGGGGGAGTTGCTGGCTTCTTAAAGCAGAGACTATTGACATCTGCCATTAGAGGTGTCGTGTCTGCACCATTTGTAGGACGAACAGGGGTCCGAGCCTTCTCAACAACTTGACTCAGAGACTGGCTAGGCAAAGAAGATGCCTTAAACTGGTTCGCGTAGAAACTGTTCTCTGTTTGTTCACGGTAGCCTTGTTTCGAACGAGGGGTTGACGGCGACAGACCGCTACCACCGTCGAACTTGAGAACTTTTTGCCTTGGTCCTTCGTCCAGAACCCGATAGTTAGACCACGGGAGAATTTGCCCGGCCTTGATAGAATCTATGATCCATGCCGGTTTAACGATCCGGTACCGGCTGAAGTCGACAGATTTCTTAGGGGGGAGCGTCGAGGCAACGATGTGAGTCGCCATTGTTTTTGAATCTAGGTATTGAAGAAACCCACCACCATGCTGCACAATCTCACGATGAAGACTAAGTTTTGTCAGCAAGAGAATCCTATCCAGGAACAAAAAAAAGCCTACACATGTAATGGTGGTTGGGTATATCCAGTAACGTGAGCAACGATCCCTTTGAATATTTGAGGTTTATCTGAGTTGGCTCGTATTTCAGCATCGAGGTTTTGAAGCTTGATCTTCTTGCGCCTGAAATAGTCGTTGAACCCATTGAATTCACTACCCTCGTATTCCTCCCCTCCTTCGTCTTCAAATTTGTGCGTTTCGATACGCTTTCTCACTTGCGAGGAGTTTTTCTCGAGAACACTCCCCATTCTGGTTGTTTTCCCGATCAACTCGTCGATGTGATAATCTTAACGATAATGGTAGTGGCGGTTGTGATGCGCCAGTTAACAGAGTTCGATCATCACAATTCAGCCTCGGACGGAAATTTGATAAGGGAGGACAGCATCATGCAGTGCAGGGTTCACCACAACTGTTGGAAACGCTAATGCTTCAACACTGGCGTTGTGGCGATGAAGTTGTCACAAATATCAAGAAGCCTGAATGATGTCAAGAGCGCGTAAAGTGGAGCGCCGAAACGCGAATAAACACGATAACCCGTGATAAGGCGCGCACAGCCACATGCACTAGCCACCTCGAGCAGGGTCCTGGAGTTCCATCTGAATCCTCAGATCAATACCATTTAAGTTTTCATCTACGGATTATGTCCTTCTGTGGGTGATTGCCGCTGCGATGAATAACGAACAGTTCCGCAAACTGTTGGCTGCGAATGCAAAGAAGAACTCCGATAGTCAAAATGGTGCACCTGCAGGCTCATCGTCCACAGGCACCGGGAATGCGCTCGGTTCGAGGCAACGATCGAGCATCCCAATGACACCGTAAGCACTTCTGCACTACTAAGGACGAAATCTCTAATAAACCAATACAGACGCGCTCTAGGGGGTGCTCAAGCGGACTTTGCACGACAACTGGTTGAGCGAAACAACGCGGTTCGACCTCAAAAGAAGTTCAAATCTTACGATCCAAAAGGCGTCAAACTCGCGTCGGGCTACATCGACCGATCGAAAGAACGTGACGAGAAAATAAAGGATGATCGGGAACAACAACTCAAAGACCTCGAAGAACAGCTCAAGAACGAGGAGATCGACCAGGAGACATTTGAGAACCGTCGATTCGAGATTGCAGGAGGCGATTTAAGTAGCACGCATCTAGTTAAAGGACTTGACTTTAAGCTCCTCCAACGAATCCGGCGTGGAGAAGATATATATGGAGAAAAGAAAGACGGAGCCGAGCAACAACCCACAGATGAGCCCGCCGCCGAGATTGACGTCGATGATGAATTTGAACAGCTGGCAGAACAGGAAGTCCAGGTAGTGCCCAAAGAAAAGACCGAGACAAAAAAAAAAGGCCAACTATCTACAGTGTCACTGGCACCTGGAAAAAAACGAACACGCGATCAAATTCTTGCAGAATTAAAGGCGGCAAGAGAAGCTGCCAAAGCACAGCAAGGGAATGTGCTTGGCGACCGTTTCAAGAAGGTTGGTGTCAAACAGAAGGCAGGATCGCGAATAGAGAGAGACAGCAAAGGACGAGAGGTTTTAATCGTTGTGGATGAAGATGGACATGAAAAGAGGAAGGTTCGGAAAGTTCAGCCTGGCGCTAAGGAAATTGATGAAGGTGATCGGATCGGGCTTCTCATGCCGGACAAGAATTCAAAGCCACTTGGCATGGAGGTTCCAGAACAATATAGGAAAAAGGAGGAGCCCGAGGAGGACGAAGACATCGACATCTTTGACGGCGTGGGTGATAATTACGATCCACTGGCTGGGATAGACGATTCAGGTTCAGACTCTGGTTCAGACTCTGGTGTGAATGAAGATTCGAAGAAGATGGAACAAGAGAAAATGGATGAAGGGAATATTGCTGACCCATCGATGCAACCGCCGCCGAAACCACAAGCGCCTCGAAATTACTTCCAGGGAGCGAAGACGGGTCTAGTGTCAGAGGAGCATAGCAAAGCGCCTTCCATGTCAGATCCAGCCATCATGGCAGCGATCAAGCGAGCAGCGGCTCTCAACCCTATCAAGAAGGCCAGGGATCATGCTGAAGAAGATGACGACGATGACGACGGTCAAGCTGATGAAATGAAGAAGGAAGCGATGGAGGAAAAAAGAAGGAGGCTTCTACAGATGGCGGATCGCGATGATGAAGATCTCGATATGGGCTTCGGTACTAGTCGGTTTGCCGACGAAGAAGATTTTGACGACAGTAGGGTCAAGCTTTCAACCTGGGGAGACAAGGATGACGATGGCGAGGGGCAATCAAAAGGAGGGCAATCAAAACGAAAGCGAGGCCCAAAGAAGAGAAAGGGTGATGCTAATAATGCTGCGGATGTATTGCGGGTTATGGAAGCGCGCAAGAAGTCATGATGGGCGGCAGGAGGTTCTCCGTTAGTATACCTATCATGAAACATATCTTAATTCGGCACAAAGCCGAGGCTTGATACCCCATGCTGTAGTTAGGATTGTATACCTTAACATAATGCTTATTCAACCTTTCAAGTCACACTTACCGTGGAAGCAAAAGATCTATCAATTGCCTCCTGGGTCATAACCACCTGCTTTAAGAGGAAGCTGCTTGACATTGTTAGCTCGCGCCAAGTTGTTAGTTAGGTCAGGTTTGCTCGGTAACGATCTAAACCAGCAAAGTGAGGGGAAAACACCCCACTACAATGGACCGAAGGTAAGCCAAACTGTTTCAGCGTCCACCTTGGTAAAAGAGTCTCTCGGTTTGTGGAAACGTCAAAACTTCAACAACTCACCTACAGTATCGTATTTCCCGCAGTTGGTCAAGTGAACATTATCCCCATCCCACCCTATTCTGTCACTCTATCCTTCCTTGCATTGAGGCTGAAACCTGGTCTTTTCTTTACACCGTGCCTTTTGTCTTTCTGTTCCATTATGTCTGAAGCTCAGGTTCCTGTTTGGCTGGACTGTGATCCAGGTCATGATGTACGTATAAACAAAAACGGTGCTTATAGCCTTGATCTCATACAACTTCTTAGTTCTGTTACGGGACTCGAGTGATGTTTATGATTTGGTTGTTTTCTTTCCTCTTCGCGTCTCGTAATAGCGCTCAGCAGTACTAAATTTCTTGATAGGACGCTTTCGCCATTCTTCTGGCTGCTTATCATCCCCAGATCAGATTGCTCGGTGTCTCAACGGTCTTTGGCAATGCATCTCTTGAGTATGTTATTTAAAACAATCTTGACTTTACGACAATGTCATCGAGAACAGTTTGTTAACATTTGTTCAGAAACACTACGCATAATGCTGCCTCCATCCTCACCGCCATTGGTATGCATGATATTCCTCTGTATATCGGCCTGGGTAAAGCTCTTGAACGTCCTGCCCTTCATGCACCAACGGATATCCACGGTGTTTCTGGATTAGATGGCACCGACCTTCTTCCTGAGCCACTTGTAACCCCCTCTACCATCCCGGCTGTTGAGGCGATGGCGGAGGCCCTGCGTGCTCAACCCCCTGGTACAGCGTGGATTGTTGCAACGGGTGCGCTGACGAACGTTGGAGCCCTGCTCCGTGCGTATCCAGAGCTTGTCAGTCACATAAAGGGTGTCAGTCTTATGGGAGGCTCTATTGGCGACAATTTCTCAGATGCACCGCTCGGCGAAGTTGATGGTCGCCCCAGAATCGGAAACTACACGCCTTGGGCTGAGTTCAACATCCTCGTTGACCCAGAAGCTGCTGCTACGGTGTTCCATACCAAAGAGATTGCTGCCAAAACTACGATTGTGCCCCTCGATCTCAGCCATCAGGTGTTAGCGACATCGGAGGTGAGAGAGATGCTGTTGTACGGCCCCGATGCTGAGCGAACAGGTCCGGGGAAGACAACCCTCCGTACCATGCTTGTTGAGCTCCTCTACTTCTTTGCTCAAACATATGCGTAAGTCAACACAAACAATGGCATGCGCCCTCTCGACTAACAATTTAGTGATACCTTCGGTATTACCGCTGGTCCTCCTCTGCATGATCCTATTGCCGTTGCTGCTGTACTTATCGGCACCGAAAGTGAGATTCCATTCTTCGAGTGGGACGCCAAGCACAGCCAGCCCCCTGAGCATAACGAACGCTTCGAAGTCACAGTCATAACTGAGGGCACATTCGAAGAGGCTAAGGAGGGCAAGCAGACCGGTCGCACATTGGCCAAGTTGCTTCCGCCAGGTCAACAAGGTGTTAGAATTCCTCGGGGAGTCGACACTGCCAAATTCTGGCAGGTTATCGAAGAGTGCATTGAGCGAGCAGACGCAAAAAATGCTGCGCTTGCGCTTGCGAAGTAGTTTTCAGGGAAGAGTCAAGGGGCTATAGTAGAATAAAAACTGCGCATGTAGGATTAGATAATTGGACGACATACTGCGTCATGACGAATCTATCAAGTCTTGTTATAGTCTATATTTCATCGGGGATGGTCTCCTTACTGCCCGAATCCCAATCAAGCATCAAATTCAAGCTCTGTTCATATGTCCAGAGAGTGACAGCGCTCGCAGGGGCCGATTTGAGAAGACTGATAGTCAGGCCCTTGTACAAACCACGGAAGCCTTCTGTGCGTAATATCGATAAAAGTGCGCTCCGTGCCGTGGCGTACTCGGGAATGTTTTGGTAGACGTATTGCCGTCGCGCTGGTCCCTGCACCTGAATACGCTTTCGCACAAGATCGAGAGGGAATACAGCTGTTTTGGATAAAATGCTGGCACACATGCCAGCAGTAGCGTCTCCGCTGCCCCATGGCATGTGTAATCCCTCTAGAGACGTTCTAAGGGACTCATAAGTGACGAAAAAGATGCCCATAAAGGGTATGATTTGGCCAAGTCCAGGCCCAATGCCTCTAAAAAAGCCTCGCCAACCCTCATCGCGTTTTATATCCCAGACGGCACTGCGGAGTGACTGGTAAACACGGTGTCGACCCTGAGCTGCGAATCGTGTTCTTAATAAATCGAGAGGATATGTGATGGTGGTGGCAGCAGCACCAGAGGCAGCACCAGCAATAAAACTTTCGGCAGCATCGGGCAACCTTGTGGGAAATGCCGTTCGGAGGAAAAGGGTCGCCGAGCGGTATGTTGTGAACTGTACGGCACCATAGCATACATACATAAGCTCTGCAGGAACATTGCCCTTCCACAGGCCTGTCAAACCTTCATGCTTGAGGATGTGTTTCAGGGTCTCGAATGCCCCTCGATAAGCAGGTGCGTTGCGCAAAGCTGCTACAGGATCGGACAGAGAATGAGGCTGGAGTTGGAGACGGATCTTGACGACATCGAGGGGAGCAACAACGAATCTAGAGATCGGATAGTATCAGTACTCACTACCATTGTTCAAAGAGGGCTGGCGATAAGAAACTTACCTAGAAACCAAACCTGCTATTGCTCCCGCAGCTACGACTTGGACCCTCGAGCCCTAGTTCCCATTGTCAGCCAGCTCCCAAGTATTTGAGAATTAGCACCTTACCTCATCCTTGAGGTGCCCTTCTTTGTGCGACATGCATTCAACTACAGCCCTGAAGGACCACGGGCAGAAGAGATGCTTTGTATCTCGAACGGACTTTGCTACAGTCTAACCAAGAGATTGTTGGTCGAGAATGCGGAAATCGACGATGTTAATGATGTGTCGGTTGAGCGCAAAGCGAAGTCGTTCAAGGTTGATGAGCCAACTTGCTGATAAGGTAAAATAATGCAACGTTGGCGGAGATAGATGCCCGTGGCAGGATTAGTAAATGAATATGGGCTGCGCTTTTGCAAATTGTCGCCAATTGTGTCATTTGAAGATTCTAATGGAACTTGTTTGGATCGAAAGTGCTCTAGAGCTTTCTTCGAGGAGCGTATTGGTCAAGTGGTCATTCTAGGTATCATGGGAAATGAAATCCGTGCTCAGATTGGCTAAAATTTACCCTTGGTCACCTTCAAGCTCACGATGGAATTTTTTGTGTGACGGCATGATTTCCTAATGTCGACAGCGGTTTGCGACGGTTGTTAACGGTAGAGACAACGCCATCGTTTTGCTCGGGATTCTATCCTTGGATCAATGGCTCCTGACACTGATGAGGGAGATACGAGATATTCCCCTTGTGGAAGATAAATCTGAGGTTGTGTGAGTAAACTATACAATAGTACCAACCAGCCTCGGGGTCTCTTACACCGATGGACGAGGAATTTATCAACCGAACCGATGGCGATCTGCCCGGAACAATGAACGATAGCCTCAAGGGTCTCGGCCAGGTTCCACAGCTCAGGCCGCTGGAACCAACCAAACAGAAGTTCAACAATGTCACCCTGAAGTTCCGTGTGTTGATACTGGTATATATGTATAAGGCTCCAGGCCATATAAAGCGCATAAAGCATTAACTTGATGAGATATAAGCATTGAAGAAATCGCAAAGTTGTTCATAGACGAGCTGCAAGGACCAGTAGGTCAATACCAATCATGACTGCAACAACGTTAATTCTACTAAGCTCGGAGTAAAACGTGGGGTTTCCGTCTCCACACCACGAACTGCTACCCAGGCAAAAAGAGCCTCTCGAGGAATCCCGGGCGCCTAGTCTCCATTGCTCCGGCCGAGAACCTGCTCCTCAAGCTACTACTCCGATGCCGTCATTGGCTAAGGCCATTTGAAACTGCAACCAGAACAAAGCTTGGAGACATCCGAGACCTCTCTCGGAGGGAAGCACGCATGGGTATGGCACGTCACTTGCCTCTTTGATACCTCGTGCCGCACCGCCGACAACTCTTGCCGGATGCACATGCTCCTCCGGCTCTTATATTTCACCAACCCTCCCACTTTAATCTCACTTCTTCCCGTGCTACCAGATTTTCAGAGACACTCTCTTAATATACTTCGTCTCATAGCGCTTAATCCTGTTCTCCATCTTTCCGTCTTGACAATCCACCCTCTGGGCCCTCGATTTCGACCAACGAGACTACTCCAGTCATACATAAAATTACATCCTTTACACAGTCCTCCCACGATACCCTCAACTCGGTCGATTTCGCATACGTCTGTCACTGTGCAGAACGCGACCACAATAACGACACCTCGTCCGGCCCCGCGGCGCTCAATCTGACGTTGACAATGGCCACCACACAGCTTCCTTCGCCAGACACAACACAGCTTCTTGCGCCGTTTCTGCCTGCTCTCCCACCATCTGCTATCTCTACCGAACCTGCGATCGGTATTCTACCACTTTTGTCCCCCATACTTCGCCAGCGAGTCAAGCTTCTATCTACATCAAGTACCGAGCCATGGATTCGACTTCTGTGTTACGACAAGGCAAAAATACCTGAGCTGATTCAGATCGCCCAAGGCGGTAGTCTTGAGCCACATCCGGTATCGGGTGAGGTCGAGGTCGACTGGGATTATGATGCAGAGGTACGTTTTCGTCGGGTCGATGAAGAGACTCTGCAGGCTCTCGTTGCGCTCTCCACCCTGGGTTTGGCCTTCCAGTTGATCTACTGTGTTGGGGATATTGAGGGCGGAGGTGATGGCTGGAGGGTTGGCGAGGTCACTATAGCAGACAAACCCTCACCTTTCTTGCAATTTGGGGGAGCATCCAGCATCGCAGAGGCCGAGAGACAATTCAGAGAAACACAGGCAAAGAAGGTGACCAACCAAGCCAAGGACGCCAACGGCCACGGCCACGGCCATGGCAATAGCTTGCATATTCCTCATAGTGGCCACGACGAAGACGAAGAAGACGACGATGATTACTGGGCACGGTACGATGCAACTCCATCCCGGACACCAGCGCAGAAACAGTCACCTGCACCTCCTTCGAAATCTACTTCTCAAATCGGTGGTGTTCGTGCATCTTCGGCAGAGGACGCATATTTTGCTCAATATGACAGTGTTCAGCCTGCTATGGATAATCATGATCCGGATGAGGAAGAGGCTGCTGCGCAAATTGCTCCACCACTGGGACTCGGACGTACCCAAGAATCTGCCGAAGCCACAGAGTTTAATGAGACACAGGGCGCGTGGACATTGGCCGAGATCGAGAAGAGTGATTCAAGCCCGACACAAAACGGAGATGATACCGAGCGCCACGCCGCTCTCCTTCATCCACGCCCAGCCTCAAGCGCCAGTTCCAACGGCTCGGAAACAGTTGCTAAGCTTGAGGCATCTGCCGGCAAACAAACACAAAATGAGTTTGGTGTCAAGCAGCATGTATCGCGCAGTATTCGAAGCCTGTTCATGCTTTCGCGTGCTTCAGGTATTGATCGCCAGGAGTTTGAGAGCCTTGTTCGTGCCGAGCTCGATATTCTTGGCATGGTTGAGGCCCAAGAACAAGTCTGATCTGGAACACCTTTTCACCACAAATTTTCATATTTCCGCATAAAGAAATTGGAAAGCCTTTTCAGGCGGGGTCTTGCATCTTTTTCTACCCAGTATTTTTAACATGCATGTAAGGCGTTGGTTGTTGGGCATTTGGACGGCAGCTTGAGCATTGACAAGGCCTTCAGCCTTCTTACTTAACTTGGACGGAACTTGGACATAGAGGATAGGTTGGACAGTATCTTATGAGAGAATGGTAAATGGTTCAATGCGAAAGGTCCAACTGGCCAAGTCTGTTGTGCATAGCGATGATGTCGGTGATGACTGTTCACCTTATAAGCTCGACAGCCCCCGGTTCGTCGTATATGCCACTCCCGAGGCATGTCACGATAATATACGGTCTTTGATCTGAACAGGGCATGATCGTATTGTCAACATATGCCGAAACAGTTCGTCGATTAAAATAGTAAGTTTCCGCAAACAGGGAAAACGCTGCATTAGGTCGTGCTGACAACTCAGATATAAGCTTCCGAATCACCAGCCCTCACTTGAACTTACAAAAACTTCATCTTCCAGGTCTTTCATAAGTCCCCCCTCCCGGACCTTTTTTTTTTTGGCTAGCTCAGCCCCTAATCAAACTTCTGAACCTTTCTACGTATGTTCTACCTACGCGATAACTAGATTTTCCAGTGCAATGCGTGCTGTCTCGAGGACTTTGGTACAATTGCGCTCTGCTGGAGAACAAGCCTTAGTCGGGTAAATAACTCCACGGGCCGCTTCATGTGCGTGCCCAGCAGCATGAAGTGCGTCAAGAGCATCATGTCGCTTTTTGCTTCTCTCCTCAAGCTGCCCAACCACATCTTTGAGCCCAAGTTGTCGATAGGTCATCGCGCCTGGGATCTCCTGGTCCTTCTCATCCAACCCGTAGACATCGAGGCGAAGAAGCCCCCTGATTGTCATTCTCCACATATCGGGAGGCATGTTCTTGTTGTTGTAGCTTTGATAAGTCGTACAGCCCTTAGGCGTACCCCCAATGCAACCCCAGAGGCCACCAATTTCTTTGAACGAGAACCAAAAGGTGCGTCCTTGCAGCTTGGCGAGGGTAGTCTCTTCATCTACCATTTCTAGAATTCTTGCGTAGGCGTTGCATGCAGATGGAACCAGAGCGCCAAGAAGCATGAGGTTCTGGAAGGATTGTATGGGAGGAGGCTTAGTGGGTTCGTCAAGCAAAGATGCAGAACAGACAGTACATCTGATAACATCGTGAGCGACCTTGGATGCATTCCGTGCGACTTTCATGGCCGGTATGACCTCAGCTGGCAGATTTCCAAGAGACTCGAGAGCTAAATAAAGTGATGACAAACAGCCGCAAGACACTGTAGGTACAGGTCGCATAGAGGGAGTCGGTGTTCTAATCACATTCTCAGTGGATTCAACAGAGGCACCATTTTCGCTGGAGTCAGGTGGTGTCGGTGTGTCCGAGTTCTGTTTTAGTCCTGGGTTTGGGGATTCAATCTGATCTACTAGGTATTGCTGCAGTGTGTTACTGAGATCCTTCGAAATTGTTTCTTGCGGAGCGTCTGTCTCGCCAAAATTGATACTGCCAAGGAGGTCGACACCACTCAGATCCAATGTAGGTAATGTAGCATTGTCAACGAGCAAGCCTTGGGGTTCCACGATCTGCGGGTTGAAAGAAAACGTGGCATGACTAGATTGCAAGCCCCATGTATCGGCGTTTGCATTAGCTGGCTCGTCCAGGAAGTTGAGATCCAGAAGATAATCTCCGGTTGTTTGCGTTTGATTCAGGTGCTCATAGGAGATATTATCATCTGGCTGGAGAAAAAGTAGAGCTTCCTCTGGCGGCTGGGAAATGGTCGGTGCTGGCAGAATGGCCTCATCACCCACATCCACATGCCGCCTCTTTCGGGGACGGCCCATTTGCTTCTGCGGAGAATAGTAGCATATTATTCCCTCCTTTTTACACCGAGAACAGCCCTCGGGTTCTTTGGAGCATGCGAGTTTTCGGGATCCTAATAACCGATAAGTCTCCGATTCGGACACATGATGAGGCACTCACGGCATTCGTCGCACGCTCTATGCTTTGTAACCCCATCGGCAGCTGCAGTTGGAGCCATTCTTCTTTCCAAGGTCAATTTTGGATATCGTATTTAAGCGGAGTCTCACTGTATGCAACAATAAATGATACAGCAACAGATTGTGATATGGAACAACATTCAGATGTCGCAGTCAGCATGAGTCTTGGCTCAATACCACGAATCTGACTAATGTTGAGACACCACCCTCATTAGGTAGCTACAAACTACCCAATCCGCCAATTTGATCTCCCACTCCAGAGATCGACAATGCATGTGGTTAAGTGGGTTATCGTGGAATTTGAGTCCCTATACTTACGAAAGTACTGGCCTTAGCTTGCAGAAAACATCCATAACTAATACCGTTTACAATTCTATTGGATTTAAAAATAGTTGCCTATGGAATATGGGCCAAGTCCAGATAATACTCGAAATCTCAATAGCAGTTGTATCATAGCATTGGAGCTGATAAATGAATATCTAATTGGATTCTAATCATTGATCACTTCAGTACCCCCCTAGACCTTAGTGACCAGATGACTCTCCATGACCACCACTAGTGAGTGCACGTTAACATACCTTAGGTATAATGACAGCAATTAGCGACTCAGCCCTATCACCAATAATACCTAAGAAGCTACTGCTTAAGTAAGTGATTATAGTGTCTCTTGTGTTCTCGGCATGGGATTCTCGAGACTGTCGCAACATGAGCCTCTGTCTAACGTCAGCAAGGACACGTCGACTCAGCAAAAAGCAATTCCTTCGCCCGCTGAAAGAGACGTGGCTGCACACATCAGGCTTCTGTATCCTCATGCGCTCCTCGACTACTACAGTATGACCTAGTTTTTGAGGCTCCGTTCACGGGTCTATGGAGATAGTTCTTACTTGGTCCAGAAAAAAGACTTCCCCACAGCTTCATCACCGCCAAAATACTATTTGGGTACAATCCATGAACCTTTGATCTGTGTTACCTGTTTCTGTACCATGAAGAAGCCATAACTACCGAGGTACAATTACAAGCCAGGCTTCGTTTCTTTCTTCCCATCCAGGAACTTTTTCAGCACGAATTCTTTGCTGCATTTATTGCCTGTTGCTACTTTGTTCCCGCCTCGTAGAAATTGTCAACCAGCTTGCCTCATGATAGAGTCGTAGACGCCAATACAACCCTACGAGAAGCGAGCTTGCCGAAAAGTTCTGCAACTGAGAGCAATCAGATTTGCCCCTGCATAACCCTCCGAAGTTGTCGGCGCAATGACAGTCACTCCTGTGGCCAATCTTGGCAATATCGCCCGCGCCGAGTACAAGGCGCTATTCGATACAGAAGTTGCCAAAGGGATTAGAGAACCCCTTGTTCTTCCTTTCTGCCTTTTCGGTCCTTTCATTTTGCCTATTGTCTATTTGGCAATCCCACATCGAAATCGGCCATGGCTTTACCACGCACGATGGCTTGTCGTCGCTTTTGTCGTTGCGTTCGATGCTTATATGATTCAGTATATGTCTAGCTACAACGTCGCTCCAGCATATGCGTCAGGTCTCATGGGCGGATGGGGTATCTTGACGACTCTGAATCTTTTGGTTTGGTCCGATCCGCAACTCGACTATGCCAGAGTTGTCAAGATTCCCAAGGGCAACAAGTCGCAAGCATCTTCAAAACAACTGCCCATAGATGTTGTCAATGGATCAAACCAAGAAAGCGTAATTCGACAGCGAAAGGCTTACCACGAAGCCATTGCACTTTCAGGGGACGCCGAAACCCATGCCAAGAATGGGAGCTCCAAAGATGTGGTTTACGCCTGGCAGAAATTTCCTGAAAACGGATCGTTCGGTGAACGGCTTAACTGGACACTTGACCTTGCTACAAACTTTAGGGAAATCGGTAGGTTTGGAACGATTATCTAGCACTTACAAGGAGGTTCCTGGCTAAGCTTTTTCTTCAGGCTGGAACTGTTCTATCTCTTCCGTACCAAGGCCAGATATCCCAAGCAATATTCGCGATGGGGATCCTGTATCCTTCGACAACATGCTCATTGTGTCTAGGAGCGGCTACTATCGTAACTTGACCGAGAGGGAGTTTGTATGGAGCCGTATTCGCAGAGTCCTCCTCCTCACTTTTCTTTTGGACTTTTGCTCTGTTGCGATGGTCAAGGATCCCTACTGTGCCTATGGGCCCGATCAGGGACTTGAGCTCCCTTTATTCCTCCGGCGGTTTCCTCCGTGGCTGCGCTTCATCTATCGCGAGCTCCTTTGTCTTGTTGGTATCTATGCTGCCATCGATGCCATTTTTAGCTTGCATGACCTTTTTCAGTTCTACGTTTTCTCCTACTTTTACCCCATGCGAAGAGAGTTATGGCAGTACACCAACATCTTCGGTCCTATCTCGCAGGTGCTTGATAGAGGTCTTGCTGGTTGGTGGGGGGCGTTCTGGCATCAAACCTTTCGTCTTCAGTTTGTTGCGCCCGCAAAGTTCCTCGTTGACCATGGCTATCTTCGAAGAGGAACACTACGTGCTCAAATTGTTACCATGTGCTTATCCTTCATACAGTCCGGTTTACTTCACGCTGGTGGAAGTTTATCGTCTATGCCAACCACAAAACCCTGGAGAAGTCCGCTCTTCTTTGCCCTGCAGCCTCCTGGCATTATCTTACAGCTTCTTTTGCTGCAGACTTTGGACAAGCATTTCCCCGACTTCCCTCAAAGACTCCGGCAGGCATTCAATATGGTATTCACTCTGGGCTGGCTCTGTCTGACCGCATTTTTCTTTACCGATGATATTTCATCTTCGGGTATTTGGCTTCTGGAACCTGTGCCGATTTCCCCCCTGCGCTGGCTTGGTTTCGGTTACCCAAACGATCATTGGTGGCGATGGAGGAGATATATGTTCCCAATCTGGCATTCAGATAAGTACTGGTGGAAAAGTGGTATACAGCTTTGAGGCTGGAACATCTAGATGTAAAGAAAATATGTTTATCGGACACGCGCCATGTTTGGGAAAGCAAGGGGTAAGTCGATTATAATATTTATCCTAGACTAGTCCTCGTGCATAGAAGAGACAAAGTTACTAGAGATAAATTGTTTAGCCATTTCAACTGAAGTTACTATTCGCCTAGCTCATGAAACTCGCAGAAGCTCGTATTTTTGGCCCGAGGCAAGCCTATCAGCTTCATTACGGAGCCACTTCACAACAGGCTGATAGTTGCTCTGCTTCGCTGCCAATACCTTCTCAAAGGCAAGGCACGCATTTCTATCACTATTAGAATACTGCCAAGGAACGGCGCGGCGAGAAATACTTACAGAGCAACTTGCGATTTTCGCACGTCACAGATGTATTGGGGATATCTCATCACCCGAGATTTGCTAGTCAAGAGCAGGAAGGCAACGTCGATCACTTTAGCAATAGTTCCTTGAGAAGATCAGACATTAAATCAGCCACATCATGAGTTTGAGCGACTTACGGAGTATCATTTCACTACTCGGTTGCTGTGTCTTTCCGAGGCAACGCAGGTAAGCGTACATTTTGCTCGCAGTCTCAACAAAGGTACTTCGAAGCGAGTTGAGAACGGTTCGGTTTGCATTATGGGACGTGTCATAAAACATCAGATGAGATTGAATCTTGAAAGCGTCTGAATGGTCATAGGAGCCTTAGTTAGCAACTCTTTGGGTTCATGCGGTACGGGGGACTGACTTAGAACTTTTCGTTGAAAGTTCTGACCAGGTGTGCGGCCGAAGTCGACGGTGAGAGAAGCAGATACATCTTTCTAGGTGTAAGTACTGGTCTTGAATTGGAATAGAAGCAAGACTCTTGAGCGTACCAATATTTGCATCTCTATCTCTATCCTTGGTGATATCCAGTGTCTTGCAGTTTATAGTGGTTCCGCAGTAGGGGAAGCCTTTCTCATGATTAGACTTCTGCAAGGGCTCACCATCATATAGCATGTCAAAGTTGACCATGGTCTTGGTCGGGTTGACCGCAACGCCATACCCAGGAAACCCAACATGCATAGCATTGACAAACTTGATCGCCTTTTCCTGGTCTAGAGTGATTAGAAGAAAATCGTCAATGAGGCGTAAGAGTAGGCAGTCTGGCGAACGAAGGAAGTCCAAATGTTTAACTTCAAGGTCAGCATAGAAATAATTGCATAAGAATGAGGACAACACAGAGCCTTGAGGGATTCCGGTTTTCTGTCTGTAGTATTTCTTTCCAATCTTGACAAGATTATACTCGACATGTTGCCTGAGAAGATGCATCAGTTCTCCAACGTTTTGAGTATTGCGTAAAGCGCTGCCCACAAAGACAGTATTTTTCTTCTTGTGAGCCAGGTTTTGCTCAAGCCGTATGATGAAATCTGGGTTTTCCTTCTCGCTCAAGGCTGTTGCATGCCATCGACGGATAGCTTTGGACGAGGTCTTGTCGTCAGCTACCGCTGCCCGTTCCCCAGGCTTCACTTCTGCGTGTTTCATGATGGTATATTTCGACTGACTTGGCACGGACTTCATCAGATTGACAACTGCCTCTTGTGGGATGGTATCGAAAGCAGCCTTGACATCAGCCTTGACAAAGTACAATTTACCATATTCAGGGCCCAGAGATTGCTTGAATAGCTTCAGTCGGGTATAAATATCGCTGACGGAGAACATAGTGGAACCCAATTTGGACGGGTTGATCCTCTGAATTTCGAGTCAGCTTCAGCCCCCGAATGTTTGTCGCCTCACATACCTTCTCTAGCTTCAGCAACGAATGCACGGGACCTAAGATAGTATTTATACTACGCCCAAGCTTGCTTGAAGGCCCCCTGGTCATAGCCCTGCGCCGGAGATTCATGATGGGGCGAAGTTTGTTGCCTTTTGGAAGGAGTCGAACTTGGCTAAAGCCCAGCTTCCGAGAACGCAGTACCTGCAGCGCGTCATCCAACTTGACCTCCTCAAACATGTCTGCCCTAAGTTCCATCATGGCTGGCTCTGCTATTTGTCTCCAAACTTCATGGCGAAAGTAAAAAACTTGGTATCGATGGGTGTTAGACTCGGTAACATAAAATGTGTTGCGGATCAGGGGCATCAAGAGAGAATCAAAAACGAAATAAATAAATTCATTAAAAATCTCCAGGCGCTTTGCAGTATCAGTTTTGCTTGGTTTTCGGTCGCCCAGAACTGGAGACTGAAGCCAAGAGATTTTTGCGATCTGGTAAATGATTAGCCATGGTCAAGCTTTGGCACTATCGGACACTAACCTTCATATTTTGTGTTATTTCATGTAGCGACATGGTTTCAAAACGCCTGAGCCTGATGAAACTATCGACACTTCGCATGATAGTGGATTTGTTGCGTTTCTGTACGGTATCATCCCCCCAGAAGTCTCTGGGGATAATCTTGGACAAGACGGCTTGGCAGAACGATGAGACCTGAGATGATGGGGTGGCTAGCTCTACCAGGGATTTATGATATGGGAGTGCTGGCGCTTGCGTGCTCGAGAGCCCTAACTCGGAATGCTTCTGGGATGGAGCACACTTATAGTAGGAAACCGTCTTCGGGTGTTGTGATGGTCTAAGCTTTCGAGACGATATGAGACTCTTCTTGGTCCTCGGCTTCCTAGTTCGCGATGGCCTGTCAAAAGTGCAGGGGCAGTGGTGCTTCAAGAGCTCGATATATGAACATCGGCCGTGGAGAACTTGCAGGCGTTTCACAAGTTCCTCAGTATATCCACGAAGCCGCTTGGGTATTTTTGGCATTCGCGACCCGGTATCTCCTGCTTTTGTTCGAAAATAGGGAGCAATCTCTTCTTCTCTCAACGTATAGTCTTGAAACTTCTGCGAGGTTATAGTAGGATCGACCTGAGAAGTAAAGACGTTGTGAAGTCCGAATTGCCGAGGAAATATGTACATCATCACATTGATCGTACCTTGGCGCTGGATCTCTAAGTCGTTAGACATGGGAGCGTTCGTGTACCGATTCAACACGTCTGAAAAAAATATTAATAATATGTTTGATTGTATGTACTTTCTATACTTACGAATGTGTTTATAGCCGGGCTGAACAAGTCCTTGTGCCGTGAGGGATGGCTTAGCATAGAATATTCTGCTTCTCACTAGAGTTATGTCTATAGGCTTGCGTGCTTCGCTTTTAGATCCTTTAGTCATTGACAGACCACCTCCATGAAGGTCAAGCTCTGCAAGTGGTACACCTAGAATGGTCAGATTTGTACTTTAGTGTTTTGCTGTCTTACCTGTCAGTTGATAATAATTGTTGAAACCTGCTTCAACCTCTAGATATATAGAGGCGTCGACAAGGAGATTGATCATGATTTTCTCTCCAGCTCTGCCAAGAAGGGCCAATAATTGTGGCCAAGGGTTTTCCCTCAGCGCCTCAACGTTAGAGTTCGGAAAGAGGCTGAAGAGTCCAGGAATAGTGGTAGTTCCTTGGTCATCTGGTCCGGCTGATTTTCTAAACCCGTCACACAATAGGTGCTTGGGTCGTCGTCCGACTTGCGCATCTCTGGAGAAGAGACGCCATACAACAAAATCTACAATCTATATGATTATAAGCGGCTTTCCATACAAATAAAGATGCTGTACTAACCTCATTTTGGGAGAATATTGATCCGGCAATCCCATCGGAAAGACTGACATAAGACTCGTCCTCTCTCTGTGAGAATGCTAGCCATTGCTCCCATCTCGTGTCATCGTTGTCGGCCTCCTGATGGACAAAACAAACAAGTGATGTATCTAGGAGTCGTGATAAAGTCTTCTCAATCTCTCCGGCATCATTTGCATCGCCGATGGATGCCACTTTCTTCCGTCGGAGTCGAGATCCATGAGGTAGCTGAGAGAGGACATATTCTCTTAACGAGGTGACCCTGCCGTAATGACGTTCCAGGAGGTCGCGCCTCACGGATATTCCCCCGAGTGGTTTGGCTCGCTTTTGGTGTTCCGACGCGACAATAGTCTCCGACTTTCGCTTTCTCTGGTTTTCCATAATTGTTCTGTATCCTTTTCCCATTTAACGGTTGTCAAGCCGCTGTGTTTTCCGATGATCACTTGTGTAATTTATTCGAGCTAGAGTAGAATTCCATGAGCCACAGAGTTTCGGACATTGATTTGATGCAATGTGGCTGATCCTTACCCGACGTGGGAGAGGGAGCTTATCCCTAGAAGGATTAGCGCGGATTTAGTGTGAGGCCGGTTCCAGGGGTAAGCAACCAGCCGCTTAACCGAGCGTTATCACAGAATTAGCCACTGATCATTAACAAAGATTCAGTTGATGAACTTTGTTCGATGCAATCGTAGGAAAAGCCCATATTCTACTACTTATTAGAGCCTTGTGATTATGGGCTTGCTTTTATCTCGGCTAGGAAGTGTGGTTAGCATCAGACACAGCGAGGGTTAGGTAACATGAAAGCAATCTGCTGCTTCTCAAGGAAGGCAAGAAACGCGAGGCTTACACATTCGCGGAAGCGACCACAGCACAGAATTATACTTGCTGCAGGAGATAGTGTTTTCGATGTGGTAGATGGGGTGTGCCTTGGGGGGGGGGGGGGGGAAGCTGGGATTCTAGATGAAATTGACATGATCGCTAAAGAAGCGTTGTAAGCAGTCCTGCATACCATCACACACAGTATCACAACGCAGGAACGGCGAGCACGGAGGAAACCTGTGCGTCTGTGCAATCTTCTTTGTGTAACCCAGAAGGCTATAACCTGGCTTGAAAAGTGGTCAGCTCGGATAATTGATGGATATGGAGCCCCGGATCTGCCACTAGGATGAATATTGGGAATCAAATAGACGAAAAAGGAGACGATTTGGTGAATCGTAGTCTCGGATTACGACTTCGGAAATAGAAAGTGACTTCAAACAAAGTGTACTCCTGGCGATGTATAAAATGCTTTTCTTTCTCAGCCTCCACTGACAAAGAACTGGCAGAACCCACAAGAGCCATATCAAAGCGTTGCACCGATGTCTCCCGATCAGTCGAAGACCCTAGAACACAAGCTCAGGGGTCAACGAGACCAGGAAGAGGATTTATTGTTATCGTAGACTCATCAATCCCTTGAAAGTACTTAGGACAAGCTATTAAACATAACACATATTAAAACC